ATATTTACTTGACACTGGCAACAGGCAGTATAAAAAAGAAACATTATTTTTGAATTTGAAAAAAAAAAAAGTTTATGGCGCTCCATCGCGCTACGAAGAATTTATTTTGCAAATAAGTAGGCTTTTAAAAAGCACTTTTACACGTCCCAGTATTAACCCTACCACTGCTTCGGGACAATAGGCCAAAATGTGCCAGTGCTGAGAAGAAGCAGCGCAAGAAACTCATTCACTAATAATTACATGGTTATTTTTCAGACCTAAGTATGTACCTAACTAACTAGGTGGATAGGTACTTGATTTTATTTTACTATACTTATAACAATTCCTTTCGAAATGAACAAAGCCCAATAAACTAGACTAAACTTTAGCGCCATTTACGCAAATGGGGCATCTTATAAAACCCGTAAATCGGCTCAATTGACCGGCCTAGCTAATCCGCTGCTCGCTCCGATTGTTATAAATTTCTGTCTCTTTAACACAGGGACGGACTCGGCCGGCTGGCTTTAAGGCTGGTTTTAGAGTCACGCTGACGCACGCTGACCGTCAGCGCTGACAGCCTAAATGTATGAAGCGTCGGCGCCGAGCGATCAGCGTCACTCAGGAACGTTCCCTTTGATCTCTCAGCGCCGACGATCAGCGAGCGGTCAGCGCGATTCTAAAACAAGCCTAAAAATGCTCATGAACCTACGAAGGAAATCGAATTAAAGAAACCAAAAAATTTCACAAAATATATTCGGATTAATTAGCAAAATCAAGACCGCAAACAGAGAAGAAGACAAACTATTTTTTTTTACCGATGTGTGGGTAGTTTGAATTACTTTACTCTTTGGAAGTTTAGATGTGGGTAAATACACGTTACCCACTTAGTTTGAATTGATAGCCATAAAATGGGTAGCCATAATTAAAATTAATAATATTCGAAACTAAGAGCTGATGTTTGAAAATGAAAATTAAATGTTTTATTAATGTTTCAATCGTTGTATCTCAGGATCAAAATTTCATTTAGACATAAATTTCCCTTAGAAAAAATCAAAAGGCCAGTTTTATTCTTAAGTTAAATGTTATTCAATAAAAATCTGTCCTTACTCGTAAAATACTTCAAGTCCGCCCCTGCGCGCCGGAATGTTCGCAATTTAAATTAATCGCGCCCCTCGCGGCGCAACTTTTTGCCCGCCCCTTGCTTGCGCGATGAAATTGTACCAAAACGCGTTCCGTTGGTTATTGCACACTGCTTTTTATTATGATGCTGTTATATTTTGTTTACTTTTGTGTGCTTTGAGCACGATTTTACATAATTGATGGTTCAAGAAAAGTCGATACAACTTTACTCAACAGTAATTATTTATGTAAGATTCATATAAAGCAACTTTTCAGGGCACACGCAAGTATTACACGTCTCTTATAAATAAAAAATAAAATAATTTATTTGCCAGAATACGGTTACAAGGTTATAGAGAGAGAAGTTTCCAACATATTCTATCGTACATACGTGTGCAAATATTACCTACTTACAGGATGGGCTAAAAAAGAACGCTGTTGTCCTGTGAAACGCACCCTAGTGAGTGAACATTCATGAAATTATGCACTTTCCATCACTCACGCAGAGTCACTCGTCATGTACCTCGTACCGTTTTAGAGAAATCAAGCGTTGCTATTTGCAAAAAAATTTGGCCCACCCTATATGTGTAGGTAGCTTTATCTACCGTGGCGGGTGAAGCCGCGGGCAAAAAATAGTATTAGTATAGATTAATCTAATAAAATACCTGTGAGCACGATTAATAAAAATGGTAAAACGCTCCGTTTTGTATCTTTTATTAAATGAGTTGGTATTACACTACTTAATAAATTAATTATAAGCAATGTCTACAGTTCTCCACAAGCTATCTTTATAAATATTTATTCGACCAAATCCACGCGGGCTGCACGCGTTGGTTTGGTCGAACCTTGAGGCTGAGTTGCACCACCTAACTTTGACGATAACCGGTGTTTTTTGTATGAAGTTTGACAGATTTTTGACGTTTGTCAAAGTTAAAGTATGGTGTACCTCTGGTGCAACCCAGTCTATAAGTTCGTGAATGAAACTATAAGCACACCGTCACCAAATCTAACTACTACTTATTAACTACCCATTTGATAGTTAAGTATCAGAAACAAGTTTAATCCCAAGACTAAAGGGTTTACCTTCGTTAAGAGTTCGTTCAGTTAATTAAACTGACCGTGGGCAGTGGGCATGATCAAAGGATCGTAATGAGGGTAGTTTAAATTTAGTTTTAGTTTGTGGAACGTTTATTAACTCAGTATTTTTGGAAGATTAGCAACTTGTGGTTTGATTCCCATTATCCCTCGAGGTCCGGTTTCTGAATTGATATTTCCAGCTTGAGCGTAAGTAGGCAGTTAGGTAGGTACTCATCTAGGCTACTACTCAAATATGAATTTATTAAGAAAAGTTCTTTGTAAAGCACGGCCAAGCCAAAAATCTTAATCCAGTCGGGCCTAACAGAAAAGAAAGAAACACAAAATTTAGGCGGTCTTATCGCAATAAAGCGATCTCTTCCAGATAACCTAGAGGACAAATGTTAAGAATAAGGCTATCTAGTCCTACGTGGTTGTTGGTGTTGTACTAATAAAACACACAAACTCAATAAATAAGCGTTTATTTATATCAACGTAAGTACGACATAGACTATATTACAATCGATTACAATAATAATATGAACTCGTTATATACAAACAAAACTATATAATTACTTATAGCGTGCGTTCTCGAGAATGTATTTATTTATTTAACTATTAGGTGTCATAGAAGAAATGATGATAAGCAATAGGGAACAAATCATTAAATAAATTATTATTTTAAATCTTATCGTGGTAGCTCTATAGGCCTGCATCTCACCTGATGGAAAGTGATGATCAGGCCGAAGGTGGAAGCGAGCTTTATTTGGAATCCTCAACCACATCAATTAGTTAATTTCGTACTATTATAAATGCCAAAGAAACTATTTATTTGTCTATATTTTACATTTTCACGCTTAAAGGCCATAACAGACTTATTTTGAAAGGGATCAACACCGTATCACCTTTCGCGCGCTGTCAACCGCTAGGCTAGGCGTTTACGTTACGGTGCGGATAAGTGTGCGTTGCAGTATAGAGTTTCATACAAAGAATACTGGCCACCTCGAGTTGATACGGTTACGATCCCTTTCCGGGTTGATAAATTTGCTACGTCCAACAACTATACAACTGAAAGAATCGATATTTAGATGGTATCTGTTTGGGACGAAGTGAAAAAAATTGTGATACTTTTTATCCCGGTTTTAAAAAAAGTGACAAACACAATAGTCGCACGTGCGGAGCTTTGGGAAAAAGAGATTTGTATAAATGGTTGGCAAATCATCAAACCTGCTATGACCTTGCACAGAGGTTGTCAACTTTAACAAATAAAGTTATTATAGACGTATGCATGTGCTAAGAGGGGATTTTCCAATTTTCACCCCCTAAAGGGGATGAAAGTTCCCCGAAGGGGATAAAAGTTCCCTGAAGGGGATGAAAGTTCCCTGAAGAGGATGAAAGTTCCCTGAAGGGGATGAAAGTTTCCTGAAGGGGATGAAAGTTCCCTGAAGGGGATGAAAGTTCCCTGAAGGGGATGAAAGTTCCCTGAAGGGGATGAAAGATCCCTCAAGGGGATGAAAGTTCCCCGAAGGGGATGAAAGTTCCCTGAAGAGGATGAAAGTTCCCTGAAGGGGACGAAAGTTCCCTGAAGGGGATGAAAGTTCCCTGAAGGGGATGAAAGTTCCCTGAAGGGGATGAAAGTTCCCTGAAGGGGATGAAAGTTCCCTGAAGGGGATGAAAATTTCCCAAAGGGGATGAAAGATCCCTGAAGGGGGTGAAAGATCCCTAAAGAGGATGAAAGATCCCTGAAGGGGATGAAAATTCCCCTAAAGGAGTTGAAACGGGTTCAGTTTACGCGAAATAAGTTGCGGACAAAAGCTAGTTATAAATACAATTTGATGGACAATTTGAACGTCAATGCTCAAAAGATAAGACTTATTTTAAAAAGCGGGTAGATATCTCAATCTTGCAACTCGTCTCCCTCGTTCAAAGACAATCTATGGTTCGATCATAGAATGAATTTCCCAGCCAAATAAATTAATTTCCATTTGCCACTACCTTCTTAAAGTGATACATCCTTAAATGTGCAGGCATGACAGACATAGCAACTGCTACAACCAATTTCATACCATTCATAACAAAAAAAATCATACAAATCATTTTGCAAATCATACAAAAAATTAAAATACCTACTTAGGTCCTTGCACCACTTGCGGAAAGTTCATGATAGCCTATCTGGATGTTATCTGTCAGATAAACCATCGCTTTTTTTGAAGATAATAGTTTCACCATCTCTTTTTCAGAAGACACATCGGTATCAGTGAAAGAGACAAATATAACAAAACAAAATGAATTAAGACTAGCCCCAAAAGTTAGAATTTGTGAATATGTATTATTTTTCACAGTCAAATTTTTACAAATATGCGACAATGAAAACGGTAATTGTGGGACTTCAAACTTTATTAGGCTGTATATTATGATGTCTTTTATTTTACATGTTTTTGTTAGTTAAGAGATATTGCTTTTCAAAGTATTGAAATATTTTAGGAGACATAAATGCTTATTTTTAAATGATCCCAATGAAAACAAAATTCCTCTTATGTGTCACCATAGGGGTCACTTAAAAATTAGGGATTATGGTGAAAACTGGCAATAGTAGTCTGTTAAAGATCTCATTTATTGCACATAGTGTGTTAGGAGACAAAGATTCCCAAAGTATTGATACATTTTAACAGACTAATGCCCGTTTTCAACTTCAATTCCTAATTTTTAAGTGACCCCTAAAAACAAAATTCCTGTTATGTGGTACTATAGGGCTCACTTAAAAATTAGGGATTGATGGTGAAAACGGGCAATAGTTTCCCAAACTGTTTACTTTGTTCGAGCTTATTTAAGGGAATTGCAACTTTAATTATTATTAGGCTGTATGTTAAGGTGTCTTTTGTTTTACACATAGTGTGTTAGAAGACATAGTTTCTCAAAGTGTTGAAATATCTACGCGGCGCATACTGTGTGGTCTAGCGGCCGTAGTTCCAACTTCACGTCGTCCGACTGCAGTTCTGCTACTATGTCGCGTAACCTGCGAACAGAATTGGGTATTAGAGTTTAAAGTAGTAATTTTATTATTAGAAGTCGACTTATCATGACTTGTATGTGTCTCGTTCAAGTCTCGTATACATAAAGACAGTACTAATTTCAATAAAAATTCCCAAATTTTAAGAAGTAGCCCTAATGAGAAGTATTTCATTAGCGAGTCGGTTGCCATAATGAGAATTAGCCCTAATGCGCTTAAAGGATACGTTTAGTGCTTGTGTTACCACAATAGTCGTGCGGCGGCGGGGATCGAACCCGCGTTCCTAGGATCACGAGTCAGCCAATGCGACACCTTTATCGTTCGGCCATCGTCGCTTCATGTACGGGACTATTCCCACTTCTCGTTCCCACCGCTGCAACTCCTGTGTAGCCAGGATCTACAGCAGCGGTTCCCAAACTTATTTAGTCTACTGCCCACTTTGAGAATAAATTATTTTTTAGCGCCCCCCATTTTTGTAGTCAAGAGTCGAGCTCAGTCGGTGTCTAAGAGTTCTCTTAGTAGATGACGCCTCCCAAGCCTCTACACAACGTCCCGATTTTTTTATGGGTCTCTTACCGCCCCCCTTTAATCCTGCAGCGCCCACAAGGGGGCGGGGGCGTTATCGCCCACTTTGGGAAAGACTGATCTACAGGTTGACCAGTGAAGGTCAAGTCTTACTAGTCTCCTATACGTGTCTCACCTGGCCAGCTGAGTGGGCGTGACGTAGATGGTGTCTCCACTGGGCGCGTCTCCCGCCGCCGGGTAATGTATGGTGCCGACGTCCACCGACTTGCCGGTGAGAGCCTGGAGGAATAATTAGTTAATTATTGATATCTTTAACAATATCATGAGAGAACATTACTATGAGAAAGAGTAGCCAAATAAACATGGATTTGGTCTTGTGGGATATGATGCTCAACCACAATAAGGAAGCTAGATGTTAGTGCTTCCTTCCGAGCGGGTGTTATGCTCGGGGACCAAGGTCCAATTTACACCATCTTGGTTTGTCTATATATTATACTTGGCAGGATATAAAACTCCGTCACCGCGATGCAGGTTTGTATGAGCGGCGGAGTGTGCCATAGTGTAGTAGTAACAGCGCCATCTGTTGGTACACAGTTTGTAGTGGCGTATCGTCGGTGTCGCCACAGTCTTATTCTATGCAGGATCAAATGGCCTACAGCTGCTAGGAAAATCGGTTTTCAATATTGTAAGTCGAGAGATATCCGTTTCAAATTATTTCTATTTTCGGAAATTGATCACTTAAGAACACCTCCATTGAGAGGGAAACTCAGGATAATCCTATTGGGCGAACTGCGGACGAATGACCCATTTTAAGACAATAACTTGCGGCTTCGTTTCAATCAATGGCCCCGGAGTACACCGTCGGGTTTTAGTGGGTAGGCCCCGCCCTCTTGGCAGGGAGAGTCCCACATATTTTTTTTTTATTTATTTGTGTTGAGCGGCTATTCTAGTTCAATAAAGTCCTAGTATCACTGCGACCGTTATCGATCTATTGTGATCGCCGCTGTTTTCCTTACAGTTCGCCTCCGAGTCCTGCATCCATTAGGAAGTGCAGTATCTTTTGGGGGCGATATGTTTTACATCTTGTGGGCTTAGGATGTGTTTGCCCAGGTGTAAGCTCCGCTTGCGCATCAGAGGTCCGCAGTCCGTGAGAATGTGTAGTGGCGTTTCATCTGCCTCTTGGCACATCCTGCACGTTCTTGTTTCGGACAGTCCCATAGTGGACAAGTGCTTGTTTAAGCTGCAGTGTCCAGTGAGGGCTCGAACTAAGATGCGCATTTTGGTCCTACTCAGTCCTATGATCTGCTTAGAGCTTTTTCGATCATAGGCTTTTATGAGAGCTTTGGAATGAGTTAATCCTGGCGTGTCTGACCATGCCATAAAGGATTTGTTTAAATAGATGTTCTCCAGGGTCATTCGAGCGAGACTTTTGGGAACACCACAAAAGGATTCTGGACCATATTGTGTTCCCTCCGCTCCCGCTCTGGCTAGTTCGTCGGCATTTTCATTGCCCTCGATTCCCGCATGACCTGGAACCCATCTCAGCGTTACTCTGTTCCGTTCTACATAACCCACTGACTATCCCCATCGGCAAGTGGGTATGCAAAGCATTTCCCGACGGAAAAAAGGAGAGTCATATTGGCAAACAAATGAAGCTATTAAATAAAACAGTAAAACATTTTGTAGGAATTAATTAGGAATTCAAGAACTCAAGAAGCTCTATGGAGCGGGCTATGCTTGGTGTTTCTTTGCGAGATCGAATCAGAAATGAGGAGATCCGTAAACGAACTAAAGTCGCTGACATAGCCCGACGGATTAGCAAGCTGAAGTGGCAGTGGGCAGGGCACATAGTACGCAGAACTGACGGCCGATGGGGCAGCAAGGTTCTGGAATGGAGGCCGCGTACCGGAAAACGCAGCGTGGGACGTCCACCTACAAGGTGGACCGACGACATCGTAAAGGTAGCAGGGAAGCGCTGGACGCAGGCCGCTACCAACCGTGCGATGTGGAAGTCATTGGGGGAGGCCTATGTTCAGCAGTGGACGTCTTGTTGCTGAAATGATGATGATGATGATCAAAGACTCACCGCCGCTAGTTCTCTCGCAGGGAATTCGGCGAAGTCTGCCTCCACGCAACGCCAGGGCCGGTGCAGAAGCATTTGACTGCGCACCTCTGCTTGCAACGCCACGAGGCGATCCTGGAAGTAACAGTTTATTTATTTTTTTTTTTATTTTATTCAATAAGTACACATACAGGTTACAGTCATTTACATATCAAAATACATAAACAAAATGAACATTGTCTAGACTCCAACCTACAAGTAGCGTACATTTAAGTTACGATGATTTCATTTACGTTGCACAATTAATAAACACATACAAAATGCTTACGTAAATTAATTGTAGACTTACGGGACTATTCCCACCTCTCGTTCCCACCGCTGCAACTCCTGTGTAGCCAGGATCTACAGCTTGACCGCCATAAAAACCCAACCAATGAAGGTCATTTTGTCCCGGGGGAAAGTTAAACTGTCATTGGACCCGCAACGAAAATAATCAGAAGAACATAGGAGTTCGAAATTAAGGTTCGACTTCCCTCCATTGCAAAGCGGATGACAGGTGACCAACAAAGGTTGTTGTGTTCTTAATAGCTTGCAATTAATAGGTAGTAAAATAATGGACACCTTTAACTACCTCTGTACTCTAGTGGTAAGACCACCTGCTTCAGACGCAAAGGTCCCGGGTTCGATTCCCAGTGGGGGCAGATTTTTCTGTTCGGTTTGGTTGGTGGTAGGGCTTGTTCTAAGTCCGCCTGGCTAGCTACCACCATCTAACCTAAGTCAGTCGCTATAACAACAATGTTAACAGCATTGTTGTGTTCCGGCAATTGGAGGTAAGATAGCCAGTTCCTCCGTGGTTGAAGATTCCGGGTGAAGCTTGCTTCCACCTTCGGCCTGATCGTCACTTACCATCAGGTGAGATACAGGCCAAGAGCTTCCCCGTTGGTGATAAAAAAGCGGTGGGTAAGTTGGCTTTTTTATGCGAAGCCACGGGCAGAACTGTTGATAGCTATATAAGCGGTTACCTCTAGCTGCTTCCTGATCTCCTTCTGCTTGTCCTTGTGCTGTTGTAACGCGCGCGCGTATTTCCCAGGCTCTTCCGGGAACTTGACCAGGCCAGACCGCGCCACGAAGAGAGTCCACTCCTGCATACAATATACGGTTGATAAATAAATTATAAGGTGTTGTTTTAAATTGACTACCTCGGGTGGCAATTGAACTCAGGACTTTTCGCTAATAGGGTGACTACTCATACCGATGAGTTGTGGATACGTTCAGTAAGAGCCACAGCACAAAGTTTAGCGACTGTTGTACCCATTTAGCAAGCTTTCGGCATTATTCCCACCTCTCGTTCCCACCGCTGCAACTCCTGTGTAGCCAGGATCTACAGCTTGACCGCCAATAAAATCCCAACCAGTGAAGGTCAAGCTTCTCCCGGGGGAAAGTTAAACTGTCATTAGACCCGCAACGAAATTAATCAGAAGAACATAGGAGGAGTTCGAAGGTGGTTCCATTTAGCGAGCTTCCGAAAAGCGACTCAACCACCTCATTTGGCGTTTTAAAGTGTGATATACGATCGCTGCATTTGGCTTCTAAAAAGCGGCTAAATCGCCTTTAGCCGATGCTCAAACTAACATGTGTGCTGTGAATCTAAGGCTGCGATGCACCATCATACTTTAGCTTTGACAAACGTCAAAAATCTGTCAAACTCCATACAAAAAGCACTGGTTATCGTTATATTTGCCGTTAAAGTTACGTGGTGCATCTCGGCCTTAGCGAAAAGTCATGACTTTAATTCCTATTTGATTAAAATATGTTTTAGATGAGTTTAGCATCTCTAATACTAAAATTCCTGTGTATACTCCTGGGACCCGTGTATACTCCTGGGACTCCTGTATACATCTGGGACTCCTGTATTCTACGGGAACTTATGTATACTCCTGAAAACTGTGCCTGTGCTCTATAAACTCACCGTCTGCAACTTGGCCAGCTCTCTCTCGAGCTGCGCGGCCGCCTGCCTCCTAGCCAGGGCCGGCTTGGCGGTCGGGTGCTCCAGCGGCCGCAGGCTTCGGATGGTGGCTCTCTCGGCCTTCCTGCAGGCTGCCACGCGGGCGGCGCGCTCGCGCTCCACTGTCCTGAAGACAGAACAGAACACTTTACCTAAATTTAACACCTAAACCATTGTACCTATTCTTTGCAAATAAATATTTTGACTTTGACACTTAGGACCCCGTTCACCAGAGTAAAGTGTCAAGTAGGCCACACGATGCTTAAAGTCACGAGTAGCAACTAAACCATGGCACTGACAAGACCCTAAAATACTAAAATAATACGCTAAATTACTTCTTACTTTTACCTCCCAAATAATGTTAACAATGATGAGGGCGTAGTGTGAGTTTACGTCAAGCGCATTCGATGTCTATTGCGTAAAAAAGTGACATTAAATGTATGACGGATTGTACAACGCTCCTAGCGGAAACTTTCAAGAAGTAAAATTTTCATATATTTTTAACGCGCTCGCTAGTGAGGACGTTTCATGTAAACTCACACTAGCTCTCAGAAAGTAACTCGTGAAAGAGGCCCTGAGTCGTTAAAATAGAGAAACAAAGAGTTTCAGAATCATGGTCATCAATGATAACACTCAGTTATTGTAGACTGGTCTTTAGGCACTGATATATCTTGACTTACCAGCTGAGAACCTTCAACTGGTGCTGCAGAGCCTCATTGACTTCTCCAGCCGCGGCACCAGCCACCACCTTTACTGGCGTTTCCTCTGTCACACCACACGGAATATTAGATGATGCATAATAATGTACAACGCGATCTGAACCGTTTTGGCGTATTTCTATGATGATCGAGATGTGAGTGTAGCTGGATGATGTTGTTATTTTTTTGGGAAATGATCAGCACCAAGGTTAATGACTTCAAAGTACTTAAAAAGGCAAAATAAAGGACAGTTACTGCAGATTAAATGACATAAAATCAACAATAAATCCGTCATCTACAAGTTTAACCTGAGTTAATGAAAGTGTACGATTCGGTAAAAGTATTCCTTTTATAGTAAATTAATCGAGTAAACATTGTAAATGTTTACTCGATTTTCAAACAAAAAAAAATCGGTATAAAATACGCCAAAGCGATTTAGATCACATTGTAAAAATGTTTAACATCGAATAAACGAAGAAGCAGCCATGTCCACCGGCGATGCATGAATTAGGGTGTACTCTGAGCCAATAACTGACTTTGACAATATTAGTGCAACTTTCCGAGACAATTTGAGTAAATCTTTCTTTAACTACAATAATGATATCGCTTCGTCTATTTAGTCTAAGTTTTTCTTAGACTATCTTATGTTCAATTGTCGAGGTCTATTGGTGCAGAATTTACATAAGCGGGTCAGCAAATTCGGTTCTTTCGGTTTATAAACGGCAAAGCTTTTCTCGATGATGAATCTACATTACTCGTTAATCAGTACAGAGAATATTACTTCATACAGATTTTGGACCATATATCGTCGCGATAAAGTTCAAATTGAGGTCACAAAAATTCGGTTAAAGGTTACCTCACCTCAATTGAATCAAAATCAATTAATGCCGACCCACCTAACTGTACAGAACCCTGTAGCATGACGGTTATACACTTTGATCTTAGTTGGATGTATGAAAAATGTTTTGGAGAAAAATATGAACTTTTTTGTGTCAAAAAACTAACTTTTTGATGTTGTCCACAAATAAGGTCAGATTTCTCTCCTTTTTTACAAAATGTTAAAAAAAATAATGCCCATTGAAATGTGAAGAAAAAAATACTAAAAAGCAATATTTTTTAATAGAAGTATGTATGTATCATACATACACGTTTCCTTGTTTTAAAGTTAAAAAACAAAAAAATACGAAAATATATCAAGTATTTTAAGCATGAAATAGCAATGTAAAAGAAACTTTAACTAAACAAAAATAAATATCAATCTTCACAAATAAATGGGTCGGTTAAACTTAACGAAATGACGTCACATTTTTACAATCATGCAAGTTAACAACGAAAATTAAAATTAAAAATTAGAACATAAAAATTAGATTTTCATTCCATTCCTGTAAAAAAGCTGTAAGTAATTTCTTTATGTTAAAAAACCTTCCCTTCACTCTTTTTACCTAAAGACAATCACAAAATATAAAAACATAATTACTCCTCCCCTAAAAGAAATATACAAAAAAAAACCCTTAAAATAAATAAAATTACAAAATTTTCGCTTCTTTTAAATTGTATATTACTTACTAAACTACTAATCAGAAAAAGTAAAATAACTACAAAATGAATGTCGTATACTGAAACATTTCATTTATAGATGTAAAAAACTGCTTTAAAAAAGGATCAATTTAATAATAATTAAATTGATCATTATATTAACTACTTATATGTAGTTTTGATCTGCATGAGTATAAAAAAACGAATGGACGCAAAATAAATAAAAAAACAAGTTCATGCAACACCGACACGTTAAAACATGTATATTGTATACAACAGTGTATAATCTTACGTATTATTTCTTTTGGCGTCGCTACGGGCGTCGGCACCGCTATGACAAATATATATTTTAATATACATAATAAATTTCTTGTATACAGGGTGTTAGGTAAATGGGTATATGAGCCGACACTAGCCCATGTTAACATGGGCATATAAATGGTATGGTGAAGTCAGAAAATTGATATCTTCATTTTAATTATTTTAATTTTCATACAAATCGGATTTTATAAAATTTATTTTGTATGAAAATTAAAAAAATTAAAATGACAATATCAAATTTCTGACTTCACCATACCATTTATATGCCATGTTAACATGGGCTAGTGTCGGCTCATATACCCATTTACCTAACACCCTGTATATCACCCAATAAAATATATACAACAATTATACGTCAACGGGAATCTACGAGCTTTTGCTATCGGGTAAATATCTCAGTATACAATTGAGATACACATTTTTATATGAATGTATACAAAGCAGTGTAAGGGAAGGCATGCAGGTTAGAACATATACGCGCATCTTACGTGCGTAGTCTCGGACGACAGGCGGCGCCACCGCTGCACGTACAAACAAGTTTTTAGTTTCGTATACTTTGTATATAAAATATGAAACACACTTGAAAAATGTATACGAGGTTTATGTCAGTATTACGGCAAACTGGCGAATTGTGATGTATCCATTGTATATTTCACACTGTTATGTTTGTATACAGATTATGACACTCCATTAAGCTATAAAAAACATGTAAGTTGTGATTGAGTATTGTCATGACGGCGTAAGTTGGCCATAAGTCTTTTTAAAAGTACAAATATCTTAAAAATCTCAGTTAGCGACTTTTTGACACGAAAGTGCCTGTTATTGTTTGTATTGTGTTTATTGTCATGTGTCATTAGTGTTTCTATATTTTAAAATATGAATGTGAAAGATTTATGACCATATTAAAAAAGTTCATCTATAAAATAAATATATTTTATATTTTCTAAAATAACTATAACTTTCACTGGCTTAGAATGCCTTTAGCATTAAATTCGCCAAATTAGGTGGCGTTGAATCAATTAATAATTTACTTTACAATTTTTCTCATAATAAGTATCACAAATCTTATCTTTGTGTAAAAAGTCAGTATTCTTTTTTAAACTTATTTTAATAATCTTAAAAAATACTGATGATTCTCACGCCATCACATCACATTCTGGTTTTTATTTATCACCTAGTACAATAGGCCAGTTACCTAAAAAAAAAACTTTTACGCCCTTACTAATAAAACTTACACGCTCGTTGAACAGTGTTTTAAAGTGACGTTTAGTATTTAAATGTCATTTTAAAACAGTGTTCAACAACTGTAACTTTTTATTGGTAAGGGGGTCAGTCAGTAAATAACATTATCAAGAAATATTGGACACGTATATGTATTTTAAATTTATATTTGTCAATCAAAGAAGTAATTACGAAGTTATGGTGCGTTGAAGTTCCGCGTGACGTCATAAAGTGCTACACTTTTAAGCACGCCTTGACGTCAAGGGCAATTAACATTAGTTTCAAAAAGTGAAGAATACGTGTCGAGTATTTTTTGATAAGGTAATCCACGGACTAATGCCCGTTTTCACCATCGATCCCTAATTTTTAAGTGACCCCTATGGTAACACATAACATTAATTTTGTTTTGGTCACTTAAAAATTAGGGACTGATGGTGTAAACAGGCGTAATTCACTCTTGCCTTTTACCCAGGAAACATCCCTATTATTTAAGGTAATTTTTAGCTTGAAGATCATTGCGTTGTTGTGACTTAGGCCCAGAACAGACGGTGCAACGCAACTGCAATGAAACTGCAACTGCTAGTTACTTTTGAGTTGCATCTAAGTTTCTGCCATCGCGTCCGTTGAGAGACCACACATGACGCGACCAGTTTGAAACTTTCAGTTTCAGTTTAATTCATCAGAATCATCACAAAGTTGCAGTTTCGTTGCAGTTGCGTTTCACCGTCTGTTCTGGGCCTTAGTCGATTACACATTAAAATACACAAATTTATCGCAATATAGCACTTATTACAAAGACAATAAAGTACATACCGTGATGCGAGCCGCCCCTCTTAGCGTAGAGTTTCAGTTTGTCGCGGAGGGCGCCACGTTCGCTCTCCAAAGAGTCTATGTCTTGTTGCAGATGGTCCATTGTTTCTTCGAACTCTTTCTCTTTCCTGTGAAATAAATATAATACAGTGTGAGTCACGTTAAAGTGTACATATGAAAATAGATGAAACTAGACCTATTTTTATCGACAAAAAAGAGGTCAAAAAGTTTTTGAGATTTTTTTTTAATTTTTTATAGAATTTTTTTTCTTCCAATTACTTATTGTAAAGAAAACGTAATAACTTTGAAACTAAGCGGTATATCCTGATAAAATAAAAACAGTCATAATGCTAAATAACAGGCGATACTAAAAAATACATAAAATACACAAAAAATGCCAACAAATAATAAATAATGATACTTTTCGAAAAAAATCTGCTTTAAAATTCGTGTTTTTTTGGTTATTTGATAAATTTCTCCAAAAAATGCCCCTATAACAGGTGGTTTTTATTACTTTTTATTATTCTCTATCGTATTATCTTTGTAAAACCAAAAATCGCATGTCTCTATCCCTATCACAACATTTGCTATGATCGTTTGAACAAAGGCCTGCCACAACATTATTCTCCGCTACAGGTAGAGACAATTTTAATTTTAACTAAAATGCTTATTTTACTTCGAAATCTTTTGTTTTTATTTGAAATCTAACTTGTCTTTATCAAAATTACAAATCTAGAGCCATTTTCAGTTTCGTTGTTAACGAAGCGTTGAATGGCGCGCCCGGAGAGGCTTAGTTCAAACGATCATTGCAAACGTTGTGATAGGGATAGAGACATGCGATTTTTGGTTTTACGAAGGTAATACGATAGAGAATAATACAAAGTAATAAAAACCACCGGTTATAGGGGCATTTTTTGGAGAAATTTATCAAATAAAAAAAAAAACACGAATTTTAAAGCAGATTTTTTTTAAAAAGTATCATTTTTTATTATTTGTTGGCCTTTTTTGTGTATTTTATGTATTTTTTTTAGTATCGCCTGTTATTTAGCATTATTAATGTTTTTATTTTATGAGGATATACCGCTTAGTTTAAAAGTTATTACGTTTTCTTTACAATAAGTAATTGGAAGAAAAAAAATTCTATAAAAAATTAAAAAAAAATCTCAAAAATTTTTTGACCTCTTTTTTGTCGATAAAAATAGGTCTAGTTTCATCTATTTTCATATGTACACTTTAACGTGACTCACACTGTATAAATAAAAAATTTGGAGTATAGGATCTAGGGTACATGAGATAGGTGACTATCATATTTAAACTTGAACTAACGAAGAGTAAGGCATGTATAAACATAACATTGAAAGTCAACAAGGCCTAAGCCAGGGAACCGCAAGTTGGATAGCGTAAGTCAGAGAAGCGTAACCCGTCTAGCGTAAATTAAGGGTAGAGGTCAGAATATTTTAAGGCGTATAAGTCAGAGAAATATAAAGGGTTAGTCATAGAAGTATAACTCGAACAAGCGTAAGTTAAACAAGTATAACTCGGACAAGCGTAAATCGGACAATCGTAAGCCAGACAAGAATAACTCGGACAAGCGAAAGTCTGGCAACTCGGACAAGCGTAAATCGGACAATTGTAAGCCAGACAAGAATAACTCGGACAACCGAAGGTCTGGCAACTCGGACAAGCATAAATCGGACAATTGTAAGCCAGACAAGAATAACTCGGACAAGCGTAAGTCAAACAAGTATAACTCGGACAAGCGTAAGTCTGGCAACTCGGACAAGCGTAAGTCTGGAAACTCGGACAAGCGTAAATCGGACAATCGTAAGCCAGACAAGAATAACTGGGACAAGCGTAAGTCAGACAAGTGTAGCTCACATCATTCTAAGTAAGACAAGCGTACACCCACCTCTTTAGCTGATTCTGAGCGTCTTCCAGTCTACGCTGCAACTGTTCCGCACGGAGCTCCGCGTCACGCGCTGCAGCTGTTAGCTTCCGCTCGCCTAGTTCCCGCCGGATCTGCATCTCGGATAGCTCTTCTTGCTTCGCCTGGGATACGGGAGGAATATTCATTTATTTCTAAATATATACAGGGTATCAGGTAAATGGGTATATGAGCCGACACTAGCCCATGTTAACATGGGCATATAAATGGTATGGTGAAGTCAGAAATTTGATAACATCGTTTTTTTTTTTTTCATACAAAATAAATTTTATAAAATATGATTTGTGTGCCATGTTGGGAGACCGTATGAATGAGACACGGGTTGTAGTTAGTCTCTGCTATATGTCTGTTTATTAACGCNTTGCATTATCTAATATTTTATTATGAGCGATTTGAATCTTTTGAAGTTTTAAGACTGATTCCAGCTGCACAGACGATGATCCTTCCGGAATTCGGGAATACGGATGTGACAGGGGTACTGGCAGCGACTTCTCGTAGTGTTGTGTTGCACGACTTGCACGGAGTTGACATGATGACGATGATTGATGTTGAAGTGACGTCACGGATTTGCTCTGCTCAATCGGGGTAGCCAATTTGATTCCATGTCAGATGAAAGCTGGCGGAGGCTGATGCTGAAGATGGTGGTGATGGAGGTTACGTTTCACATCACGTTGGCTTGGTACTTGTTTAACTTCGTCGTCGTTCGTCGGGCTTCGTCTGCTTCTTCGACTTCGTTGGGGTCAGCAATTTGTTTATTAATTTGTGGCAACTTCGTCGGGATCATCTTCTTCGTCGGGGTCATCTTCTTCGTCGGGGTCACCAATTTGTGCCATGTTGGGAGACCGTATGAATGAGACACGGGTTGTAGTTAGTCTCTGCTATATGTCTGTTTATTAACGCGAACTGCGTGACTATTTATACGATATAGATTAAAGGTAAATGACGTCACAGCATCAGCACTATACGTGATAAATGTGCTGACACTGTGAACGTGATCAAGATAAGATATGAAGAGATTTAGTATTGTGCATACCGGCACAATTTGTAAGAAAATTAAAATAATTAAAATGAAGATATCAATTTTCTGACTTCACCATACCTTTTATATGACCATGTTAACATGGGCTAGTGTCGGCTCATATACCCATTTACCTAACACCTTGTATAAAGGTAACTGACTGACTGACTGACATAGTGATCTATCAACGCACAGCCCAAACCACTGGACGGATCGGGCTGAAAGTCATGCAGGTAGATGTTATGTTATGACGTAGGCATCCGCTAAGAAAGGATTTTACGAAACTCCACCCCTAAGGGGGTAAAACAGGATCAACGTTTACGAAGTCGCGGCCGCTAGTTTATATTATAAAGTAAATAATAATTAACAACAAGGTGCTATAGGGCATCGAGGTTCTGCTAATGCTATGGAGCATGCTGCTATGGAGAGGGCTATGCTTGGTGTTTCTTTACGAGATCGAATCAGAAATGAGGAGATCCGTAAACGAACTAAAGTCGCTGACATAGCCCGACGGATTAGCAAGCTGAAGTGGCAATGGGCAAGGCACATAACTCGCAGAGCTGATGGCCGATGGGGCAGAAAAGTTCTCGAGTGGCGACCACGGAAGACGTGATGTGGGCAGGCCTTCCACTAGGTGGACCAACGACCTCATAAAGGTAGCAGGAAGGCGCTGGATGCAAGCCGCTACCAACCGATCATTATAGAAATCATTGGGAGAGGCTATGTCCAGCAGTGGACGTCCTGTATCTTAAATGATGATGATGATGATGAAATACCTTGAGAGCCTTCCTCAGCTCCTTGATATCAGCCTCCTTGTTCTCCAGCTTGATTGTCAGCGTCTTGGTCTCGTCCAGCTGTTTCTTGACTAGTTGTGCTCGCAGAACCACTGGCGGGATCGGCTGTAACATTAGAAGAAGCTATAACACTTGCGCGACTCTATGTAGGTGTTACTCAAAGTCAAAATTATTTTATTTTAATTCATTAAATAGTGCTTACAAATCATCAAAGTCTTTCTACAGAAGTTTACCGAATGAAAGATAAATATTGAAGAAAATTGACAATGTAAAAAATTAAACATTCTCGATTTCACAATAGGTAATTTAATCACAACAGGAGCTTGGTGTGTTACTCTTAACTCGCAGTCTTATTTACATATTTCATCGTCCCAACGCCCAACATTGCAGTCGGCTTCTATTTTGTATGACAAATCGGCCTACTTCCATATCAATAAAACTCATTTATCAACCGACTTCAAAAAAGGAGGAGGTTCTCAATTCGACCCGTATGTTTTTTTTTTCTATGTTTGTTACGCGATAACTCCGCCAATTATGAACCGATTTGAACAAATCTTTTTTCGGCGTATAGGTAATACCTCAAGGGTGGTCCCATTTAAATTTAATAATAGAAAAAACAACCCCCAAGGGTGGAAAATTGAGGATGAACTTTTTTATACGCAATATCTCCGCCGATTATAAATCAATTTGAACGATAATTTTTTTGTTGAATAGGTATTATCAAAAGGGTGGTTTCATGCGAATTTGAAGAAAATATTTCACCCCCAAGGGTGGAAAATTGGGGATGAACTTTTTTATACGCAATATTTTTAATTTTTAGTTTTTTTTTGTGTTCACGCATTTGAAGTCGGTTTTATTTTTAAAAAAAGTTAATTATTTTTGCAAATAGGCTTTTAAAAAGCACTTTTACATGTCCCAGTATTAACCCTACCACTGCTTCGGGACAATAAATGGGCCAGTGCTGAGAAGAAGCAGCGCAAGAAAGTCACTATTATCAGCCCCATACATGTTCGTTCACAATTATTAACAGCCCGACCAAACTATCGGCGACAAAAAGTCTATAGTCTGCGGGGACTCTTAGGATATATGGCTTTATAACTCAAGAAAGGCTGGACCGATTTTGATATTTTTTATGATTTCTGAAAACATTTGCACATTGTACAACTCAAGAACGGTTGAATCGATTCTGATGATGTTTGATGATTTCTGAAAACTCTTACCTTCTCCACAGCAGCGTTGGTGAGCGACATCATATCGTACTCCTTGTCCTGGACGAAGGTGGCCAGCTTGGTGACGTCAGCGGACACGGATGACAGCGCGTGCTTTATGGTGCGCACTGGCCCGTGGTCGTCCTGGGAAGAAACACATAGTTTATGAGTAAAGAATAAGTATTTTGTCACTGCTATAGTGCTGACCATTCCAGGAGGTTTAAGCACAAATAGTTTCGTGACACCCAAAGTGGCCATAAAGTTGATAACACAACTTTGCGGTAGTTGCCACGTTAAAGTGCACTCTATGTCACCGAGAGTAACCAAGCTAAAGAACACTTTATGTCACAACAAGTGACACTATATCACCGATCGGGCATACTAAAATACACCTTATCATGGTACAGCTTATCAACTGCAGCAGCCCACAACTCGTTGTCATGCTAAAGTGCACCCAGTCACAACGAATAACCAAGCTAAAGTGCACCTTATGCCAATGACTTACCTGCTGATACAGCTTGTCAACGGCTGCAGCCCACAGCTGTGCCAACGTCGCATGCGGCAAGGGGGCGGGGTCGCCGCGCTCGCCGCCAGTTGTCACGCTAAAGTGCACCCTATATTTCCCCGGTTGCCGCGCCGATCTACACTCTATCTCTTCGACTTATCTGCTGGTACAGCTTGTCCACAGCTGCAGCCCATAACAGCGTTAACGTCGCATGAAGCAAGGGGGCGGGGTCGCCGCGCTCGCCGCTAGTTGTCACGCCAAATTGCACTCTATGTCAACGGGAGTGACCACGCCAAATTACACCCTATGCTGCGCCTGGTGTCCATGCTGAAATACACCTTATTCCACCCACTTACCTGCTGATACAGCTTGTCAACAGCTGCAGCCCACAGCTGTGCCAACGTGGCATGCGGCAAGGGGGCGGGGTCGCCGCGCTCGCCGGCGGTGGCGGCGCAGGCGCAGGCCGCGCGGGCCGCGAGCCAGACGCAGCGCACGCAGCGCCAGAGAGAGTAGCGGCGCTAGTTGCCACGCTAAAGTGTGCTCTATATCACCACGAGAGAACACGCTAAACTACACCTTATTCCACACACTTGTCTGCTGGTAAAGCTTCTGTGCGAACGTCGCATGAGGAAAGGAGGCGGGGTCTCCACGCTCATCGCCAGTTGTCACGCTAAAATGCACTCTAAGACACTGCGAGCGAGCACGCTAAAGTACATTATGTCGCCGCTTGTTGCTACGCTAAAATGCACCCTATCTCACCACGAGCTGCCACGCTATTCTGCACCTTATACCACCCACTTACCTGCTGATACAGCTTGTCCACAGCTGCAGACCATAACAGCGTTAACGTCGCATGAAGCAAGGGGATGGGGTCGCCGCGTTCGTCACACTAAAATGCTCTCTATCCCGTTGTATTACCTGTTGATATAGCTTGTCAACGGCTGCAGCCCAAAGCTGTGCCCACGTCGCATGCGGCAAAGGGGCGGGGTCACCGCGCTCGCCCGCAATAGCGACACTAGTTGTCACGCTAAAGTGCACCTTATGGTGCGCCAGTTGTCAGGCTAAAATACACTCTATCTCTACGACTTACCTGCTGATATAACTTGTCAACGGCTGCAGCCCAGAGCTGTGCTAACGTCGCATGAGGCAAGGGGGCGGGGTCGCCGCGCTCGCCGGCGGTGGCGGCGCAGGCGCAGGCCGCGCGGGCCGCGAGCCAGACGCAGCGCACGCAGCGCCAGAGACTAATGCCCGTTTTCACCATCAATCCCTAATGTTTAAGTGACCCCTATGGTAACACATAACAGGAATTTTGTTTACATAGGGGTCACTTAAAAATTAGGGAATGATGGTGAAACCGGGCATAAGAGTAGCGGCGCTAGTTGCCACGCTAAAGTGTGCTCTATATCACCACGAGAGAACACGCTAAAATACACCTTATTCCACACACTTGTCTGCTGGTAAAGCTTCTGTGCGAACGTCGCATGAGGAAAGGAGGCGGGGTCTCCACGCTCGTCGCCAGTTGTCACGCTAAAATGCACTCTAAGTCACTGCGAGCGAGCACGCTAAAGTACATTATGTCGCCGCTTGTTGCTACGCTAAAATGCACCCTATCTCACCACGAGCTGCCACGCTATTCTGCACCTTATCCCACCCACTTACCTGCTGATACAGCTTGTCAACGGCTGCGGCCCACAGCTGTGCCAGCGTCGCGTGAGGCAAGGGGGCGGGGTCGCCGCGCTCGCCGGCGGTGGCGGCACTGGTTGCCACGCTAAAGTACACCCTATATCACCACGCGCTGCCACGCAATATACACTCTATCTCTACGACTTACCTGCTGATACAGCTTGTCAACGGCTGCGGCCCACAGCTGTGCGAGCGTCGCATGCGGCAAGGGGGCGGGGTCGCCGCGCTCGCCGCGATAAATGACAAGCTAAAATACACCTTATGCCACGGATATACTTGCTAAAGTCCACCTTATGTCGCGCCAGTTTCGACGCCAATTTGAACCCTACGCCATACACTTACCTGCTGATAAAGTTTATCAACGGCTGCGGCCCACAGCTGTGCCAGCGTCGCATGCGGCAAGGGGGCGGAGTCGCCGCGCTCGCCCGCAATAGCTGCGCTAATTACCACGCTAAAATGCACTCTATTCTCCTCTAGTTGCCACGCCAAAGTGCACTCTATACCGTTGTATTACCTGCTGATAAAGTTTATCAACGGCTGCAGCCCAGAGCTGAGCTAATGTCGCATGCGGCAAGGGGGCGGGGTCGCCGCGCTCGCCGGCGGTGGCGGCGCAGGCGCAGGCCGCGCGGGCCGCGAGCCAGACCCATCGCACGCAGCGCCAGAGTGAGTAGCGGCGCTAATTACCACGCTAAAATGCACTCTAAGTCACTGCGAGCGAGCACGCTAAAGTAAATTATGTCGCCGCTTGTTGATACGCTAAAATGATCAGCTTGTCTACAGCCCACAGCTGTGCGAGTGTCGCATAAGGCAAGGGGGCGGGGTCGCCGCGCTCGCCCGCGTTAGTTGCCACGTCAAAATGCACTCTATATTACAAGAAACAACCAAGCTAAAGTGCACTCTATCCCATTGTATTACCTGCTGATATAGCTTGTCAACGGCAGCAGCCCACAGCTGCGCTAACGTTGCATTGGCGGCGCAAGTTATCACGCTAAAATGTACTCTATGTCACCACAAGTTGCTAAACTAAAATACACTCTATCTCTAAGACTTACCTGCTGGTACAGCTTATCAACAGCTGCAGCCCACAGCTGTGCTAACGTCGCATGCGGCAAGGGGGCGGGGTCACCGCACTCGCCCGCCAGTTGCAACGCTAAAATCCACCCTATATTTCCCCAGTTGCCACTGCAATCTGCACTCTATGCCTATGACTTACCTGCTGATACAGCTTGTCAACAGCTGCAGCCCACAGCTGGGCCAACGTCGCATACGGCAAGGGGGCGGGGTCGCCGCGCTCGCCGGCGGTGGCGGCGCAGGCGCAGCGATAAGTAGCAAGCTAAAATACACCTTATACCAATGACTTACCTGCTGATACAGCTTGGCACTAGAGGCGACTTAGGGACTACACATCAAACAGAGAATGGGCAGCAGCGCTCTCTGAAAAACATCAATCTTTTAAACTGCGATCCCCAACCCGCCTGCCTAGCGTGGAGATTATGGCAAAACCCTCCACTATAGTGGAGGAGGCTCATAGTCCAGCAGTGGACTGTAAAGGGTTGTTGATGATGATGATGACAGCTTGTCAACGGCTGCGGCCCACAGCTGTGCGAGCGTCGCATGTCGCCGCGCTCTCCCGCGCTAGTTGCCACGCTAAAGTGCACCCTATATCATTACTAATTGCTAAACCAAACTGCGCTCTATTACCTGCTGATAAAGTTTATCAACAGCAGCGGCCCACAGCTGAGCCAACGTCGCATGCGGCAAGGGGGCGGGGTCGCCGCGCTCGCACGAAGTTGCCACGCTAAATTACACTCTATGTCAATTGGAGTGGTTACGCCAAATTGCACCCAATGCTACGCCTAGTGTCTAATGCTAATCTACACTCTATATCTTCGACTTACCTGCTGATACAGCTTGTCAACAGCTGCGGCCCACAGCTGTGCCAACGTCGCATGCGGTAAGGGAGCGGGGTCGCCGCGCTCGCCGCGATAAATGACAAGCTAAAATGCACCGTATGTCACCGCGATCGGGCACGCTAAACTGCACCTTATCCCACACACTTACCTGCTGATGTCGCATGCGGCAGCGGAGCGGGGTCGCCTAAAGTACACTCTATGTCACCAAAAGCGGGCACGCTAGAGTTCACTCTATGTCACTTGGAGTGGCACGCCAAAATACACTCTATCTCTATGACTTACCTGCTGATACAGCTTGTCAACAGCTGCGGCCCACAGCTGAGCCAACGTCGCATGCGGCAAGGGGGCGGGGTCGCCGCGTTCGCACGCTAAAGTGCACTCTATGTCACAACAAATAACCAAGCTAAAATAGACCTTATTTCACAGACATACCTGCTGATATAGCTTGTCAACAGCTGCAGCCCACAGCTGAGCCAGCGTCGCATGCGGCAAGGGGGCGGGGTCGCCGCGCTCGCCGGCGGTGGCGGCGCAGGCGCAGGCCGCGCGGGCCGCGAGCCAGACGCAGCGCACGCAGCGCCAGAGACTAATGCCCGTTTTCACCATCAATCCCTAATGTTTAAGTGACCCCTATGACCACAAAATTCCTGTTAATTGTTACCATAGGGGTCACTTAAAATTAGGGGTTGATGGTGAAAACGGGCATGAAGTAGCGACGCTAGTAGCCACGCTAAAGTGCACTCTAAGTCACTGCGAGCGAGCACGCTAAAGTACATTATGTCGCCGCTTGTTGCTACGCCAAAATGCACCCTATATCACTACGAGCTGTCACGCTATTTTACACTCTACACCTTGTCCACAGCTTACTTGTTGATACAGCTTGTCCACAGCCCACAGCTGTGCAAGTGTCGCATGTAGCGAGGGGGCGGGGTCGCAATAGCGACACTAGTTGCCACGCTAAAGTGTACACTATGTCGTTGTATTACCTGCTGATACAGCTTGTCCACAGTAGCCGCCCAAAGCTGCGCCAACGTCGCATGAGGCAAGGGGGCGGGGTCGCCGCGCTCACCACGCTAAAATGCACTCTATCCCGTTGTATTACCTGTTGATATAGCTTGTCAACGGCTGCAGCCAAGAGCTGTGCCATCGTCGCATGCGGCAAGGGGGCGGGGTCTCCACACTTGCTGCGGTAGCCACGCTAAAGTCCACCTTATGTTGCGCCAGTTTAGACGCCAATTTGAACCCTACGCCACACACTTACTTGCTGGTATAGCTTGTCAACGGCTGCCGCCCACAGCTGTGCTAACGTCGCATGCGGCAAGGGGGCGGGGTCGCCGCGCTCGCCGGCGGTGGCGGCGCAGGCGCAGGCCGCGCGGGCCGCGAGCCACACGCATCGCACGCAGCGCCAGAGACTTATGCTCGTTTTCACCATCAATCCCTAATGTTTAAGCGACCCCTATGGTAACACATAACAGGAATTTTGTTTACATAGGGGTCACTTAAAAATTAGGGAATGATGGTGAAACCGGGCATAAGAGTAGCGGCGCTAGTTGCCACGCTAAAGTGTGCTCTATATCACCAGGTGTGGCCAGGCTAAATTGCACCCTATGCTGCGCCTAGTGTCCATGCTGAAATATACCTTATCCCACGCACTTATCGCCCGCGGTCGCGGCGCAAGCGCAGGCTAAAGTCCACCATATATCATCGCTATTGCTACACCAAAGTGCACTCTATCCCGTTGTATTACCTGTTGATAAAGTTTGTCAACGGCTGCAACCCACAGCTGTGCTAACGTCGCATGCGGCAAGAGGCGGGGTCGCCGCACTCGCCACGCTAAAGTGCACTCTATGTCACCACACATGACTAAGCTAAAATACACCTTATGCCAATGACTTACCTGCTGATATAGCTTGTCAACAGCTGCAGCCCAGAGCTGAGCCAACGTCGCATGCGGCAAGGGGGCGGGGTCGCCGCGCTCGCCACCAGTTGTCACGCTAAAGTGCACCCTATATTTTCCCAGTTGCCACGCCAATTTACACTCTATCTCTACGACTTACCTGCTGATAAAGCTTATCAACGGCTGCCGCCCACAGCTGAGCCAACGTCGCATGAGGCAAGGGGGCGGGGTCGCCGCGCTCGCCGGCGGTGGCGGCGCAGGCGCAGGCCGCGCGGGCCGCGAGCCAGACGCATCGCACGCAGCGCCAGAGACAGAGTAGCGGCGCTAATTACCACGCTAAAATGCACTCTAAGTCACTGCGAGAGAACACGCTAAACTACACCTTATTCCACACACTTGTCTGCTGGTAAAGCTTCTGTGCGAACGTCGCATGAGGAAAGGAGGCGGGGTCTCCACGCTCATCGCCAGTTGTCACCCTAAAATGCACTCTAAGACACTGCGAGCGAGCACGCTAAAGTACATTATGTCGCCGCTTGTACGCCAAAATGCACCCTATCTCACCACGAGCTGCCACGCTATTTTACACTCTACACCTTGTCCACAGCTTACTTGTTGATACAGCTTGTCCACAGCCCACAGCTGTGCAAGTGTCGCATGTAGCGAGGGGGCGGGGTCGCAATAGCGACACTAGTTGCCACGCTAAAGTGTACACTATGTCGTTGTATTACCTGCTGACATAGCTTGTTAACGGCTGCAGCCCAGAGCTGTGCTAACGTCGCATGCGGCAAGAGGCGGGGTCGCCGCGCTCGCCACGCTAAAGTGCACTCTATGTCACCACACATGACCAAGCTAAAATACACCTTATGCCAATGACTTACCTGCTGATACAGTTTGTCAACAGCTGCAGCCCACAGCTGCGCTAACGTCGCATGCGGCAAGGGGGCGGGGTCGCCGCGCTCGCCACCAGTTGTCACGCTAAAGTGCACCCTATATTTCCCCGGTTGCCGCGCCAATCTACACTCTATCTCTTCGACTTATCTGCTGGTACAGCTTGTCCACAGCGGCAGCCCATAACAGCGTTAACGTCGCATGAAGCAAGGGGACGGGGTCGCCGCGTTCGTCACACTAAAATGCTCTCTATCCCGTTGTATTACCTGTTGATACAGCTTATCAACGGCTGCAGCCCACAGCTGAGCCAACGTCGCATGCGGCAAGGGGGCGGGGTCGCCGCGCTCACCACGCTAAAGTGCACCCTATATCATCGCTAATTTTTACCCCAAAGTGAGCTCTATTCCACCCACTTACCTGCTGGTATAGCTTGTCAACAGCTGCAGCCCAGAGCTGTGCGAGCGTCACTGCGCTCGCCTGCAGTAGCGGCGCAAGTTGCCACGCTAAAGTGCACCCAGAGTCACAACAAATAACCAAGCTAAAATGCACTCTATCCCATTGTGTTACCTGTTGATATAACTTGTCAACGGCTGCCGCCCACAGCTGAGCCAACGTCGCATGCGGCAAGGGGGCGGGGTCGCCGCGCTCGCCGGCGGTGGCGGCGCAGGCGCAGGCCGCGCGGGCCGCGAGCCAGACGCAGCGCACGCAACGCCAGAGGGTGCTGGCGCATTCGCCGCGGAGGCGTTCCACCAACTGAGGAAAGAAGGTACAATTAGAATAAGATAAGGTTGAAAGATTAAAACAATGTATAGATGAACCAAATAAATAAGACTCAGATTAAAATAGCACTTATTACAACTACCGTAAACTACACTGTAGTTAGCAGGTTTCTAGCTAATCTAGACTAACTTACTAATAAAAAGTTACACAGTTGTTGAACACTGTTTTACTATACGTCACTTTAAAACACTGTTCAACGAGCGTGTAAGTTTTATTAGTAAGGGGGTAGGTTTCTAGCTAATCACCCATAGAATGGCTATAAAACCTGTGGTATAAGGGTGATCCTATAAGCCTATGTCGAGCAGTGACGGTGATCATATGGCTGTGACTCCCTCAGGTATTGTAAAGGTAGACCTGAATGATTCCGAAGTCAACTGATCCCGTTAGCTCCGCCATAAGGGCTGTCTTGTAAGTCCCACCGATCTGATAAAGGTAGCGGAAAGCGCCTGGATCCTTAGGGAAGGCTACTGAAGCGTCGGTAGGCCTGTGTCCAAGTCTTTAGGTCTCACAGTGTTCTTGGGACAGACCTATAAGTAGTGACACTGTCTAGCCGCTGCTGGAGCATCTAATAGACGTCTACAGGTTTTTCGGTGTCCTTGGGACAGACCTATAGGTGGTGACACTATCTAGCCGCTCCTGAAGCATCTGCAAGTGTCTACAGATCTCTCAGTATCCTTAGGGGAGATCTACGTCACCTGAGGGTCTAATGGTACGGCGCGCAGCTTGGGGCCAGGAGGCAGGCGGCGGCGGACGCTCTTCAGCTGCTGCTGCAGCGTGGCGCTGGCCGCGCTGATGATGACGTCACCAGCGGTCATATCAAGTGTCTGGAATCTTGGTGCAGGCGAGGCACCTGGATTCTTTGGGAGGACCTATGTCTAGCAGTGATAGTGACCAGAGATGTAGTGTTTCTCTCATGTGTTGCTTTCTTTGGCACCGCCATAAGGGATCTAGTGAAGGTCTTGGGAAACGCCTGGAAGATCACGGAATGCTACTGAAGCGTCGGTAGGCCTGTGTCCAAGTCTATACTTCTCACGGTGTCCTTGGGAGAGGCCTATAGGTGGTGACACTATCGAGCCGCTGCTGGAGCATCTGTAGATGTCTACAGATCTCTCTGTGACCTTGGGTAAGTCCAGTGGGTCCAGCTTGGGACCTGGTTGAACCAGTTATTGTGGATCCTTAGGGCAGTCACCTGGGCCTCTCTTGAGCTGTTGTTGGGAGTGTCTATAGGGCTGTGTCCTAGATGCTAGATGATTATGAGCCTGTGTCAGCAGTGGTGACGTCACCTGAGGGTCTAACGGTACGGCGCGCAGCTTGGGACCAGGAGGCAGGCGGCGGCGGACGCTCTTCAGCTGCTGCTGCAGCGTGGCGCTGGCCGCGCTGATGGCTTCGTGTAGCTGGGAGAGACTTATATCCAGTAGTGGTGGTCCATCGGTTATGGCAAGTAGTTGCTGGATGAGTATGAACCTATAGGTCAAGCGATGATGGTCATCGCGTATTGTAGACCAGAGACGCGGGAAGCGCCTGGATCCTTGGGGGAGGTAGTGTTAAGCTACTGCTGGAGCGTCTATAGGCCTGTGTCTAGCAGTAGTGACGTCACCAGCATCGTCAGCAGTCGTCGGAAGCACCTGGATGCGGGAAGCGCAGACTAGCGAAGTTCGCGGAAAGCACCTTACGCTTCGATGATCAGTGAAGCTCCACGTCACGGTCTTAGACCGCTACTGAAGTGTCTGTAGACGTCTGCAAGTCTCTCGGTGTCCTTGGGAGAGACCTATAGGTGGTGACCTCATTAGCAGAAGCACCAGGATCCTTGGGGGAGGCCTATAGGTGGTGACGTCACCTGTGGGTCCAGCGGCACGGCGCGCAGCTTGGGACCAGGAGGCAAGCGGCGGCGCACGCTCTTCAGTTGCTGCTGCAGCGTAGCGCTGGCTGTGCTGATGGCTTCGTGTAGCTGGCCCAGCTCTAACTGGCGATCCGATTGCTGGAAAGACAAATAAAGATAAATAAAAGCATTGTTGTGTTCCGGCAGTTAGAGGTAAGATAGCCAGTTCCTTCGTGGTTGAGGATTCCGGGTGAAGCTCGCTTCCACCTTCGGCCTGATCGTCACTTTTTGGGATCTGTATTTTTAAAGAAAAGTTGTGCTCAGATATGATATACAGTGTGAGTCACGTTAAAGTGTACATATGAAAATAGATGAAACTAGACCTATTTTTATCGACAAAAAAGAGGTCAAAAAATTTTTGAGATTTTTTTAAAATTTTTTATAGAATTTTTTTTCTTCCAATTACTTATTGTAAAGAAAACGTAATAACTTTTAAACTAAGCGGTATATCCTGATAAAATAAAAACAGTAATAATGCTAAATAACAGGCGATACTAAAAAAACATAAAATACACAAAAAAGGCCCACAAATAATTTAAAAAAATACTTTTTGAAAAAAATCTGCTTTTAAATCCGTGTTTTTTTGGTTATTTGATCAATTTCTCCAAAAAATGCCCCTATAACAGGTGGTTTTTATTACTTTGTATTATTCTCTATCGTATTATCTTTGTAAAACAAAAAATCGCATGTCTCTATCCCTATCACAACATTTGCTATGAGCGTTTGAACAAAGGCCTGCCACAACATTATTCTCCGCTGCAGGTAGAGAAAATTTTAATTTTAACTAAAATGCTTATTTTACTTTGAAATCTTTTGTTTTTATTTGAAATTTAACTTGTCTTTATCTAAATTACAAATCTAGCTAGAGCCATTTTCAGTTTCGTTGTTAACGAAGCGTTGAATAGCGCGCCCGGAGAGGCTTAGTTCAAACGATCATTGCAAATGTTGTGATAGGGATAGAGACATGCGATTTTTGGTTTTACGAAGATAATACGATAGAGAATAATACAAAGTAGTAAAAACCACCGGTTATAGGGGCATTTTTTGGAGAAATTTATCAAATAACCAAAAAACACGAATTTAAAAGCAGAATTTTTTCAAAAAGTATCTTTTTTTTTTTTTTTTGGCCTTTTTTGTGTATTTTATGTATTTTTTTAGTATCGCCTGTTATTTAGCATTATTACTGTTTTTATTTTATCAGGATATACCGCTTAGTTTAAAAGTTATTACGTTTTCTTTACAATAAGTAATTGGAAGAAAAAAAAATCTATAAAAAATTTAAAAAAAATCTCAAAAATTTTTTGACCTCTTTTTTGTCGATAAATATAGGTCTAGTTTCATCTATTTATGTACACTTTAACGTGACTCACACTGTATTTGGTCAATTTTTTAATTACGTAATGAACAAAGTCCTAAACATCATATTAGAGCCTACTTCTGCATCTGAGTCACTCTAGCAGTGGCTGATGTAGCTCCGAGAAACTACCTTAATGTCAAGGCATTAGAGTTTACTTCTGCATATGTGAGATGCGCCGACACAGCACCGCGCTTTCTGCTGTTCATTATATGTCTCTTAATACCTAGGTCGTAGAATGGACTGTGATTCTGCCTGAGACAGGCAACTTGAGTCCTTAAGGCCTAGAACATAGAGTCTACCTGTGTAACATGAGTAAGCGCAGTAGCATCAGCATGCAGCGCCCTAGCTAACGCGTCTAGCGCGGAGCTGGCGTGGGCGACGGCCGCGCGAGACACAACGGCTCCCTCTAGCGGAGACAGGTTGAGCGCCGACCACATGGCTGAGAGGTAGCCCCAGCAGCGCTCCACACCTGGGAAAGAAATTTTAGATCAAAAAAGAATCTAACAAAGAAGAAATACATCGTTTAGGCCTCGAAAAACTGGTTACATCAGCTGTTATTAGTTGCATTAGTTTGCATTACTAGACAAATAAATAAAAATCGTAGGTTTCAACAATACAATAGCCACCGACCGCGCGAATAACTGTGTATTAGACCTTTGTCTTGAATTTCACGGACTGCGGCGCAGCGTTCTCGAAACCAGCGAGTAACCGTCAAGTGACATTCTGACATGTCTGACATTTCGACACGTCTGATATTGTGACATGTATGACACTTAACGTCATAGTGGATTGACCCCTCCCTTTTAGTTGGAAGGTCGCTACTAACTGGCCAATCTGGAAAGGTCTCAGCAGTGAACGTTCTGTGGCTGAAATGATGATGATGATGACTCACCGTTTAGCAAGCAGTCCTCGTCTCAACCATATCTAGTGACGTCGGTTGGTAGCGGCATGTATCTAGCACCTTCCTGCTACCTCCATGAGATCGTCGGTCCACCTAGTGTCTTAAACAGTCCACTCACCGTCCAGCGAGCAGTTCTCGTCAAGTTCGTTAGACTTGAGCAGCTGGCAGGCGGCGTCCAAAGCCTTCTCCTGCTGCGCCGCGTCTGGTATCACTAGGGCTTTCTATATACATATACTTGTCAGGGTAAAAAACTTCGTCACCGCGATTCAGGAATGTAGGCGCGATGATGTCCGCCATAGCAACTTTAGTGCCAGCGCCATCTGTTGGTAGAACAGTCCACTCACCGTCCAGCGAGCAGTTTTCATCCAGTTCGTTAGACTTGAGCAGCTGGCAGGCCGCGTCCAGCGCCTTCCTGCTACCTCCATGAGGTCGTCGGTCCACCTAGTGTCTTAAACAGTCCACTCACCGTCCAGCGAGCAGTTTTCGTCCAGTTCGTTAGACTTGAGCAGCTGGCAGGCGGCGTCCAAAGCCTTCTCCTGCTGCGCCGCGTCTGGTAGCGCGCTGGCCGCTCGCAGCAGCTGTTCCGGGGTGCACGAGTCTAGGGCTTCGGTCCACAGAGCAAGTTGCATTGGGAGCAGTGCAGAAAAGCTCCTAGGACTTAAAACAGTCCCACTCACCGTAGGAGACCCGCCACGGGGCAGTGTGTGACCTTAAAAGCTACTAGCAAAGAATTAAGGTGAAGCTCTCCGCCTAAAGATCGTAATAATTGGTTTCTCTATGAGAAGTGAGAAACTTCTCATAAAGAAACCAAATGCCGAGAGAGGAACACGAACTACTGCTAATATCACATGGATGGCGAGCATGGCACATTCACGTCTGATGTTCTGACACTTTTGAAATTCTGCCACATCTAACAAGTCTCCTGACACATATGACACTCAGACATGACACATACCATCGCGACGCCATGTGTCACGTCGTCAGGTCTTTAGTGGAGTCAGGTTCCCTTCTGGACGATAGCAGGAAGGCGCTAGATGCAGGCCACAACCAACTGCCCAATCTAGAAAAGTCTATATTTAGCAGTAGACGTCCTGTGGCTGAAAAGATGATGATGATGATGATGACTCACCGCTAGCAGGCCGCGTCCAGCGCCTTCCTGCTACCTTTATGAGGTCGTCGGTCCACCTAGTGTCTTAAACAGTCCACTCACCGTCCAGCGAGCAGTTTTCGTCCAGTTCGTTAGACTTGAGCAGCTGGCAGGCGGCGTCCAAAGCCTTCTCCTGCTGCGCCGCGTCTGGTAGCGCGCTGGCCGCTCGCAGCAGCTGTTCCGGCGTGCACGAGTCTAGGGCTTCGGTCCACAGAGCAAGTTGCATTGGGGGCAGTGGAAACGACCCTAAGACTTAAAACAGTCCCAAAAGACCCGCAAATGGGGGGGCGTCTGACCTTAAACACTGCTAGCAAGGGATTAAGGTGGACCCTAAACAAGGTCGGTGATTGTCTTTCACCAAGAAAGCCACACGTCGCGGGATAACACGGATAAATACTAGAGACTACTGCTGATATCACGTGCTTCCAATCCACAAGGCTTCTGACATGGTGATAGATTCTGACACGTCTGACACTCTGACACATCTGACATTTTAACACCTCTGACACGTGTAACACTCAGAAATGACACAATATGGCGTCGTCAGGTTTGTAATGGATAGGCTCCTCCCTTTTAGTTGAGAGGCCACTACTAACTGACGAATCTGGAACGGTCTCAGCAGTGGACGTCCTATGGCTGAAAGCATGATGATGATGATGACTCACTGTTTAGCAAGCACTCCTCGTCTCAACCATCTCTAGTGACGTCGGTTGGTAGCGGCCTGCATCTAGCGCCTTCCTGCTACCTCCATGAGGTCGTCGGTCCACCTTACTCACCGTCAAGCGAGCAGTTTTCGTCAAGTTCGTTAGATTTGAGCAGCTGGCAGGCGGCGTCCAAAGCTTTCTCCTGCTGCGCCGCGTCTGGAAGCGCGCTGGCCGCTCGCAGCAGTTGTTCCGGCGTGCACGAGTCTAGGGCTTCGGTCCACATGCAGACCATGCACTGGGGAGAAAAGAAGAAATTATATTGGTGCATATCTTTTCTTAAACCTTTGTTTCTCACCTGTCATCCGCTTTGCAATATTGTAATGACGGAAAGTTTAACGAACGAACTCCTTCTATGTTCTTCTGATTAATTTCGTTGCGGGTCCAATGACAGTTTAACTTTCCCCCGGGACAAACTTGAAGTTTGATTCCGAGTAAACAGGAGTTGGGAACGAGAGATGGGAATAGTCCCGAAATGAAGAAATTAGGAACTGCGAGTATTTTTTTTATGCAGGACAATGATTATCATTCCGTTACGGAAACTATACTATCTATCTATAGTATCAATACTACTAATGTTAACTGCTGTTAATGTCAAAAATCGAAATCTTAATGTTCTCTAATCTATTATGACGTGACAGAGCATACTTTGAAGTTACGTTTGACGTCATAAAAACACCCTGTAATCACTTTGTTGGTCCCAAATAAATACCTGTATCATGTACAGCTGATACTCCAGTTGACACCGGAAGCTGTATTGCACAGCTGTATGGGTCTTCGTTACCGCTTCCCTATCCCACACGTTCACAGCTGGGAACCTGCCAAAATTATGGTTACATTAACTACGTAATTCGTTCGGGATGCAGCGCAGGACCGGTCCAGCAGTGGACGTCATTTGGCTGAAACGAACGAATGATCATTTACTGGAACCCATTTATTACGAAGTAAAAAGAGGATGATAGTGATAAGACTTTTATTAGAATAAATGCACGACAACACGTTGGATAAAAGTAAATCCGTCTTTATATTATTTTTTATCAGTCAAGGTCTGCTGTGCAAAAAGTAAATAAAGGACAATGACCAAAAGTGGTCCAAATGTCCACCACCAATGAGACCTGTATTGGCTTATAGTCCAATAAATAGAGATTAACTTTCAGTATGGGACGAAAAAAAAATAAGCTGTCAGTAAAAAGTTATGACTGTTTGAAAAAATGTAGTAGTTTACGCGCTAATCTCAGGAACTACTGGTCCGATTTGAAAAAATCTTTTTGTTATGGATAGCCCATTTATCAAGGATGGTTTTAAGATAAATAACATCACCCAACAACCAATAGGGGCGCAGCAGTAAAGACAAATGTTGTAAAATTGGGAAATATTATTCTAACAATTCTCACGCGTACAAAGTCGTAGTCACAGCTAGTATATTTAATAAAGTTCATCTATAACCTCGCGCCACATGCGACATGACATAACATGCGTAGATTAGTCCAAAATGTGCAATGGATAGAATTATATCAAGAACATTTTTCGGATGAAAAGGTAAAAAACAGACTTTTCATTCAGTCATAACTTTTTACTGACAGCATATTTTTGATTGCGGTTTGGTTTTAATGAATCAGTATTTAGTAGACTATTTTACTACATAGGTCTCGTTAGTGGTGGACATTTGGACCACACTCCATACATTTTTGGTCATTGTCCTTTAATTTTACCTTTCTCTGATCTGCCCCAGTATGATTTCAGCCTTCGTGTTCAATCTCTGCAGGAGTAGGATCAGCAATATGGCGTCGTGGTCACCTGTAACAAGACACAAGATTAGTTTCATGAAAATAACTGCTTGGAACTAGGATAATTTATTTATGCATTTGTGAGCATGATATCACCATATTAATAATGTAGGATCTCTTTAGAGACATACTTTTTTATTTATTTATTTATTTAATGAGTAACATAATAAGCTTACAGAAAACCCAAAGCGCTTACATGTTTAGTCACCACATGGATTACAATAAAATTATAAGTGAAAAAATTATACAAATTATTAAATTCTGTTTAAACAGAATTAATTAATAAACAAATTCTAGATAATAAATAATAAATTTTGCATGATATAAGCCGTCTGGGACTGCTGAGAAGTGTCTGGGACGCGCCTGGGCCACCTGGAAAGCGTCTAGAAATGCTAGGAAGCGCTTGAGACTGCCGGAAAGCGCCTGAAACTGCTGAAAAGCGCTTGGATCTCCTAGAAAGTGTCTGAGACGGCTGGAAAGCACCTGGGTCGCTTCTGGGACTGCTGGAACGTACCTGGGACAGTTGGAAGGCGCCTGTGAGAGCTGGAAGCGCTAAAACACACTTGGGACAGCTGAAAAGTCCTTAGCTGCCGCTCTATGGACCTGGAAGTAGTCTCACCAGCGCACGCCATGAAGTGGTCGGGCAGACAGGCGGCGAGCATGTCCGCCCTGGCCCGGGCCTGGGCCAGCTCGAGCGCGCGCAACTGCAGGTCTATGGAGCGCGTGGAGGCGCGCGACAGGTGCACTAGCGAGCCCGGCTCCACTGGCGAGGAGCAGGGACCTGCCACTAGCTTACTATAGTGATGTGAAGCTGTGCTAGCGACTGAGACAGCTGTGACACTCTTGAGACTGCTGGAACGCGACTGAGACTGCTTAGAAGTGTCTAGAATGTGCTGGGACACCTGCAAGGAATCTGGGTCTCCTATAAAGCATCTGAGACTGCTGGGAAGCGCTTGAGACTGCTGGAAAGCGCTTGAGACTGCTGGAAAGCGCTTGAGGCAGCTGGAAGGACCTGGGTTTCCTATAAGACATCTGGGACTGCTGGATAGTGTCTCAAAACTGCTGGGAAGCGTCTGGGGCGCTTTTAAGGTGACTGGGACAGCTCGGAAGTGTCTAAACCGCGTCCAGGACTGGTGTGACGTACCTAGGAGCGCTAAAACACACTTGGGACAGCTAGAAAGTCCTCAGCTGCTGCTCTATGGACCTGGAAGTAGTCTCACCAGCGCACGCCATGAAGTGGTCGGGCAGACAGGCGGCGAGCATGTCCGCCCTGGCCCGGGCCTGGGCCAGCTCGAGCGCGCGCAACTGCAGGTCTATGGAGCGCGTGGAGGCGCGCGACAGGTGCACTAGCGAGCCCGGCTCCACTGGCGGGGAGCAGGGACCTGCCACTAGCTTACTGTAGTGACGCAAGATGTGATGCTGCGCTAGTGACTGAGACAGCTGGGTCACTCTGAGACTGCTGGAAAGCGACTGAGGCTGCTTAGAAGTGTCTGGGACGCGCTTAGGCCACCTGGAAAGCGCCTAGTGCTGCTGGGAAGCGCTTGAGACTGCTGGAAAGCGACTAGGATATCTAGGACGCTAAGGGATATCTGGAAAGCGCCTGGGACTCTTAGGAAGCGCTTGAGACTGCTGGAAAGCGCTTGAGACAGCCGGAGGCGCCTGAGACAGCTGGAAGGCGCCTGAGACAGCTGGAAGGCGCCTGCGATAGCTGGAAGGCACCTAGACAGCTGAAAGGCGCCTAGGACAGTTGAAGCTTGCTTGAGACAGCTGAACCACGCTTGAGGCTGCTGGAAAGCCCCTAGCTGCTGCTCTATGGACCTGGAAGTAGTCTCACCAGCGCACGCCATGAAGTGGTCGGGCAGACAGGCGGCGAGCATGTCCGCCCTGGCCCGGGCCTGGGCCAGCTCGAGCGCGCGCAACTGCAGGTCTATGGAGCGCGTGGAGGCGCGCGACAGGTGCACTAGCGAGCCCGGCTCCACTGGCGGGGAGCAGGGACCTGCCACTAGCTTGCTATAGTGACGCAAGATGTGAAGCTTCGCTAGTGACTGAGAGAGCTGTTGCTGAAAAATATCGAACACGCGCCTGGGACACCTGGAAGGCGCCTGGGGTTGCTAAGAAGCGTCTGGGGCATCTAGATTGCGTCTGTCACTGGCGGGGAGCAGAGGCCTGGCACTAGCTTGCTATAGTGACGCAAGAGCTGTGATGCTGCGCTAGCGATTAAGACAGCTGGGTCACTCTTGAGACAGCTGGGACGCGCCTGGGACTGCTGAGAAGTGTCTAGAATGTGCTGGGATACCTAGAAGGAATCTGGGTCTCCTAGAAAGCGTCTGAGACTGCTGGGAAGCGCTTGAGACTGCTGGAAAGCGCTTGAGGCTGCTGGAAGGACCTGGGTTTCCTATAAGGCGTCTGGGACTGCTGGATAGTGTCTCAAAACTGCTGGGAAGCGTCTGGGGCGCTTTTAAGGTGACTGGGATAGCTCGGAAGTGTCTCAACCGCGTCCAGGACTGGTGTAACGTACCTAGGAGCGCTAAAACACACTTGGGACAGCTGGAAAGTCCTCAGCTGCTGCTCTATGGACCTGGAAGTAGTCTCACCAGCGCACGCCATGAAGTGGTCGGGCAGACAGGCGGCGAGCATGTCCGCCCTGGCCCGGGCCTGGGCCAGCTCGAGCGCGCGCAACTGCAGGTCTATGGAGCGCGTGGAGGCGCGCGACAGGTGCACTAGCGAGCCTAGTTCCACTGGCGGGGAGCTTCGGGCTGTTGGTTCGGGGGTGGATTCTTGCTCGCTGGGGGCTGGGGATCCTGGGAAGGACAAAATATAACATTAACATACTTGCACTATACATCAGGGTTTCCCAATTTTTTTTTGCCAAGGAACCCTAATTGATTATACTTTTCCTAGCGAAACACCCGTGCTACTCCGCCCGCACGCCCTGCCCCTCCCTTGTGCGTAAACAAGTCGGTGCGAGCGAACAACGTCGGTCACGAAACGTGGGATAATATTTTTTACGGAACCCTTGCGGCCTTTCCACGGAACCCCAGGGTTCCGCGGACCACCTTTCGGGAACCGCTGCTATACATCATTACATAGTATAAAACAAAATCCCTTTTCGCTGTCTGTCCCTCTGTATGCTTACATCTTTAAAACTACGCAACGGATTTTGATGCGGGTCCGTCTGTATTCTTATATCTTTAAAACTACGGATTTAATGCGGTTTTTTGTTAGATAGAGTGATTTAAGAGAAAGGTTTTTATGTAAGTATAATGTACCTGTGCGAAACAGGGTAGGGTCGCTAGTTAATATTATAAAGAAGGATTTGTTTGATTTTTTTTATTTAATAGGTTCTAAAACTATACTTTTTCTTTCTTTTCTTTTTTTTTTCAAATAAATATCGTCCCGGATCGCGACCGCTTCCCCGCGCTTCCCGTTTCTGTATGCGCTGACCTTTAAAATCCTATTATGCCTGATGAATATAGAATACGAAGTTCGCAGGGACAACAGTCATCATCATCATCTCAGCCATAGGACGTCCACTGCTGAACATAGGCCTCCCCCAATGCTTCCCATGTTGCCCAGTTGCTACTTTTTCATAAGAGTAGGCGCACACCGTTGATTTTTCGTCGGCCGATAGTTTAGTCGGACAGTTGATCAGTATGAGCATGTATGGGAGTGCGCACACTACACCGATTCGATTTGGCCGATTCTTCATACAATTTAAAATCGGGCACAACTATCGGCCAACTAAAAATCAACGGTGTGCGCCTACTCTAAAGGTCTTCTTTTTCGTAAAGGACGACCTCATGGTCGTCGGTCCACCTTGTGGGTGGGCGTCCTAGGCTCCTGCTTTGATGTAGCAATAACACCATACCTTGCTTAGACTCCAGCTGCGTTCTGATCTCGTTGTACTGCTCAGTCATCTTCTGCACCAGCTCTCTGAACTTCAGGATCGTGGCGTCGCGGTCCATGATCGTCTCTAGTGCGGCCTCTCTTTCTCGCACCGCCTGCGTAAATGAAAAAGAAATTAAGATTTTGTACATTGTCTGAAATAACCGCAAAAGTGATTGCGTGAGTGTTTTTAATGTCGTTAGGATTTTATCACGGATGAGGGGGTGCCCTGCATGCAAGTGTCCTCACGTCACATCAAACAGAACCGTTTTTCGCAACTATTTGACGGTTGGTTAGCACTTATTGGCACGCTGAAAATTTGATCTTTAAGATATTTTTAGATTTCACATGAGTGAAATCGTGGATGTTTGTGAGAAATAGTGCTTCAGAAACGTGGTGACTGGTTCAGTGATTGATTTATTGTAAAAAACAGTGAAATAATTCTGACACTGACACAAATAACATGCAGTGTCATTCAAATTAAGTTTCGCTTTACAGCTCGTGTTTGTTGCTCTATTTCAAAGGAATAATAACTTCATGGGATATTAACGAACACTGGTTTAATATGACATTTCCATACTAAATGTCAATTTAAACTAGAGTTCAACTTTAATAAGGGCCTAAATCGGATTGAAATAAAAGATTCCGTAACAGCCTAAATGAAAGAAAGAAATAAAAATAATTTATTTTGTTCAAACACAGTTTAACACCATTGTGGTGACACAAGCATATTGAGCTTACGAGGGGTTAACGGGACAATGTTTTTTTATGCATAACAAGGCAGTTATTTGACCACAATTACACCTGATGTTAAGGCTTGGTATTTCTGCTAAAGTAGGTAGGTATATGGCGCAAAAAATTTTAGCTTTCTCCAGTAACACTGATATTATTATACTGTGACTCATCAAAGTCATCATTGTCAAAATATTGACAAATCGCGAACTGTCACAGCCAAAAAACTGACACACGTCCGTCCTCCGTAAGCGCCACCGCGCAATAAGACACAATATAAAAATTTCATCCGTTAAAAGCCCTCAAGTTATTTTTGAACTTTAGTTTAGTAAAAGATTCAGAATCTCAAATCGCTTATTTTAAAAATAAAACCATAAATAGAAAACGAATAGAGGTAACTTTGTTAATTTATTCTATCGAGTCAACTTCATCAAATTGTGTTTCCATCCATTAATAGCCCTAGAAAATATCCTCAACTATGCCTAAAAAAATCTTAGCCTTTAATTTTACTGTTTAGTACCTCAAAAATGAAAACCTCATTTTCGCCATTTTCTCTGCTACCCGGCCTAAGTGGGATGCAGTCTAGGATAGTATAGCCTGACCAGGAACATAAAAACCCTCGCCATGTTGCGGAAAACTAATGGTACTAATTTCTTTTAATGGCAACAGTAACTGAAAACTTCATTGACATGTCACCTTGCATGTCAGTCTATTGTTGTCAAAGTGTAAACAAACTTTATTTTAAATGTGTGCAATTGATTTTGTGAATTAAATTGCTAAAATATTTTTATAGTTGTGAAAGAAAAGTGGTTCACAATGTGTTAATGTATTTGTCGAAGAGAAATACTAAGGGTTCGGACAATATTTTCATTGAATAATGTTTCCGACAAAGGTTGTCAAATTGACTGACATGTTTATCGTATAGTACAGTCCACTATGAAAATTAGCTGTAGTCTGTTTCAACTACCTATTTTAAAGTTTTTTGTCACTTTCTAAGTTTTGAATTTTATGGAATTGGGAAAGAAGTAGGTACCGAGTTTGAAGCGTTCATGAGCAGACATTGCAGTTGAATATTCAAGTTCTGAATTTGATTATTGATGAATAATAAAATAAATCCTACTAGCTCGATTGATGGTTTCATTTAATTTATTTAAACCAGGTTACCTTTAATAATATTTTTTCGTAAATTTATGAAAATATCAAATTAGCCCGTAATCCTGAATCCTGATACATAAATTTAGCCTATTAATTTAACACATGTACGACTGTACTCAGTGTTGCACTATCCAATGCGATTGACGCGCCTCTATGCCAGGGTTTTTATGTTCCTGGTCAGGCTATACATATCTGCCCTGTAAGTGTAAACACAAATAACTAATATTTTATAAAAACAATCTATCTACCTCTCTGGTAGCAGCGTGGGCCATCTCCAACTCTTCACGCAAGTCCATCTCTAGCTCCCTATTAGACTCCACTAGTTGTTCGTGGACTTCTTGCAACGCTTCCAGCTCGGAAACGTCTTGCTTTAGTTGTTCCACCTGGAAATTTTATAAATTGATTACTACTTCTTCTAATATTCCACAAACCACATACATAAAATCATCACGTTTTGTACCCACTTATGTCAAGAACGATGGGACTATTTCCTTTTTTTTTTCGATCCATCTGTACCACGAAAAACAGAAAAACTATTTAAATATTGGAAAAAATCATGTAGGTACATCATAGTTACGACCCAAGAGAGTAGGCTGCATTATGTCAACTTCAGGGCCAAACTGAGTATATTTTCCATCAAGACAAAACTTCAAAAAAAGACAAAACAATGACAATAAAAAGTAAAAAACCATAAATATTTTATATTATAAAAAGGATCGCTGGCAAGACTAAAGTCTGGTCACCGAGCACGTACAATTTCGTCCAATGACCCCAAGCTACCCATCCTTATCGCTCGCGCGTAATTATATTGCTGTCGCGAGTGTGCGAAGGACGGCCACAGCGAGTGTGCGATCGCGATAGCAATATAGTCATTTGACGAAATTCTACGTGCTCGGCGACCGGACTATCGAAACACCGATCAGATTCATTGTTGATCCAGCTCCTCAACACCGCTGGACAGTTTCTCCATAGTCCACACAGTTTCATGATCGTCAACTGTCAAATACAACTCACCTGGTCTTCCAGCCCCATTTTCTTTTCAGCGAGCTGTTCGACCATTTCCTCAGCTCCCAAAGCAGCGTCCACTTGTTCCCTCAAGTCTGCCACGATGGCCTCCAGCTCTTCCACTCTGCTGGAGAGCTTTTCTTTGGTCCTGCTCAATTCTGCGATCTCCGATTTGTATTGTTCCACGTCCTGAAAGCGGAAAAAGTTTATATTTCGGAACAGTTTGTAAAATCGATTATAGTAAGTTGGCTTTTAAAGAGCACTTTTACACGTCCCAATATATTTAAAAGAAACTTTTTTCTTTCATACAATTTAAGGAATGTGTCAAAGACATACATGGCATTTTTGTAGCTAGGTAAGGGACTTAGTGCCAATTAAAAAAAGAACTTACCTTCATAACTTTGTATATGACGCTTGTCCTGTATTGTCTACTGATAAAGCTGCCTTATCTCGTATCCAGTGACGTATCATCAAACCAGAAAGACTCCTAAAGATGATAGCATAAGGTGCATATTCCATTGTGCTTATCTTCATAAATGAACCATGCGTCGAGGAGTTCCGTAGCCTCGAATCTAACCTCCTGCTGCTAAAGTTATCAAGCAAATTTGGACTCTAAAGGCCTACAGATAGGGTTTTTACCTTCATAACCTTGTGCATATGGTGCTTGTCATGGGCTGACAGATCCCTCAGCCTCACTAGGGTGTCTCTCAATCTTGCATTCTGCTGCTGGAGTTGCCTCATCTCGTATCCAGTGGCGTATCATCCAAGCAAAAGAGTACTCTAAAGACGCCAGCAAAAGGTGCATTTTCCATTGTGGATACGTCGAGGAGTTCCGTAGCCTCGAATCTAACCTCCTGCTGCAAAATTTATCAAGCAAATTTGGACTATAAAGGCCTACAGATAGGGTTCTTACCTTCATAACCTTGTGCATATGGTGCTTATCATGGGCCGACAGATCCCTCAGCCTGACCAGGGTGTCTCTCAATCTTGCATTTTGCTGCTGAAGCTCTCAAGCTAATACAATCCTTAATACTATAAGTTTTAGGTACATATCCCATCGCACAACGAGTCTGCGTAGTTTTTTAATTGCTAGCATTAAGCAAAAAGGTTTCTTAACTCTATAAGAAAAAGGTACATATTCCTTTGGTCTTACCTTCATAACCTTGTGCATATGGTGCTTGTCATGGGCTGACAGGTCTCTCAGCCTGACCAGGGTGTCTCTCAATCTTGCATTCTGCTGCTGAAGCTGCCTCATCTCGTATCCAGCGGCGTATCATCCAAGCAAAAGAGTACTCTAAAGACGCCAGCAAAAGGTGCATTTTCCATTGTGGATACGTCGAGGAGTTCCGTAGCCTCGAATCTAACCTCCTGCTGCTAAAGTTATCAAGCAAATTTGGACTCTCAAGGCCTACAGATAGGGTTCTTACCTTCATAACCTTGTGCATATGGTGCTTATCATGGGCCGAGAGATCCCTCAGCCTGACCAGGGTGTCTCTGAGTCTTGCATTCTGCTGCTGAAGCTCTCAAGCTAATACAGTCCTTAATACTATAATATAAACATATCCCATCGCACAACGAGTCTGCAACGGCCTCTTGATTTATCATCAAGCAAAAAGGTTTCTTAACGATATAAGAAAAAGGTACATATTCCATTGGTCTTACCTTCATAACCTTGTGCATGTGGTGCTTATCATGGGCCGACAGATCCCTCAGCCTCACTAGGGTGTCTCTGAGTCTTGCATTCTGCTGCTGAAGCTGCCTCATCTCGTATCCAGTGGCGGCGGCGTCGCCCGCTGCGTACGGGTGCTCTGCTCAGCGCACACACACCGTTTGTACCACACGTGACACATGCTGGCCCTGTCTGTACCGTCCGGGGAACAAATATGGCCCAAATAGCCGAAAGGGGAAAATTGGTCTAGAAACTGTACTGTCTCAAGGACAGAAAACATGGCCCAAATAGCCGAAAAGGGGATGAAAGTGATCCAGAAACAAGACTGGCCAAACCCAGGCACGTGGCCTGCCAAGGCATTTGAATTTGCCCGCCAGTGAGTTAAACGGCGCGCGGTGGTATAAATGGCCTTATGAATTTAGTAAAGTTTTACTCTTGCTTTGATTTTCAAAAAGTCAGTCTAAGAAATTTTACTCATCTGGAAAATCTCTAATGGGCCGGCCTTGCTCCTACTGTCTCAAGGACAGTGGGCTAAACTGGTCGAAAGGAAAAAAGGGATTAAGAAATATTTGTGTTTGAAAATTTGGCCTTTAAACCAAAGGAGAATGAGAGTTTTTTGTCTAAACGGTGGATGAAAGAATAACCGATCTGAGTAAGATATTTAGTAGAAACGGTGTCGTGAAAATGGTCTTTAAAAGAAGGGAACGGTGTATTTATTTATTTATTAATGCAAAACACTTGTAAGCTTGCAGAACAGACTTTGGATGGTGACTGTAAATCTTCGGGTTTTGCAATTTGGTGTTTTTCATCTAAAGGGAGTCTTATTTTAACTTTCTGATTGGTTGATAGAAGAGCAAACCCAACTGTCTGGCTTATATTAGGGATTTGGGGGGAAAGTTGTCATGAAATTTTTTCTCTGAAAGTAGGGATGGGAATATTCACTCCAGAAACTGGGATTTATAAATAATCCTGGTCAACAATATACATGAACCATTATTATTCATTTAGTTGTTTTTTTTACATATTGACAAAGTAGTAACTTTTACAAAGAGGGAACAAGTCAAGACGAGTCTGTCATGTCACGGGCCGATAATATAAACACAAACACGAAATAAAACATGCATAATATACAAAACTTAACACATTCACTTGCCTAACTGTTAAAATTTGATTTTAGAACCATAGACAGTATGTTTATGGTCATTATCCAAAGACAATTGGAGTGGAAATTACTTTTTCACTTGCCTAACTGTTAAATTTGATTTTAGAACCATAGACAAAACGTCTATAGTCATTATTCATAGACAAGTGGAGTGGAAATTTACTTTTTTCAATGACATAAAGATTTATCAGACTTTATATGCTGATTTATTTAGTAAAAGCTAAAATTACCATATTTTCTGATAATATTACAAGCGATTCATAAAAATATACATACCAAGACTGAAGTTTAAGGCTGCATGAAAATGTTTTTATAATTTTAAATAAATATATTTTTTATATCCGTCGCAACAACAATAAATTGCTTTAGTCCCAATAATAGACAAAGACCCAATAGTTGTAGGATTTGGCCATAGACAACGCACCAACAGCCCATAGACAAACTTCAATGCGTAGTCATTGTGAAATAGCGAAGATAAAAAGCAAAGGTATTTGGACCTTCAGTCGTTCAGAACAGAAGTTTATATCCATCGTGAATGTGCCAAGAAAAATAAAACAACCAAATGTAACTATTCATATGAAATTAGTAAAATATGAACTATATGAACCAAAACCATAGAAAAAAATATAATAAATACACATACGTACACGTTTAAGCTGTGTATGTAATTCTATAAAATAAATATACACAAATATGTCATAAATATATACCCATAAATATATGTTATTATATTTCACGATTATATAAATATTTATATGTATATAAAGCGCAACATATACGTAGAATGTGTGCTCTGGCTTATTAATTCAAAACATATACAAGGCGAGAGCCTTCTATATGTTTTATTTACATTACATAGTATACAAAAAGATATACTGACAGGAATTATACAATAACATTTTTAAATTACTTTTAATATAATAATTGAAAAATAATTTTAATACATTTCTGTTAGCGTATCTTCAAAATAGCAATCAAAAACTTTAGGCCTTTTACCATTCGTTGATAAAGTCTCAGATAGCCTAATAGGACTTATCTTTCAGATAAACTACATACAAGTCCCGAGAAGAACATAAAGCGGTTAAAATCAACAGTAACCAGTTACACACAAATTACTATCTGAAAGTTTTTCAAGAACAGTACCAGTCTTATAGAGTCTATAATACCCATTATTTTGATTCAAATCATAATAAATTGGAATTTTAACAGTACTAATTGTACGGTGCAACTAATATCCAGCCAAATTATAATGCGCCTATTGAGGGAAAAAAGACAATTGAAATTTGAAATTTAGAGAAAAAATTTAGCGATTGAAAAATAGATTTGAACTTTTAATCGACCAATAAAATATAGCTTGAATGAAATGTACTCAACGATACTAAAAATATTCGACTATCAGCTGGTTCCCGAATTGAGATTTTAAGCATTCTAAGCTTGAGAAAATTGTTCTGAATTAGTTTAAAATTCATCATCATCATCATCATCAATGAAATTAGAATATCGGCCACCTAAATATCGGTGGTCTGCGCCTAGGTAATACTCAATTCAGAAACCGAGGGTATTTTTTTCCAAATTGATGACATTTTACATATTTAAAAAGCGCACCGCTCCCTTAAGAACCCACCCACTTATGCCTATAACAATACTTACGTATGTTCCCTCCAGCCTCCATCTCAGCCTTCATCAGCTGCAGATCAAGCGTAGCTTCTTCCAGCTTCTCTCTGCACTGCTCTAACTCGATCTGCAGCGCTTCCGCTCTCTCTTCGGCCATCTCCTTGTCCAGTGCTGCCATCTCTGTCGCTTCTTGTAGCTCCGCTGTCTCTTCGTTGTGTGCTTCTAACGCTTCCTGCGCTTCGCGGACCTGTGAAGAAAGAAATCGGTTATTTGGTATTGTTAATTGTGAAAAATATAAAACGTTAAAATAAGGAGAGACGACTCCGCGGGCTTTTGTGCTAAGTGATGAATTGTATTTAAAATAAGGCAATATAATGTAAAAGTTAAGTATTCAGTGTTTTATTTATGAGAATAGATCTACCGGCCGCTAATAGTATGTAAAAAACAAATCATAAATTGTGCCAAAAGGACTCCGGTAAATAGAATAGAAAGTATTTGTTCAACAGATTATAAATAAATACTACCCAAAAGATTAGGATCCAGCAGGTGGGAAGGGTTATCAGCTGTTTTCACTGGAGGATGTAGACTGCGGCAGACTAGTGATGGATGAAATATGGAAAATAGCCAAAGATTTCAAGTGGGACCTTAACTTAGGTGTTGAAGATTGGCAGGGGATTATGTGGAACCTTAACTAGGATGTTGGGGGTTAGGGGGTTATCTTAAAGGGTGTTAGGCAAGGGAACTTACCTAGGGTGTTGAGGGGTTTCCAGAGGTTTGTGGGACCTCAACTAAGGTGTTTAGGGTGTTAGAGGGTGGCTAGCAAGGGGGTTGGCAGGGGGTTATGTGGAATCTTAAAAGGATTTTAAGGGGTTGGTAGGGGAATTATGTGGAGCCTTAGCTAGGGCGCTATTTTGGACTCACCTCTTGCTTAGCTCTCTGCAAATCTCGCTGCAACTGCGCCTGCGACTCCATGATCCTCGTCTTGAACTCATTGGCCTGCTCCAACTGTAGCCTCACTCGCTCTAACTCGCGTAGCTTCTCGCGGCGGACTTTTGGGTGTCTCTAGCTAAAGCCTGGTCCGTGAGCACGTAGAATCCCGTCCAATGACCCCAAGCTACCCATCCCTATCTTACTTTAGTAATCTTGGACTTACCATACAGTGTATTCTTTTCTGTGAATTTTTTTTTCAGCATCCATTTTAGCCACTAAGAGGTTTTTATTATGGGAAGGGACGTTCACAAGAAACTAAGAACTAACTTACGCTAGTATATTTTTTCGGGAGTCGACCCTTGGTACCGACGGGCGTGCCACAACAGTAACTGTGAGTTAGGCTTCTGCTAAGAAAGAGTTTTCCAAAATTCAACCCCTAAGGCAGTGGTTCCTAACCTGGGGGTAATTACCCCCGCAGGGGTAAAACGGAAATTCTAGAGGGGTAAAACGGGATGGCACGAAAAAGTATTAAAATAGCTATAAACTAAATAATAGTACGGTATAGGCCGCGCCAAACTTATTTAGCAAAAAATTGCGTAGTGGGGGTAAAGGCCCTTTGTGAATTTTTGTGGTTTTAATTATTTTAAATTAGCTAGTGGTAAACTCAATTCTCATACTTGTTCACAGGGGTAGTGACATTGAAAAGGTTTAAAAGTACTGACCTCTTGTTTAGCCCTCTGCAAATCTCGCTGCAACTGAGCCTGCGACTCCATGATCCTCGTCTTGAACTCATTGGCCTGCTCCAACTGTAGCCTCACTCGCTCTAACTCGCGTAGTTTCTCGCGGTCTTCCGCGCGACGGACTTTGAGCGTCTCTAGCTTCTGCTTTAAGTCTATAGTAACCAAATCTGTCAAGGAAGAATTTTCCAAAATTCACCCCCCTAAGGGGGATGAAACGAGTGACAAAGTACTCACCTCTTGCTTAGCCCTCTGTAATTATTGTGACTTAGATATCTGCTAAGGCAGAATTTTCCAAAATTCAACCCCTAAGGGGATAAAACGAGGGTTGAAAGTGCTTACCCCTTGTGAGACCTTAACTACGGGTATTAGGGGTGGCTAGCAAAGGGGTTGGCAGGGGGTTATGTGGAATCTTAAAGGATGTTAAGGGGTTGGTAAGGGAATTATGTGGAGCCTTAGCTAGGGCGCTATTTTGGACTCACCTCTTGCTTAGCTCTCTGCAAATCTCGCTGCAACTGCGCCTGCGACTCCATGATCCTCGTCTTGAACTCATTGGCCTGCTCCAACTGTAGCCTCACTCGCTCTAACTCGCGTAGTTTCTCGCGGTCTTCCGCGCGACGGACTTTCAGCGTCTCTAGCTTCTCTTTCAAATCTTCTACCTCGGACTTTAGGTTGGTTATCTGTAATTAAGAAGGACAATGTTTTAGTTTTCAAGAGCCGGAAGACGTATCGTGGACAGGCGTCCCACTAGGTGGACCAACGATCTGGTGAAGGTCGAGGGAGGTGCTTGGATGCGAGCGGCTTAGAACCGGTCTTTGTGGAAATCCTTGGGGCTTTTGTCCAGCAGTGGACGTCTTTCGGCTGAAACGAACGAACTAACTATTTTAGTTTTAACAAATGTGAAGGTGACGGATTGGCCGACTCGTGATCTGAGAAACGCGGGTTCGATCTCCGCCTCTGGAATAAAAACTCATAAAATTCATTTATTTATGCAAGTAGGCTTTTCCCCGGGGACAAACTTGACCTTCACTGGTTGGGTTTTTATTGGCGGTCAAGCTGTAGATCCTGGCTACACAGGAGTTGCAGCGGTGGGAACGAGAGGCGGGAAGAGTCCTGTTTGAGTAGGCTTTTAAAAAGCACTTTTACACGTCCCAGTATTAACCCTACCACTGCTTCAGGATAATAAATGGACCAGTGCTGAGAAGAAGCAGCGGAAGAAATTCAATCACTATTGTCAGCCTCTTTTTCAAAGGGTTTACAGACTTAGAATATTGTGTTAAACCCACTCGTAACACAAGCATTTACGAGGGCCGGCTGATAATTTCGCGGCCTAAGGTACTTAATGAAATAAAATAAATGGTTTCTATTTTTTATTTTGTAATATAATCTCCCTCAAAAGAAATACATTTCTTAAATCTCGCATACAATGCCTTTTACCCACCCAAAAAATTTTTTTTCAAAATGACGACCAACCGCAGCTTTAATTTCGTTGTCATCTGCATATCTCCGGCCCCGTAAGTCCTTTTTCAAATCGAAAAACAGGAAAATATCGCTAGGTAATAGGTCTTGGCTATATGGTGGGTGGTCAATCTCTGAGAACCCGGTGTCTTTCAGGGCTTGGCCTCGCAACACGTGCGGCGTGAACGGGCGCGTTGTCTTGCGGAAAGAGCAATCCGCGTGTCAGTTTCCCCCGTCATTTCTGTACAATAGCCTCGCGAACATAAAGAAATATTCTTCAGCTATCTGCCACGATTTAATTCTTTGGTCAGCCGGAACGATTTTTTCGACTTTTGAACGTTTCCTTCACTCAGTATCGTGACAGGGCGGGGGTCGTTTTCACAGGTCTCTCGTCCGTGTTGAAATAGTCGGGCCCATTTTTTAACCATAGTATATGAAGGTCCAGAATCCTGAAGAACCAATGACATCTCTTCAAAAATGTCTTTCGGTCTATTTTCCTTCTTTACGAGGAATTATGTCCGCGGCGCGCGGTGTCGAAATCCCGCAAATCTCCAGATTCGGCGGACATGGTGATGTCATTTGTTCGATAGAAATTGAACTATCAGTGCAAACTTAATTAGTGATTGCTTTTTATAATACTACTGAGTGTCGCAACTAGTGATATGAGTAACAAGCTAATTACTCATCGCTAAGTACCTTAGGCCGCGAAATTTTCAGCCGCCCCTCGTAGCTTACTACGAGGGGTTAGCTGGATTGCATATTATGTTGTGATTTGATTTAAGAAACTCAAATATTTAAATAATAAATAGAATAAAAATAAAACAAAATTCGCAATTTTCTGCTTACACTGCAGTGAAAGAATAACACAAATCTTACTATTCGTATCTGCTTTACTTTATAAGCATCGCGTCGTCCTAAACAACTCACCTCCGCTACTAATTCCTCTACCTCTGTCACGTCATCATCATCATCAGTCATTTCTTTATCATATGTCACCTCATCATCATCATCATCTGTCGCTTCTTTACCGTCTGTGACCTCATCATCATCTGTCGCTTCTTTACCGTCTGTCACCTCAACATCATCATCTGTCACTTCCTCATCGTTTATCACACCATCATCATCATCATCCAAGGCAGCCAGCCTAGCTTCCAGCTGCTTATCGATCAGATCCAGCTGTATTATAGCTTTAGCCTCAGCAGCTGCAAGTTCTAGCTTATGGCGTTCGACATTTTTCTTAACCGAACTACTTTTTAAATTGCGAACTGACACATAACGTTCTTCACTTGTTTTTACCGACTCGCTTCTTAAATTTCGAACTGACACAGAGCGTTTTTCGTTTGTTTTTAGTAATTCATTGTTTGAATTTCGAATCGTCACACAGAGTTGTTCATTTGTTTTTACTTTTTTTGAATTTCTAATTGACACAGAGCGTTCTTCGTTTGTTTTTACTAACTCGCAGTTTGAATTTCGAATCGTCACACAGAGTTCTTCGTTTGTTTTTATTTTCTTTAAAATTCCAGCCGACACAGAGCGTTCATTTGTTTTAACTAACTCATTTCGAATCGTCACACATAGTTCTTCATTTGTTTTTATTTTCTTTAAATTTCGAACTGTGACAGACTTTGTTAGTTCTTTTCTTGGATTTTGCAACGGAATAAAGTTTGCACAGATACTGCATTGTTTCTCGTGGTCCACAGAAGAGTGTGGTTTGAAGTCCTTCATAGAAGTCTGATCGCTGTCAGAACTCAACAACTCTTGCCAAAGAAGCGGCTTCATTTTTTGCGATTGTGGCGTCTGCATGTCCATATTTATTATGGTTTATAGATTTAATCAACCTATTTGTCGTGTTTTATATTGTCAATTAGGAGTAAAAATAAGTTACTTAAAAGTTGTGTTCAGAAAACTATCATCTCACACTTTTTGCTAACATCAAAAGTTGCACAAATACTTCAAGGGTCCTTTTTTCTAACTTCTATAAAAATGTAAACATAATAACCCTCTTGGTGCAGTCGGGTAAATGTTATAGGTATTCACTGTTCAAGCGACAATATTACGTAATTTGCGTTACGTTTTCAAGTTTTTGTTTAAAACCACACAGTATCTTTGTACACAGTAGCTTTGGTTAGAAGTATTTCACATTAAATTGCACTTTTTTTCCAAAAATCTCATCTATTAATAAATACATAAACACCACAGTAAACTTGATATGCCGTCGTTTGAACACTTATATTTATAGTCACTATTTTTCACATAAACTACAAATACACAAGTCACAAAAGTATTTTAGCACTTTTACAGCGCGTTTGTCACGTTTATTGTTTATAGTTTATTTATTTAAACAGTAAAAGAACACCCGCCAGCGAATGTTCGTAAAATTGACAGACTGTTTATTTTTTATTTTTAAACAGTTGTTAATATTATTTTTTGTGTACCCGCAACTAAAATTATTGGAGGTTATTTACAAACGCTGACGATAGATGGCGTTAGTGGTATTGAAAGAATGATTTGGCATGTGAAGAACTTTAAATTCTTACGTTGTTTTTTTATGTCTTTTAAAGGATTTTGTTTTTTGGAAAAAATAATTTAAAACGGTATTAATTTCCTTTTTCAAAATTGTCAATTTTAACAAAATTATGTAACAATATGTTGTTATAATGTGGCTGAAGCCCGTGTTTGGTTGGTAAAATAAATTCAATCAAATTAATATTATTATTTATAAAAATAATATAATACCAAACTTAATGTAATTTTTATAACTTTTAACTTGGAGTCAGCTTTAATTTTGTGAAAAAAAAATGCGTTCTCGAGACGAAAATTTTAGATGTATGAATGTGCACTTCGAAAAATGAGCACTGCGGAACATGCGCACTTTTCTATAGAATAATAAGAAGAAGTATATTTGTATAGTATTAGTATGGAAAAGTGAGCATTTTGCGAAGTGCACATTCTGCGTGTAGATGGGGTCTGCCCATCTAAGAAACACAATGCTGAGAAAAGAAAAGTCCTCACCTCCTGTTGAGCTTGCAGATTCGCCAACTTCTCTTCTGCAGTCGGCTGCGGCTGCGGCGATGTGATGCTTTGGCCTGGAGTGTACTGAGGAGTTAGGGTCTCCACGAAGCCAGTCTGGAAGAGAAAAGGTTGGTCATTTATGTGTTAGAGAAACAATTCTAATATAAATATTAGTCTTAGACCGCGAATTCACTCGCGTGAATATTGGTCTTTATTGCGCGCCTTGTACCCCGTTTTTTTTCTTTGGCACTTTTGGGATTTTATTTTGGGGGAGGATAGTGCAGAATACTCGCGCAATGAACTTTCAGTGAAAGACAGAAATTTAAGAAAAGTAGCCTGCTAAAACAGGCACAGACTTGCCAGAAGGTTACTAACAGCCTAAGCTGCTAGATCTGTCCGTAACCTAAGGATTAGGGACAGAACTGGGGGCTAAAGGCGTACAATGGTACAAAACCAGCAGGGCTACGAAACGTCGTTTAAGTAGTTTCGGAATCGGATCTATCTGTCACCTCCGCTCATGCTGGCATCTCGCTTTGCGTGAGAGGGTTGGCAACATTCGGTACTTCGGATAAAGTTTTTCGAAGTAACCCCGCTGCCGTGTTTTTAAGGTACCTCAACAAAAGAAGCTCGCTTCACAGCCAAGTCCGGCGACGCAGCGCGCTCTCTCTTTGGCGACGTGTAAAGACTGATAGCCAAGGAAACTTGCCAGACAGAACGCCAGAGTTCAAGGACTATGATCTTATTATGGGAACAGAACTAGGAAACTAAACCAGCGCATATTTGAGCTACTAACCTCAACAAAAGAAGCTCGCTTCGCAGCCAAGTCCGGCGACGCGGCGCGTTCAGTAGTCGGCGACGCGTAACTGGTGAGCGACTGGCGACTGCTAGCCAGGGACGTGCGTGAACTGAAAAGTGTATGTTAATACTTAATAACTAGCTTTGGTTGTGTTGCAGAGATCCAAAAAATGTAAATAATCCATAGAAATTGTTGAATAACGGTGAAATAAATGCAAAAAGCAAAAAAAAACTCAATAAGTGCCTTTTTTCTGTGATGCGGATATCGCAACGCGTGCGGATTTGGTCTCTAATATAAGTAAAATTTTATAAAAAAAAATAAAACCGACTCCAAAAAACCTACACTAAAACGTAGAAAAATAATTACTAATTACCTACTTATTTATTAGGACGAATTATTAATATTTATGTAGGTATACCATGATTGATACTTTTGGAGTCGGTGCAGGCAAACTTTACATGTTTCATAATCTTGGCACCGACTCCAGAAGTATCAATCATGGTATACCTACATAAATATTAATAATTCGTCCTAATAAATAAGTAGGTAATTAGTAATTATTTTTCTACGTTTTAGTGTAGGTTTTTTGGAGTCGGTTTTTTTTTTATAAAATTTTACTTATTTCTTGCTTTTTAGTTAACTAATTATTACCTTGATGTTACCACTGAAGGTAGGCAGTACACTGAGACCAAAAAAAATTGGTTCATAATCGGCGGAGATATTGCGTATAAAAAAGTTCATCCCCCATTTTCCACCCTTGGGGGTGAAATATTTTCTTCAAATTCGCATGAAACCACCCTTTTGATAATACCTATTCAACAAAAAAATAATCGTTCAAATTGGTTTATAATCGGCGGAGATATTGCGTATAAAAAAGTTCATCCCCAATTTTCCACCCTTGGGGGTTGTTTTTTTTATTATTAAATTTAAATGGGACCACCCTTGAGGTATTACCTATACGCCGAAAAAAGATTTGTTCAAATCGGTTCATAATTGGCGGAGTTATCGCGTAACAAACATAGAAAAAAAAAAAAAACATACGGGTCGAATTGAGAACCTCCTCCTTTTTTGAAGTCGGTTGAAAACCCATAAAACTCATTTATTTTTGCAAGTAGGCTTTTTACTATTTTACACATCCCAGTATTAACCCTACCACTGCTTCGGGACAATAAATGGGCCAGTGCTGAGAAGAAGCAGCGCAAGAACCTCAGTCACTATTGTGGCGTACACTAATCTGTGGCGTGCGTATAATCACGCTGCTGGTTGCGTGCGTGTAGCCCGCGTAATAAGAAAAACATGTATGAAAAAATTAAATGCGGAGATCCGCACGCGTGCTGAAATCCGCGTCACAGGGAAAAGGCACTATTACAGAATAGGTTTTCAAAATTCTCGGTAACAGTTGTAGTTGTTTTTGGAAAAGGATATTATTTATTTATTTGGTTTGGACCTCTGCAACATTGAAGCAATATACAAAGCTGCGAGACCTCTACGATCAAGCAACCTACGTATTGTTAAAAATACAGGGTGAACTTATAAAATTAAGTGGTTTAATATTTTTATTCTTTTCAGCTTAAGTGTTTGATTTCAATTCTGAATCTTCGGAATCTTCAACCACAGAGAAATAGAATCTATTCTTATGGCTATGATAATAGCTGATTTTATTAAGTACTCAATTTCACCCTGTATGCTTTAGAATAAAATTTCTAGGGAAAGCAGACAGAGATGCTTCCATATCCTCTTGCGGTGTCCAAATGCACAGAGGTTATTACAATTTGGAAATAATTTAGTCACAAGAAGGGATTTTTATTATCAGGTGAGTCCAAAAAATATTTTTAACTTTGGACTTACCCGATTTATACACAAAAAAAGCTGAAAATATAATACAAAATGCAGATTTCAATAAGCTAACGAAAACACCTGTATTGTAACACCCTGTATGTTTGAATTGCAAGCCAATGTATACCTTATTAGGTAGTCAATAAGGAACCATTTGGAATGCAATGGTAAACGTTTTCTCAGTCAAGAAGATCTAAAAAGTCAGTATTATGCCATATTAAGAACTCAATAAGGAATCATGTGGAATTCAAAAGAATAACGATTTCTCAGTCAGTATGATATCGAAAAGAAGACGTAAATGTCATCTTAGAGGAATCCTATTTGTAAAGCATTAGAGTTCATAATCGCAGCTTAATTCATACAATAAGAGTTCGTGTATTGTATGATTACACATTTGTGCGCATACGCATGTTTTGATGAATTTGAATTTTAATGCTTTAAAAATAAAGTTAACAATTGATTTAACGAAAAGTTCTAAATTATTTCAAAAATAAGGTTTATTCATAAGATTTGGGAAACTTTACATACAGATGTTTTCTATACACATACATTTTGTATGCAGAATCTGATTTTTCAGCTACTACCTAGATTTTTGTAGCTAAGCTAACATCAAATGCTGGTTTAAAAGTAATAAATCAAGGAGTAGGTAGACAAAGAAAGGTGTGCAAAAAGGTAGCATAATATTGTGTAGGAGTATAATACAACGCAAATAAATGTAAAATTAAGACCATACATTGCTATAAAATACGTGCTCGAAGATAATATACAATTTAACCCCTAAAGCAAACTTGTAATAGTAATCACATAATTTTGAACAGTATTAGGTACCTTGTTTTCAAGTAAAAAAATTGTACTTGCTAGTCTGATTAAGGGTTAAGATGCTGCTGTGTAATAAGGCGGTATACCTACGTGACAAAGTGGCAACAGAATAATAAAAATAGTATCAATTGAAATCGGAATAACAGACATATAACAGGCTACACAAAAATGTGCAGAATTTTTTGTACTAATAAAAAAAAATCAATTACGTATTTTCAATTTCATACACAATTTCAAGGCAGAAGCCGTATAGTAAAGTGTGTAGTTAAGTGCTTTAGTTTCAACCAAGGCGGAGCGGAGCGGAGAAGTTTTTTGAATCATCATCATCATTTCCGCCATAGGACGTCCACTGCTGAACATAGGCCTCCCATGCCATCAGCCACTTTAGTTCGTTTACGGATCTCTGATTTCTGATTCGATCTCGTAAAGAAACATCGAGCATAGCCCTCTCCATAGCACGCTGTGCAACTTTGAGCTTCTGTATAAGGCCTATATTGAGATAACCAATCAGATTTCATTATTTCCATTTCTCTTTACCGCTCCGCTCCGCAACCGTTGTCAAATTCTGTAGAAAAAATTGACAGCCCGACATTTCTCTTATCCGCTCCGCTTCAGTGGAAATCGGGCCTTACAGTGTGCTCCAAGCTTTATTTCTAATTACTGTGGGCTGAGTGTGAGTTTACATAAACGCCACCACTAGTGAGCGCTTTAAAAAAAATATGAAAATTTTAGTTCTTCAAAGTTTCCGCTAGGGGCGCTGTACAATCTGTCATACATTTAATGTCATTTTTTTGCACGCTCACTAGTGACGACGTTTGATGATGTAAACTCACACTAAGGCCCAGAACACACGGTGAAACGCAACTGCAACGAAACTTCAACTTCTAGTTACTTTTGCATCTAAGTTTCTGCCATAGCGTCCGTTGAGAGACCACATTGCAACGCGTTTCAAACTGGTCGCGTCATGTGTGGTCTCTCAACGGAATCTATGGCAGAAACTTAGATGCAACTCAAAAGTAACTAGAAGTTGCAGTTTCGTTGCAGTTGCGTTTCACCGTGTGTTCTAGGCCTTAGCCCCCTGAAAACTGTACACATATACACCGCTATACTATGTTACCTTGACATCGACAGAGTGCCAGCTTTCGTCTGCGCGGGCGACGCCTTGCGACGGACCCTTTTACATCAACATGGTGTTAGTAGTTTACGGTGTTGTTATGGGAATTGTTAGGGCAGGGCAACTGGATAACACGTCTCTGTAGTTCATTCCCACCAGGGGCAGTTCTTTTTAGTAGTTTTTTAAAATTTAGTTTAAGATGCAACTCTTAGTGCTAAAAAAATGTAGATTGTATGGTCTTTTGTAGATTTTTCTGTCTTTATATGTGATGACTGGCAGTTCCTACAGCAGTTCCCACCATATTTTGAACCTTATTCCATACTCTTTAGGTCCATAAAAATATTTAATAATAACTTGCCCTTAAACACCCCAATTTATTAAATGAAAAAGATTTTTCAGTTTTTTTTTTTTTGTATATTCTATGCATGGGAATTTATCCAAGGAACTTGGATTGAGGGTTTTTTTCAATAAGTACTTTGGCCACCTTTCTGTTTCTCCACGTGTGATTCAGTTGCATTGCCTTTAATTTAATGTAACAATAATTTTATGTACAACCTATCATAAATTAGTTAATAATACAAATTGATAATACTTTGCAGCCCATCTCACAAGTCAAATGCGTATTTCATTCATTATAATCAAAACAGCAGTTGCTTGTGAGACACACAACATATTAAAGGACGAAGCACACTTATCAACCCGGAAACGGATCGTATATCAACTCTAGGTGGTCAGTATTTTTGTATGAAACTCCATACTGCAACGCACTTATCCGCACGGTAACGTAAACGACTCGCCTAGCGGTTGACATCGCTACGAAAGGTGTTAATCCCTTTCCGAGTTGATAAGTGTGTTATGACCTTTAGTTAACAAAAATAGATTTCGGATGCTGTTAACAATAAAGGATAATAAAATTAACATTTTACATACATACATTATTTCAGAGCTCTCTTTTGCATTAGAACTCTGATATTAATAAATATAGGTGTACCAGAATCTCATGGCAAATGGGGAAAATAAACTTTGTTGAGTGCAATACTGGGGAAATTGGATTAAACGATCTTGATACTGTTTAATTTTTTATTTATGACTTTAATATTAATGAACATGAAGTACGAATGCCTACCTATACATTTTAGATTATGTATGAAGAATGTTGTTATACATCGGGTTTTTAACATTTAAAAAAAAGTAAACCGTATATTACTGTAAATAATTTTATTATGTATCATACTTATAACTTATCACTTCATTCAGAACTAGACGTTTTCTAGGAACTCCACTTGCAATTCTTGATTCTTCTTCAATAGATGATCAAGTTAAAGAGGTATTTATACAGAGTGGAATTTTGTAATGCCACCTGGAGGGAAAGTACTCTTAATACTGTAGATAGAAAAATTTGCTGAAAGAAAATTCCTTTATTTTCGAAAAAAAAAGAGAGCTACACTAAAAGATTTTCGAATTTTTTTCGAAAATTCACTACTATACCATACAATTTTCTGTAACATTATTAAAATATCAAAACATTTCACTCCAACTTACTGTCAACTTAACGACGCGCTTTAAAATCAAAGATTGACTTTGAATTATGCCTTATTTTACAATACACATTGAAAACAATATGATTTGCTTGAGGTTTTTCGACTTTTTCACAAAAATAACAAATAGGCATGAAGAGATTACAACATTAATTCTGCAGCGGCTGACAGATCTCTTGATTTACTTTGACAGGTGACAATAAAGCCATAGACAATTGCCATATGAAAAACACACTTTTCCAATATTTTTATTTGCCATGAGATTCTGGTACACCTATAATAGATTTACGACCTTTTTTCTTTAACAACAGGGTCTCTAGTCGAACCACCGACACTTGGTATGTTAAAAAACATCAAGCTGGCAAAATATTTTGAACCAATATTATGAAACTAATAAAGTCCAAAATTGAAAATTCTACTTTAAGTACAATGGCGAAATTATGTTTTGACCGTACCATACTATTTTAAGTACTTGTTGAAATAAATTTACAATCTTAGGAAAGCGAGAACTACAGAAAATGCAATTATTATCTCGAATTAACGATTAAAGTAAAATAATATAATCCGTTAAAAAGTAACGCTATAACGATTCACGATGTAAAACTTTTTAATTAACGAATCAACGGCACGGTAACGGCATTTTTAACGTTCGTTACTCATGATCATATCTCGCGTGATGGTGATTCGACCAAAAAACTGTTTGTTTATTTGAATATCAAGGATCAGATTCTTAAAATATTGGCAAATAATAAAAACAATTGACTACCAAACATTTGACTACCTCCACTGCAGTGGTCCTCTCTGATTTACAAGAGGCAAATGGAGTATTTGGCCTATTGCACATTGGCCAGACGGGTTGGGGAGGCCTCATGTTCGTATATTTGTCCCTTAGTCGCCTCTTACGACATCGACGGGAAGAATGGGAGTGGTCATAACATTACTCTGCCGGAACTCATAAAACTCAAAGATTTTTGAAAATTATGCTTTTAAAAAGCACTTTCACGTCACAGTATTAACCCTACCACTGCTTCGGGTCAATAAATGGACCAGTGCTGAGAAGAAGCAGCGCAAACTCAGTCACTATATTGTCGTATTTTAGGTGGTCGTGTTTTGAATGTTGTGATATTAAAAACTGAAATATGTAACTTTTTTTTATATTTAAAATCAAATCTGACCATTGAAATCCAGATAATTTTTAAAGTATATTGTCGATTTGCCACAGAGTCGACTCGTCACAGGGAAAAGCATGTATGGATTTGTCACATTTCACATTTAACATAATAATAATGTCTTGTGACAAATTGATGCGAGGTTTTGACGACTTTTATTTTTGACTACCTGTATTTTATGAAGCTTAAAAAGTGTGACGAATCAACTTTATGACAAATAGGGTGATGTCCCCTGTTTGCGTCCACGTCTATTCGCGACGGATCGCTCTTCAAAACTGTGGGAATACTTAACAAAGGTGCAAAAGCTCTACAAAGCGAGTGCGAGTCTACGTTGACAATACTCACGTGGTAGGTCTAGACCTCTGGGCCACAGTAATACTAGCGAGAAAGAAACACACTATCAGTTAGACACACGCTAAAACTATTAGTACACCACACTGCCAATTGTCTGTATTTCAACATATTTTTTGCAGCAAAGTTATAATTTGAAAATTATAAATAACTTGAAAAAATCGAACTGCCTAAGGCGGGAATTGAACCCACGACCTTCCGGGCGACTGCTCTTCCAACTAAGCTACTTAGACACTGGATGAGCCCGTCGAAATTTTCAAGTGTAGTACGCTGTTACGGCCAGCGTTTGTTTCATTATTATTATTACTGAATGAAGTAATAAATATTTATTTTATTTCATATTTTTTATCTATAACGAGGAAGCGATTAGCCGGAAAGTTATGATCAGGCCAAAGGAAGCGAGATTCACCCGGAATCGTCAACCACAAAGGAACTGGTCATATTGCTTTAGATTGCTGTTAACGTTGTTGTTAACAGCAGTATAAATGGTGGTAGTTAATCCAGGTGTATTTAGAATATTTTGCTTCCGAAATTGAGCCCAACTCGAGCCAGGGTCTTATCACTAGACTACAGATGCTCATTATGTTTTTTTTTTCTGTATTCTATACTCAAATCTGAACCACCCCACTTTAAGTTGGCTCGAACGTTTTTTCACTCCATAAAAAAATTATCAATAATGTGAAATACAGACATATTGGTTCACAATCACAAATTAATAAGTTTGATGAGATCAGTACACCATCTATTTATCTATTAGAAAAATAAGAAAACCTTACTAATTTATCCAAAATAAAAGAACTACTGATGATCACCACATTCTTACCCAGTGACTTATCCCTGTCTTGCTTTATTCATAAACACATTATCTTGTTGTCTATGGACAGTTCAATGTGATGATGAAAAATTATAAGCTTATTTTTTTTAAGTACTGAACATAGGCAGAATTACCTTAAATCCAAGATTATTAAATAATGAAAAAAATTACTGTCCATAGGCAAAAACAATCACTGCTGAATATGGGAATAGGGCATTCACATATCCTGTGTTACTTTTAGCTTATGTGATAGAAAACTACCAAAAAATTTATGCCCAAACTCAAAATCAATCAATCAAGTCTCATTCTGTAGGAATTCATCGTCTAGAAATTCCTAAATTTTTAATGATACTCTTCACAGGTGTATGAACTATCTCTAATCGTACAAATCTTCTCATGAGTGGTAAAATAGTCTAACTAAATCTATAATTAATGAAAAATGAATTATTAGCTTACTTCTGATACAATTTAGCTTAAAAAACAAAATATAATAACTAGCTTTGCTTCGTATTTGAAACACTTTAAATACTTTTTTAATATTAAGGACGTCATGTATTTACATTCCAGACGTTCACAATTGTAGCCCAATTTATTTCGTATCAGGGACGTAGCCAGTACACTTGGCACATGTATTATTAATATACATGGCCATAATAACCTTATTACTTGCGTTTTGTAGCGAATGTATATTGTGTACCCTGTTATAGTAGGTGTTGTACGGACCCGATCAGGACTCGGGCTCGGTGTCATCGATTGTGGACTTCTAATACGAAGATTATTTTCTATACAAACTTTCTTATAAAAATGTGAACGTTAATGTGATTTAACTTATTCAATTATCATGCTGTGACCCCTCTATAACTAAATAAGTAACATACCCCCTTACTATGAAAACGTTACATACTAGCTGAACAGTAGTTTAAAATGACTTTTCCATACTAAACGTCACTTTAAACAAGTGTTCAATGCGCAACTTTTATTAGTAAGGGGGCAAAAGTATAGCCCAATTATACCTCACTACTATGAAAACTAGTTTAAACGTTATCCACCCAATGCACACCACTTAAAAACTAAAATATTACTAATTTTGCTTGAAAATTATTTTAAAATCAAGTTTTATGTCCATTTTTGCATGTTTTTTTTTCTATTAGATATTACAATGTAAAATGTGGTTAAAAACTATTTATTCTAATTTGAATGTTCTCATTTGACTGTACTAATTTAAATTGGAAAAAATACTAAGTTTTTATACAAACATACCTGCTAAGCCTACGGTTAGACGTCGTTGACTTTGTTTCCTCAATGGACGTTGTCATGGAGGTCTCCATCGGATTGTCCTCCGCGTCCAACATCTGGATTTGTGTCTGACGAACAAACACTCCATAGTTTTCTTCGCACTGTAAATAAATAACACAAGATAGGTCAGATTAAAGAATTTGTCTTTTAAAATTTGTTTTTTTGTTAAAACTTGAAATGAATGTTGAAACCTGTATTTTTATTTATTTAAAATCTTTATTACACAGACAAGAAAAACGGTATAAAAGGCGAACTTAATGCCATGTGGCAATCTCTACCAGCTGGCCTGTATGTAAACCTCCATTGGGATGCAACTCTCAAATCTCTCAAGAGAAAATAAAAATAAAATGGTGTTTATCATGTTAACAGTTTTAAAATTCTTTTTTAGAGTTACCACTGCCTCAGAACAAAAATGTAAGCTAGTTATGAGAAGAAACAACACAAAAAATTCAATTTTAAGCCACTTCTTCAAAGCATTTACAAGTTTGTACTTATTATACTTGTGAGCTATGTAGTTTAAAATCCTCATATTTATGTTTATTAAATTTTAATAATCTTCTACGTCATAAGATCTTATTTCTACTAAAGTGCTTTATGTTCTGATGAAACTTATGAAATAAAGCACCAATTTTTTCATTCTCTATCACTCTTTAGTCACACAAATAAGCTCTTACTAGAGAGTTAAATGAACACCTTCTGTTTATTTAATTAAGCTCACACAGATGGAGCCTGCCAGAAATGTGATGTAACACACAAATTCTGTGAAAAAAGGACGTAAAAGGTCTGAAATATTGTTGTTATAGACTCTTTATGAATGGGGAATAGAAAGTTTTGATGTTACTACTCATTTCGGGTTTGGAACTTCATGCAGATGAAAAAAGGATCAAGACAGTTAAAAAAAAAACATTTTTTTCTTCTTCCTTAGATTACTTACTCTAAAGTAAGCGTGTCCACGGACGGTCCCGTTGTTCTTCCCTTTCGGCTCGTCCAGGATCACTCCAATCCATTTTCCCGTAGCAAACGTAGGATACCCCACGTAAGCCACCGAACCCTTCACATCTTTGCCAATTACGATCACCCGCTGGCCCAGAGTCAGCTTCTCAGACATAATAACAGCTTAATCACATACAAACACTGCAATACAGAACGATTCCGTCATTAAAACACACCAAATTTGCATGCAAAATCGAATTGAAAAGTTTTATAACAATACCGCACCTTAAACGAATAATATTCGAGCTGCCAACTAAGGAATGTGCGATTAAACTTAGCAATTATACATAGTTTAAAATGAAAGCGAAATTAATATTAATTTCTTTGAAAATTTAGCGAAAATCGGAAAATATTGACGTTGAGGAACTTGCAAGGAAACGTCAACTGTCAAAGAAAACGTCAAAATTACTCATACTGTGCGTTTCGTTCCACGCTGTGGTTCCACGCATTTGTGGTTCCACGTCAAAGGAACGACAAGCATTTTGAAAACTATTGCTAGAAACCAGTCATATAGTTCCAAAATACTGGACTGTCCTGTCGATGACATTGACAGTGGGGCGCCACCGTCAATACCGGATCGCTGGTTCAGATTTTTGCCATGTTGGAAACCATATAGTTGAACGATGGTAGCGCCCCCCTGTCATTGAGTTTGGTGGGACAGTTCAGCGTGGGTCATCTATATCCGCTTTGCTTATGGCTTTGCAGGTGTACCAGGTGTACCTACTCCTTCTAAGTTCCTTTGATTAAATTCGTTAATTCTAGGGACTACCTAACTTACCTACACTTGGCTGGGCTGTACTGATTGAGTTTTTATTGGCTCTCAAAAGGGATAGATCCTGGGTTACACAGAAGTTGCAATACCTACTTGCAATCCTAGGACCTAGAGTTAGGAATAGTCCAATTTTTCTCTTAGTCCCACAGCCCTCTGCTTCTTTTTCAAATCAAATCAAATCAAATCAAATCAAAATCATTTATTGCATAATGTAGGTACATACACCGTGTTACTTTGCATTCTTGCCATATTCACAGAGATAAAAGTAGGGACCAATACCTATTATTTAAGATAAACAAGAGACTCCCATAAAGAAAATACACTGAGTTTTTAGTAAATTTGGTTTTGCAGTACAAGTTGGAATAAACCAATTTTGTCTCGCACTTTCCACAGGTGCAAGTGGAATAAACCTAGTGGGCGTGGCCTAGTTCTTATTAATCTGTGTTGTTTTATGGCTCTGGGTACCAGCCTTTTTATCCAGTCATAATAATGATTTTAAAATACTCTTCAGTTGATTTTAGATTTTCCTTTCTACTCTCAGTTTCTACTTAACGGGTTTAGGACTGTCAAAATACGTAATAATTATTAGGCTTTTAATTAATTTATAACATTGTTCCCTATTTTTACAAATTAATAAATTAAGTATGAAATGAAATCACCTTATTCACAATTAATTATTTATTTATGAGTTCCTACTTACAAAGTTTACGTACTGCGAAGCAAGTGTTCAAAGTGTCCTCCGTTCTGATGAAGGCACAGTCTAGCACGGCGAAGCGTAGGTATTTCGCTTTAGTTTTCGCAACACATAAACGTTTTGTCTCACAGTTTCGCTGAAGCAATCCTTTCACGTAACACGTTTACACTTTTTATCTCTTCTGCGCATACCAGGTCGTTTCAAGTCACTCCAAAAATAATAGTCCATTGGTGTTAGGTCCGAGGATCGTGGTGGCCAAGCTACTGGACCCCCTCGTCCAATCCACTGTTCACCAAACGTATTATTCGCGCACTTGACGTCCTTATTGTGGGGGAGCACCATCCTGCTGGTAGTAGAGCATTTGGTGTAACGCTATGGGTACGTCATCAAGCATTTCGTTTAAGACGTTGTGGCGACGCCACTACAAACTAGTGACCAACAGATGGCGCTGTCACTACTTCACTATGGCACACTCCGCCGCTCATACAAACCTGCATCGCGGTGACGGAGTTTTATATCCTGCCAAGTATATATAGGCAAACCAAGATGGTGTAAATTGGACCTTGGTCCCCGAGCACAACACCCGCTCGGAAGGAAGCACTAACATCTAGCTTCCTTATTGTGGTTGAGCATCATATCCCACAACGTCTTGAAGACACTCCAAGCACCATTTTGATTAAATTATTCGTTGTTTGAATACACTTCAGTCATTTTTGTATTATTTATAACGTGATTTGTGATTGATGGATTTCTCAGTTTTTTACAAAAGTGTCAAAAAGACATTTTAAAGACAATAGATTGCAATAGATATTTAAAAATACAATAAAAAGTAAAGAAGTCTCCATCGCCATCGCTAACATAAGTGATGTGCATGCGTTACGATAGTTAGTGATGTGTTTAACAGATTGTCGATAAAATAAAATATTCAAAATTAAAAATCAAAATTTTCGGGCATTATTTTTTAACGGATTTGTGTTCAGTATCAGTAATATAGTTACCTCTGTAAATATGGCAAGAATGCAAAGTAACACCCTGTATTCGCTGGGTGCGAAGTACTAGGTGGGGGGGACATAATCTATCGCAGCGCTCATGGTGGTCAAAAGTAGAAATAATGTTAGCTCTGTCATCAGATGTATCTGTCAATGGCAAAGCGATTCTACATAACGTCAGTTGCAGGTTCACTTGGGGTAACTGACAAAATACAGTTTTTCAGTAGAGCCGTTTAAAGTTTTTTTTCGTCTTAAATCGGACATAACTTTTTTCCTATTTAACCTTTTTTGGATCTGTTTTTACAGAAATGCTTAGAATTCTACGCGGTTTTCGATTAAATAAAAAGAATTATCGAATATGTCTTAGTTAAGGAAATAAATTGCAGTTACACCAATGTATTTTTGTACTTTTGACAGTTACACTAATTTTACACCATACTTTTGGAAAAAACATAGGTCAAATTGGTGTAAGTACTGCCCAAATTAAAATAATTTGATGTATTTGCGGGGTTTTGTTTACTTAGTTGCTGTATAATTTATGTAAAGGTATTAAAAAATTAGAGAATTCATGAAAAAAATAACATTTTGTCGTTTTCTTTAATTTTTTTTAAGTTTTATTAGAAGTAACTTTTATTTTATTCATTAAAAAATGTTAATAAAGCCACGAAAATCAAGAAAATATGTGTATTTAAGACAGAAATATTGAAATAACTAAAGTATTACTGAGAAACTAAGTAATTACAATATTTTTTTAAGCTTTGACTTACCAATACCGTATTTAGCTCTACGGGGCAACTTAAACTGAAAACAAAATGAATTTAATTTCCTACCTCTTTAAAGCAATGTTGAATTAAGGTCATGAGTACTACAACAGNTAAGAATAGGTACTGAGCCCCGATTACGGTAATTTTTAACGTCAACAATCCAGACACGCTTCTCGATTCTGCGATACGATTGGTCGTTCAACAGCGTACGTCAGCTGTTTTGACCAATCGTATCGCAGAATCAGAAACGCGTCTGGATTGTAGACGTTATAAAAGTTACCGTAATCGGGGCTCTGGTTAAGTTTTTTACATAATGTGTCAATATGCGTCTTCCAGTTGAGATTTTTATCAACCCAGACACCTAGGAATTTTGTAACGTCAGTTTCTTTAATATTCTTCTATTGATTTGTTACCGTTTGTTTAATGGATCAAAGATGAGCAGCTGATAAAAAGCTTAACGTAATCTTTATTCTAGGAAATATTAGATTTATAAATTCTCTCTATTTCTATTAAGAAGTTGTTGCATAGAGTTATGATGATGGAGATTAAAGAAGCCAATTACCTTACTGACTTGAATTTTACCAGACACATTCCTGATATCTAGGTAGCCGGCATCTGCAATGATCTGCAACAGCCTCCCTCAATCGTTCAGACAGGTGGCCTAGGGCCTGCTGCATTATTCATTTTTAATATTAATGCATTCATTAATTATTAGTTAGTATGCAAAGAAAAACAGATGGCTGATGGTAGGTAACTAGTATAGGTATAGGAGCCCAATGCCCACGCCCTCATGACGTGTTGTAAGAACATAAAACTAAGTTAGTTACCCCATTGAGTGCATGTGTATAGTGCAGCAGTAAATATGGGGCGGGGGCGAAGGGATGACAGGAACGTGACCTAAGCTATGACATGACGTCTGAACTCATGCCGTCATGCATGACGTCATAGGTAATGGCCCGCGCGGTTTCCGAAAACGAAAGACGCACGTCATGAAGTCATACAAGTTTGCCCGGCTTCCATACCAAGGTGCAAAAGAGAGGAGAAGGAGATGTGTTTTGAATTAACCAATCAGATTAATTTCCGAACCGAAGCTGAGAGGAGAGGAGACGTGGAAATAGAGATTTCTGATTGGTTTTTCAAAATGCATCTCTCCTCCCCTCTCTTTTACGCCTTGGTGGAAACCGGGCCAACTTGTATGACGTCATGACGTGACAGCTAACGTCTTTCGTTTTCGGAAACGATTCGATGCCGGTGGGACTGGAATAACCATCCTCTCAGCCATGGTGGAAACCGGGCCTGAAATCTCACTCAAGCCACGCACACTCACACTCCTTTACCCCAGGAGGAACCTATTAAGTACCTACTATGCTATGACTCTAGTCTAGGGCCTAGAGTCCAGGCAAACAAGAAAGATTACCTACAGACAAGCAAACAATCATTATAATTTGTACCTACCACTTTCTATAATTAAGTAAATACAGTATGTGGACTAATAAGATATCGATAACGCACGAGGAGCATAAGTAGGTTATTACATTGTATCATTGTAATAATCGCGCAGAGTAAGGAAGGTGTTGCTGGACTTTAGATCGCGCACACGCATTTATGCAAAAATGCTGCCCTAGTTGATTTTATGCAAACTTGTTAAGTTCTAACACCATTTAAAATCATAAGGTGATCGTACACCTTAGCAGTATTATCAGGCCTGTTCATCTCCGCGAGTTCACATCGAAAACAAAACACGCACGATAGCCCACCTACAGGAGGCGATTCGACAAGGCGTCACATACGAGTACGAGATACGAGCGAGCATTGACACACGCACGCGTACTCTTGTATTATGGAAAAAAATAAAAAAATACTGTGTAAAAAATACTGTGCAGTATTTAACTGCCTTATAATAATAAAAACACACAATGTACTTTTTTTAAGTTGCCTGAAGACACTGAGAGGTANATTTTGGTTTATGATTTTATGATAAAATTTTTGGGAAAAAAATATTCGAAAATACCGGATTTCAAAGTCAAAATCCGGATTTTTTTATAGCCGCAAAATCCGGATTTTTCAGATATTTTCGAATTTCGAATAATCCGGATTGCAATCTCTAGCCGCATGTAGCTGCGCGTTGCCGCGAAGAGCAGTGAATGCAAGTGTGGTGCGCTAGATGGCGACACAGTAGCTTCTTGTAGCAGTCAGCCCTATGGCATCAAGACAGTACCGATCACTGACGTATGTCAACAAAACGGTGCTCGACTCATAAGACAAGCTAAATTACACCATATTGTTGATGACATTGAGCATACATTTTTTTGAATACCTTCGCGAAGAAAAACTTCTGTACGTAGTACTTATTATTATTCTGTGGTATTATGTATGGTATGGTAACACAGGAATTTTGTTTTCAAAGGGGTCACTTAAAAATTTGGTATTGATGGTGAAATTGGGCATTAGTATTTTATTCTGTGACCTAGCTAGGGCCTAGGTAGGTGCTGCTGCATGCACCGAAAGAATTTTCCTTACCATTTTTTTTCCAATGAATCATGTAACTCTGCATTGTAGGGTAGGAGGACCGCGCGCCCAGCTCGATGACAGCAAGATGATGGTTGGTTGACAGAAGTGTTTTGTTTGACGCTTCTTTGGGGTGAATTACCTACATGCCCTACGCATAAAATGAATAGCTAGGTAGGTATTTAACTAATTAACTTTATGGACCTACACGTCAATTCATAGCCTACGTCCAGCTGTGAACTACACCACGGACTACACCCTGTGTAGGTAGGTAGGTAAATAGATACAAGACAAATAATGGTACATAGTAAGTAAATGCTCTGCTCTACTTTATTATGTAATTTATTTATCTATTGTATTGTCTGTTACTTGATTCTTCCCAGTCTTTTTTTGGATTCTCGGGGTGTGTTGATTTAACTAGTGTTGCCAGTTAACGTGTCGGGAATCGGGTAGAGGGAAAAAAATCGGGAATCAATTCTTTACATCGGGACTAGGGATCGGTATTGATATAGCGGAAATTACTAGTTAATTAGCTTATTGCAATGCTCGGTATACACCTACCTACATAATTATTAATTTTGTCCCTAACTCTACCTACCTACCTAAAACAGAATCTCTATGAGGCCCAAGAGTAGGAAAACTCAAATGTTTAACACTAATTCACGAGTTTGTGTTATCTAGCTAGTCAAACTGGATACATTATCGCATTTAACAAGGAAAAGAATTTTATTAGCACTCAATATCGAGTGATACTGGGCGAGGTATCGTGACCTCCGCACAGTAGCCACGCTAAAAGAAGACGTGACTCATGCCTGCTCCTTCCTCGAGTCACTCGAGTGATGTCGTGGTCATTGCGACAGACTTATGATTCACTCAAATATTTTATTGTGTTTAAATTCTACAAGAAACAAAAGCGACGTCGTTATCGACGAAATCGAGCGACGTTTCATCATAGCTCACTAATCACTTTACTTGTGTTATTTATATCTTTATGACGTTATTAGGCGTTTCGAGAACCAATTAGTGTGCTATTTAGAGGTTATTTGAAGGCTACAAACAAATTAAGGATAGGAAAAGCACATAAACTAGTTTGGTTAGTAACAAGACAACAAGTGGCCTATGTTTTGTCATTAAAGCCCAAAATGGTCTCAGAAACTAAAGTATAGCGTGACTAAGTGACTTTAATGAACGGAATTCTACATTTCGCAAGACCCACCTACTTTCACTCAGCAATGAGTATTGTCCCGTTAGCGGGCGACTACCTGCCCCTGCCCGCCCGCAATGAAAAAAAAAACAAGTTTTTACAAAAACATATTTAATATAGCATCAGCAGCATCAATCATTACAGCAATTTAAAAATACAATGTCGTAAAAAAAAGTGATTTGATTATTTAATTACTCTTTCGTTCGGCTTCAATTGCAACTAAGGACGAGATGGCGTCGATACTCAGACACTTTAATTATTATTATACATGGAGTGAAGGCACAGGGAGGAGGCCTAAGCGGCCCGTTGCGTTCTCTGTATACGTCAATGCTTTCTAAATACATATTCGAAGGGTTACGCGCACGCTCTCATATTTAAATACTATAATGATTTCATTTCATATTACGAGTAGACGGCTTAGAAGCCGTGCACCTTCAGCTGCTCCGGCTTAACAAGCCCGGATTTCGTTAGCCACTGGCAAATATTCTCGCGCTGGTCGCCTTGCAGTTGCAGAACCTCCCCGTACTCCGGATGCTCGACAACCGTACCGTTGCAAGCGAACTCCTTCTTGCATGCCCTCACAATCTTCTTCAGGTCATATTCCGACGACAGCCCTTGCACCGTAGTCAGCGTCTTACGCCCGTTCCGCTGCTGGATCCGGACGTGGACTAGACCATCTTGCACGTCGTCCTCCGAGCTTTTGATAGCATCGGCGAATGGGTCAAATGTGTTGAGATTCTGGATGGACATACGATTGAACGTCACTTCTCTTTGTTGCACAAAACGCTGCGATATAACGCACAAACACGGATACTGGCTGCACTGATAATGCGCGACAACGATGCACGCAAACGACCAATTTACGCAAACACCAAAATGTAATGGCGGATTTGGGCCGAAAAAGAATGTCACGCGGAGGCGGAAATTATCGATCACACCATAGACAAGAATCCTCTATAAAGCTGTTCACTCACGAGCGCAATTTTTACAAATAACCGATAATTAAATAACGTTATTTCGTTATATTATTATTAGCCCTTCAATTTGGCATACAATTTTGGAACATAATCGTCGTATTTTGCAACGTAAAAATTTCCGGCAACAGGCGTTCCTAGTTTATATTGTTGAGCAAATTTTGCAATGGAAAACTTTCCTCTCTTGTCTCCGGAGTTGTTTGGGAGTTTTGGCATTTTTGAAAAATCACATTTCTCTGGCTGTTTATATAACAAGAATACATAGCGATGAAGTCCTGTACCTTTTGGTGGGCCAGATCCAATATAATCAGATAAAACTTCACTTTTGTTCATATCTCCTCCAAAAATATTCCCGACAAGCCAATGATGCCATTCTCTGAACTTAGGATTTTCACGACTTGGTGCATCAGGATCAACCATAGCTAAAGTGTAATATTCGGATTCCTTTGGTGTCCATTTCACAACAGGCTTATCCTTTACTTGCGTTGGAGTAAGTTCCTTACCCATGTCCACGCGAACTCCGCTAGGGTATTGAATATCCAATAACTCTGATGGAGCAGTTGTGAGTACATCCGGAACAATACATTGCTGCTTGAAAAGTGTTTGAACAGACATTGCTTTAACAATACTTTGCCCGAACAAAAATAGAATAAATTCAAGAAAAAGATAACTTGAACAAATACGTTTACGCAAAACAATATTCATGACAATAATTATTTAAGTCAAACGAAACTGTTGCCAAGCAACTGTTTTTTTTTAACTTTTATATCCTCACTTTTCCCGTTTTGTTAAAAATATTGGCAATGAAATCTTTTAACTGGATAAATAAAATGTTTTCACGTATTCCTTATTTTTGATTGAATTAATTTTAGTCTACTGGATAGTTATTTTTTAAACATAATAACGATATTTTTCACAATAACGGTGTTACAATAGTGTGAACCTTTCCTAATGTAACTTTTGTTGTCTGTGGTTAACCGGAAGCAAAGTCAATTGAGCGTTTTATTAATGTGGTAGGGATAGGATTAAGGAGGGAAAAAGAAATTATTATTTTAAATTTAAGCTGGCACCATAATTATTTTCCTGGATCCTAGTCCTAGAATAAATTACCTAACTTTGAAAGTCTACATAAGAGTATTTCTCAAAAAAAATGTACATTTTGAAAAAAAAAAGTGTGCTTGGAAACAGTTCAAAAGTTTTATATTTATAAATCATCACACAAAAAAAACACACACACAATTTTGAAGGATGAATATTAATCTTTAATATAACGAAGAATTATAGCTATAATCCTACTTATTACCAAATATTTAGATATTTTAAAAATAGTCCTTTTTTACCTTTCATACAAAAACCTGTTTGCCACCCTAGCTTTTTCATGTGTTTTTGTTTCATAAAATGCGATACGTAACTAAATTATTGTAAATTTCTTTGTATTATCGTTCTACAGTAATCGCAGTTTCTGTATCAAATTGATTTTCTATGGGGTGTCATAATGAATTGGCAATTTAAAGCAAAAAAACAAAATGAGTCGCTCTCATTTACTATTTCGTTATTTACTCTTTAGTTACGATTTATTTCTACTTTCCCATGGTTTCTGAACAATTCCGTATTTATTTTACACGGACAACAATAGCTGCACTCTGAATGGCTGTTGGCCTGACGTCTCCGCCATAACATCTATCGCGAAAATTAGTGAAAACGTGTGTGTTTTGTGGGATTACTTTTTCGTAACAGGCAGTAAAATCAGCGATTTTATATAGAACGGTAAGTCTTCATTTAACCATTTTTTGTAATACGTGTGGTACGAACATTTAGTAAGCTTTTATATTTGCTGTAACAAATTTTATCAAAAAAATACTTGTTTCTGATCTCATTTTGTCTAATATTTCGTTACGTTTTTTACGAATTTCGTTACGTTACGAAAAAGTACAACATAATGCTGAGTGTATACTGTTATTACCTGACTAAGCATAGTAATATTCACTACTTAATTTATTTCAAAAAATATAGAGCGTCAATAACAAAAGGATTGGATACTATCTGCTTTACAGAAGTGCCACCAGCAAAAAATTATCAAATCATTTAGATTACGTTTTTATGTGATTACTTCTTTTGTTTTTTTAGGAATGCCGCCAAAAACCAATGCCGGCAAAAGGCAAAAAGCTTACAGAGAACGACTCAAAATGGATAAACATGATGGAACAAAAATAATTTTATTAAAATAGTATGAATGATTACTCCCTTATTTTATTTCTAACCCCTTCATATTACCCCGTATTTGGGTACATACTTACAAATATTTCAAATTGAATAAATTTAGAGCATTCACAATATTTCGCCAATGTATAACAAGCCTTATGGCCTTACTATTTCGTTACTACCGTTTCGTTACGTACATTTTTTTTGAGAAATACTCATAAATGGGTCCTCCCCATTAAAAATAAAACGAGATTTTTAACGGGGTCAAAAAAGTTATGATTAGTATGATTGTTAAAAAATCATTTTTACAGACTAAAATATTTATTTACTTTTATTAGCATACAGTAAACTCGACGAAAATTCCAGTCAGTGTATTATTACACGGCATTATAAAATATCAATCTATAATAAAGTACATAATTATATTATGATCTATTTTAACAAAAGTTGTCAGAAAATGGCACAATAAGGCAAATAAATACTTTGTGTGACATCATAGTATTATTATTATGTAGTTAAATTAAGAGCAATATTGTAACCAAATTTTCCTAGTCTGTGCTATGAAATGGTAGTCTGATACTGATAAATAATGATTCATTCAGCGACAGTTAAAAGACAAAATATTGATACCTTAATCTATAAATAAATGAAAATTGTAAAATAATACAAGGCATATGGTTACTTCAGGCAACATTTTGGTTACAAAACTTGTTTATTTTTTAAATAGTGGACTAAAAACTAAATAGAAAATTATTAGAACAAGTCAAAGAAACTTAAAAGTTCATTGGAAGTCTTAACAACCCTTATCCAGGTACTTATAGCGACCTTCACCAAATTATCGGGGGGCCTGCCCACACTACATCTTCCATTATAACAAAATTACTGTGATAATATAATGTACAGAAGACAGCACATTAAGCTAAACATTTTGCCATCTAATACAGACAGTTATAATGCTATTTGAAACAAAAAAAAATATTTTGATGCGCTGTCAAGATACAAATCTAAAACGAAGTAAAAACTTTACTCAAGATACATGTTTGCTCTTAGCCTTTGTTAAAAGAGCTTCAGCCGTCAACGGCTGCCTCAATTTCCTGCCAACATTGTCCGATTTCAACTGCAGAACAATATCTTGAGTGTTTTTCAGTCTCTTCTTCAAATTTTCTATTCTTTTCTGCCTCGATATAATTTCTAAAGTAAATTCTTCTGTATCCTTAGTCATATCGTCGACTTCTATATTTGGGACAGTCTGTTTAGGCTTAAAACGGTAACTGGATATGGTTTCTAGTTGTAAATTCAAAATTTTGTTCTCCATCAAGGAAGTTTTCTGTTCGTAGTCGACGCACATTTTGCCGAATTTCTTGCGCGATTCTACCACTATATTCATGAGGTTTTCGCACTTCTCCTCCATTGTAAGGTCATCTGGAATGTTTTAAAATCATTTCAATAAGATTTACTTGGATAGAACTTAGTACTTTACAGAACAGCAATACACACCCATTTCTTGAAGAATTTCGATTTGTAATCGAGTAGCAAGTATAACGTCTGAGATTCTTTACACTAGCTATTGATAGCAATAACGATAGCTAATGAAATAAATGTTATAATTGAGTTTAATTATAACAAACTATAAAACAAGCTTCATCAACAACAACAACCAACTGCCATTTTTTTGATTTTGAAATTTTGAAAGTTGTCAGTACCAGCAGCGCTGACAGCTGTCAGTGTCAAAATAAGGTCTCTTATAATGTCGAAAATATTGTTTGCACCGGCTGTTTATAAGTCGTCGGACATCCGCAGACCAATAACCTTTTCTTATTGAAACCTGCGAAAAACGCGTTTCATTTTTAAATCATTTTGACCATTTTCTCGACACACACACTCAGCGAAATAAGATGATTGCGATTTAGTTGGTTTGTTACAGGGATGTTATGGATATCCGTAACCGTAACCGAAACCTATTCAAAAGTTTCGGATAAAGGCAGAGTCTAAATCTTAATATTTTTTTCGATATTTGTTACTTGACTGGCATTCCCTGGCGCTAACTAATATCCCTGCCTGTTTTACCTTTATCACAGGTGTCGTCATCATAGTACATAAAGTGGCTATGTGGGTCACGCAGCATATAATAACTATTAGAATTTTACCCTTTTAAAATTATAATATCCGTACCAACTGCAATTATCCGAAACTTTATGATAATCCGAAATGATGTCATATCCGTAACCGTAACCGAAACTTCATATCCTTAACATCCCTGGTTTGTCAAATCACCTATGTTTCCCCTAATCCACATAATTGTCCCCACTGAGATATTCCCACCGGTAGGGATTTTTCTCGATAATTCCAATAAATATTTTATTTCACTTTCCACTTTTTCATTGAATGATGATTTTGATTTTTTTATTCTAAAATAACAATGTTCCAATTACCATTTGGTCGTCCGACATCATTGAGTGTCATTGAGTAAAGCCAAGGAAAATGTTCATAGAAAAGTACCTTTTTACTCTTTGGTGTTGCCAGAAGAAACAAAACAATAGCTTAGTAGTTTTCATTTATTTAATCGTACTACATTATTATTAAGGAGTAACAATATTAACACAATTTTTGATCATCCTCATGAACTCGGATACAGAAATCTGAAAAGATATCACATAATTAATAAAATTTTCATGAATTTGTGTAACGTTTTACACAAATTTTACACATGTTTTATACTCACAAAGCCATCGTAGTCTTTGTCAGCATCGTCAATCATCTCCTCTATTTCCTCATCAGTCAAATAAGTTCCAAGGATTTGAGTGACTTCTTTCACGTTTTCAAAACTTATGAGACCTATAAAAAAAGAAAAACTCATAAAATTAGGCTAGATAAACTAACCAGCTAGAGGCAAGCATTACGAAAATATTTGATCAGAAAAAAATAATATTCAGATGACCATTCCAACCTAAAAATAAAAACAACTTGCGCTTTAAGTATTTAAAATTCGTACCACTGTCATCTATATCAAATAGGCGGAAGCTTTTCATTATGTCTCCATCGCTGTCTTGTGACATGATTTTTCTCATTATTGCCGTTTCAAAGTTCTCAAAACTAAGCTTCCCTGTGTCTCCTTTATCAACGCCTTGCACCATTTGTTGCAGCTCCTCTTTGGTTGGTTCATAGCCTGCAACAAAATGGGAAAAGTAAGGTAAGGGTAAGGTAATTAACAGTAGTTTTAAAATTTCCTGTATTTTACAAAAATATACCGAGAGCTTTAATAGCAACACGAAAATCTTCAGCTTTTATTTTCCCTTCACCAGTGTAGTCCAGTAGATTGAAAGCTTCACGCAGATCATTTTCCTGAAAACAAATAAAGGAATTTATAACTAAGTATTGAAAAAAGTATTGAGTATAAAGACTCAAATCTTCAAAGAATAACAGCGTAATAGCCGCAAAAATCTGGTGAAGAAAGAGTTTGTTATTAATATCTTCAATCTTCAAAACTTTTTCTGATAAATTATTTAAACATTACACGTTGTTACCAGTTGCTGACAAGGTACCTGCTCAGAAGTGAGCGTCAGTTTAGCCTGAAGCTGATTAAATGTTGGTGATTTTTGCAAATCTTCTATTTCCTTTTCGGAAAATTGAGCCGTCCCTGATAAATCCTCAAGATCTGTGAGATCCATTCTTTCTTTTATTATAACAATCTTACTTTTGGTACATGTAGTTAAATACAAACAACTGATCTATTTGGCTGCGTTGCTATGCTAACAAAAGGTAGGTGCTATCGAACAAACTGTTTAGGGTTACCATTTACCATTCTTGAATGTATTATTAATTTCATTCTAGGGTGTCATTAAACTAATTTTTGGACTCCCAAGATACTAAATATCAAATTCAATTCACCCATATTAGAGTAAGAGCTAGTGAACGCCAGACCTACGTCATTTTATAAAAGCTTTTTTAGGGTAGCTCCCAAAGCCACGATGACCCAAACTTCATAATTCACCAACATTATATCCTATATTGGGAGCATACGCTGACAAACTTTCAGTTCACTAGCTCCTAGTCTATCTATATAAGTACCTGTTCTAGGGTAAGAACTAGTCGAGCACAAATGGTTTTTTCCTTCTCTTCTGGTTCAACTTCTGCATCTGCTTCTCTTTCTGCCAAGTCTTCAGCGGGATTCATAACGTAAATTTAGTGTTCAGAGAACACTACAAAAATAGAAAAGAATAATAATAATTTGAAAATAATTTAAATTGCTTGTAACTGCTTGTAACTTTATTAACTTTTCTGCAGACAAAATTGCTTGATAAAAAAGATAATTCTGCAGATACTCATAGTGACAACGTTTATGTCATTTCTTGACTTGTCAAGATTTTAGACAGAATTTTAGAAATTATTTGGCCAATAAACTGATATAATGAAAAAAAAAAGAAAAGTTATCATGTCATGAATAAAACCTTTATGGTAGTTTTGGTAGATTTCTAGTTGTATATGCTGACAACACTTACGACGCCCGCCATCAGTGTTGCCAGAAGGTTACTTTTGTAACCTTTTTGGTTACTTTTGAACTGCTGTGGTTACTTTTAGGTTACACTAATGAAAAGGTTACTTTTAGGTGATTTTTCAGAAATTGTAGAATTAACTTTGCAGGTTATTCAGTAAAAAATATTAATAGTGACAATTTAAAAATTATGTCATAAAGTGCATTTAAACTTGAATTTTATTTATTATTTGTTAAGAAAAATTAGTTTTAGCGAATGTTTTTCGATAATAAAACGCAAATCCATGAAACGTTTTTATACGACTGGTCACTTTTCGTATTTAGATGATCAATAATTGTATTCATTTTCCATCCATGAACAACCTNTATAAAGGTTACTTTTTGTTCAAAAAGGTTACTTTTTTTATATTTCTGGTAATTTCTGACTAGACCCGACTGGCAACACTGCCCGCCATATTTTGTTTTTACGATTTGAGGTTATTTTCGCGGACTGACGCCGCTGTTGTTTTTAATAAAATTATCCACAAAACCAAAAACCATGAAGCTAGTTAGGTTTCTCATGAAACTCAGCCACGAGACGGTCACAATTGAGTTGAAAAACGGCAGTGTTGTGCACGGAACGATCACCGGCGTCGATGTCGCTATGAACACCCATTTGAAGGCAGTCAAAGTTACTTTGAAAAACAAGGAAGAACTGCAGTTGGAGACTTTGAGCATTCGCGGGAATAACATAAGGTATTTCCTGCTGCCAGACAGCTTGCCTTTGGAGACGTTATTGATAGATGACGCGCCGAAAGGTCGAGGCAAACGCGAAGGATTCCCGAGGGGTGGTGCAAGAGGTGGCCGAGGCAGAGGCCGTGGAGGCCGCGGCGGGCCCAGGGGCGGCCGGGGCGGCCGTGGTCGCGGTCGGCGATAAAGTGTTTAGCAAATAAGTCTCAATAACAGTCTAAGTTTGTGATTATAATATTAAGTCTAAGAGGTTATGTTGTTTCATTTGGGCACCTTGAATGATTTGTGTATCTGGAATTGTGTAGGTTACAGAAAAAGCAATTTAGAGTCATACGAAGAAGTTATGAACTTCGTTACTGGGTTCGAACATTCCCTACATCTTGGGTTTAAAATTGGAGCTAGTTTTGAACTTGTCCAAAATTGTATGCAATTTTGAAGAGTAGAATTAGTTTATTATGCTAAAACTTTGTGTCGAGTAATAATACATTATAAGGATGAATTGCCTATGCATAATGTAAGATTTGCTTAAGACTTGCTATAATTTTTAAGTAGTCTTTAGGCATGGCATTATCCCTTAAGTTATCCAAAACTATGAAGTAGCATTTTTATTGATATCCTAGTCTAAGATCGATTGCTATAGTATTTGTATTAAAATAAGTAAAATTGAAGTCTGTAAATAACATCTTTACAAATTAAAGTTTTTACAGTATTTCTACACTTGCTTTTTATTCTCAATATTTTCTCTTTTTTAATTTCTCGATAATACTTTTTAAACATTTATTTTTAACCTGGACCAAGTTTTTTATAAAACTAATACAATCTTGTTTACAGAAGTATCTGAAGGTAATTTTGATGATGATGAATATTGATAACTACCTTCAACCCGTTTAACTAGTTTGGGCGAAGGCCAAATCCTTCATTTTTCTATATTATTTTATGAATAGTTGTGCTCCTGCAGTTTTTTACTATTTTTTTTAGCTGACTAAGTAGTCTATTCATCAGAGGTAATGAAAGAAGAGGGTTAATTAAACTTTCTTGATTGAAATTGTTTTCTAAAGTGGATGAAGATTTTATCTCTATGCTTGAAGCCTATGTGCAGCCATGAACTTGCCTATGTCATAGTAGGTTCTACTTTTTGAGAAGGTATAATAATTAGCTTGTGCTATGTGGCAACAATAATAAACATACATAGACTACATGTAGGTTTGAGGTACTGGAGTTTGAAGTCACTTGTAAGGTATTCTCTTCCAGTAAACATCACTACTTTAGTAATACATACTTTTTACTCTATTCTAAGGTCCTAATGCCTTAACTTTTTTGATGTAAAGATCTTGTCAAACTGACTGACTCTCAGCTCAGTCAAAAGTCATCAACATGATAGTGATAAATAATTTGTGAAAATTTTAAAAGTTGCAAAAAAATAGATCAAAATTGCAAAGTGTATACAAAAGACGGATGTAAGTAACGACAATGTTAGCTTTCTTTGTATTGGTGGCAGTTTGATTCAATAAACTTATTTTATGATGAGTAAATACAGTTTCTAAGTTGATCGCACCACAGGTCAGTTGAAAATAAGTTCCTGATTCAAATCTCTTAGCAATGTTTCCTTTCGTGGACAGTTGCGGTAACATATTGATCAGTAAATAAGTATCTAGTAAAGGATAAACCCGCGTAATTTATCTAAAATGCTGGGACAATACCGCTCATTCTCAAGTGCTGACTATCCACCGGAAGCCGTAGTGTAGGCAGGGCTCCTATTCGGTGCACCGACAATCTGGTAAATGTTACTGGAAGCCCCTGCTTGCGGGCAGCGCAAGGCCTGCAGGGTAAATCTTTGATTGGGAGGCCTTTGTCCAACAGTGGACCATCCCAATCCTATTATCAGTGGCGTAACTATACTACCCGAGGCCAGTGACGAATTCTGTGCACGGGGCGTCGGAGCCCTTGGCGTATCTCGGGACTATCGCCCGGGATCATCGCGAGTGGGGCGGGGGATCGATTAGGGTCCGGGGGCCCGTGGCATTTTACCAGCCCTAAGCTGCCACCCTATAGTTACGCCACTGCCTATTATCAGCTGACAGCTCTTCAGTTACAGAGAGTATGTTCCTAATTAGGCCTAACAAATTGTCTTTCCAACAACCACCAGTAGGATGTCTCAACCACCACCACTGGTTGCGGTGTGGGTCACTGATAACTCCCTTGTGCCTTGTTTTACATAGAATGTCAAAATCAAAACATTTCAACGGGCAAGCGGACGACAAGATGGCGGTGGACGCGTATTCGCCGCCAGACGAGCGTCAGCGATCGGACCACATCGTTGACGTGGTGTGTCGCATCATGGACGATGACGGACCGCGGCCCATGGTGAACTGCAGGCCTGCTCAGGTATGGGGAACTAAACTATGTAAGTAGCAGCTTATGTGGTTGTATGTAATAGATGCGAGCAGTGGCGGACTAAGTAAGTACCTACGTCAGAGGCTGGCTACAAAGCTAAATGAGGCCCCCCAGCGTTCAGCAAAGTTAATTAATCTTGATGAAATTATGTAGGTACTAACTACTAAGCACATTTTTAGTCTTGTTTAGGATTTGATCAGGAGAACGTAGAGGCATTTGGGGCCCCATAAAGACCGGGGGCCAGGGGCGGGCCGCTCTTTCCGCCCCCCTGTTAGTCCGCCACTGGGTGCGAGTTTGCAGTTTTGCTTTGTTTAGTCACATCATCATGAGCTTTAGGGAAAGAAGTCAATCGGCAGCCAAAGAATGTGCTTAATGAACAAAAATCATCAAAGTTCTTTTTTAAAGCCATTGTTGGGAATTCCTTAATGTTTTAATAGAATAGAGCAACGTCTTTACTTACTTACTCCGCCATTTTCCGCAATGGTCAGTATGGTGACTATACTATGGTCACACATTAAGGCCCGGTTTCCACCAAGGCGGAGTAGAGCGGAGAAATGTTTTGAACAACCAATCAGATTTCCTGTTTCCTGAATAATTAAAGATTGGTTATTTACTTAAACCACTTCTCGGGGGGTAGGAAGTTCACCGGGTACCGGGTAGTATTTACAATCGTGACTGAAATTAGTGACTGAATTTCTTGCGCTGCTTCTTCTGGTCCACATTGCCCCGAAGCAGTAGTAGGGTTGACACGTGTAAAAGCGCCCTTGAAATAGATTTTTTTTTATCCACAACGAGGAAGCTCTTGGCCGTATCTCACCTGATGGTAAGTGATGATCAGGCCGAAGGTGTAGAATTAATGAGTTATGAGTTATTTTATCGATCCAGAAAAGCCGCAACGCCGCGGATCAGTTCCACGCTGACCACCAGGAGGCTTACGAGGCCCGCGGCCGCCAGAGCCGCGACCGCATGCAGTCGGTGCGCCTCCACAACACGGGATACCCGAAGATGCACGATGAACTGGACCGGAGGCGGTCTACTGCTAAGGTGACTTTTACCACAGAATAAGTACAACCTGTGCAAACGTTTATTGCGCCACTTGTGACGTCATTGGTGACCGCATGCAGTCAGTGCGCCTCCACAACACGGGATATCCGAAGATGCAAGAAGAGCTGGACCGGAGGCGGTCTACTGCTAAGGTGACTTTTACCACAGAATAAGTACAACCTGTGCAAACGTTTATTGCGCCACTTGTGACGTCATTGGTGACCGCATGCAGTCGGTGCGCCTCCACAACACGGGATACCCGAAGATGCACGACGAGCTGGACAGGAGGCGGTCTACTGCTAAGGTGCGTTTTAGTTTATTGTAGCAGTGAAATAGTAAGGCCATCTGTCCATAGAAAAACACAGCAGAAAAGAAAACGGACGTTTTGTAGCGTGATTGACGATGGACATAACAAATACCTATACAAATACGCCTATCGTCATCTGTAGGTACGTTGCATGCTTTCTTCAATGACTGATTGTGGACAGCGAGCCTAAGTTTGCTTTACACTCCGGCTTCCCAATAAGGTAGGAGCTGTTTATGACGTCACTTGGTGACCGCATGCAGTCGGTGCGCGTCCACAACACTGGATATCCGAAGATGCACGACTGGACCGGAGGCGGTCTACTGCTAAGGTGCCTTTTACCACAGATTAAGTACGAGTACAATCAGTAGGCCTAGGATGCGATTAAGGGCCTGTCCAGGAGGGTGAATTCGCCGCGAATCTTACGCGCGAACACGAGCGTATTGTATGTAAGTATGAAGAGATTTACGCGCGAATTTTCAACTCGCACGTGTCTTTTTCTTTTTGCGCTAGTATTGTAGTATTGGCTCCTAGTATCTCGCTAACGCGCGTATGGGTTCTACGCGCGGCGAGCTAATTGCGTACCTCGCTGGAATGCGACTCTCCCTCCCACTTGCACATCTTCTCGTGTCCGTACCAGAGCGTCGATGTGACGTCACGGCCGCCAGGTATGCTTAACCTGGCTTTACTCGACCGGGTTCTAAAGTCTTGGTGACCGCATGCAGTCGGTGCGCCTCCACAACACTGGATACCCGAAGTTGCACGACGAGCTGGACAGGAGGCGGTCTACTGCTAAGGTGCCTTTTACCACAGAATAAGTACAACCTGTGCAAACGTTTATTGCGCCACTTGTGACGTCATTGGTAACCGCATGCAGTCGGTGCGCCTCCACAACACTGGATACTCGAAGATGCACGACGAGTTGGACAGGGGCGGTCTACTGCTAAGGTGCCTCTTATTATCTAGGTTTAGCGTTTAACTCAGTCAGTGCCTGAGTTATGGGAGCGGAACGGGAGGGGTGATTTTGAATAGAAATCTGAAATCTCGCTGACATAATATGTATTTTGACGTAACAAAAAACAACGTCCCGTGCCGCTTCCGTACCTCAGGCACTGCTGAGTTAAGCGCTGGACTTAGGGGCCGTTCAAGTATTACGTAAGCACCAAGGGGGGGTGGGGGGGTCTCTGTATTGCTTATTTTGGATGACATGGGGGGTAGGGGGGTCTAGATGATGATTACGTCATCGTTAGTTATTTACGTTTTTTCGGGGATTCCCGCAAATAATACATATGCGTAGGAACTCGCTTTGAGAACTGATTAGGGGAATTACCGCACATTAGGGAAATTACCGTGCGCTATTCACTTGTCTAATAATTAACTCTCGTGCTGACACTGCCCATTGAAATTTGAGAGTCGTAGTCCGCATAAAATATTATTACTTATACGCGATTCCGGCCTCCCGCGCGCGTGTTATTTATGTTGATGCCTAATTTATGCAATGGACAACACGCATAAGTTGTAATATTAGGTTAAACTATGACTTAANTTCATGTTACTACGTCACATTTTCAAAATCCGCGCGGAAAATCGCTCCTAGCGGAAGAGGGCACTTTGAGCTTGAATATTTCAGTCATTTTTAAAGATATCAAAAAAGTAAAAATACAGTATTCATTCTAATTTTTTGTAGTATTTTTTGGCATCTTCAACAAAAATTGTGCGCCATGTCCATTATGTTTGTTATGTTCTTTTTTTCTGATTATATTTTTTTGTTCCTTACTCTATGTGTATCAGTTAAACCTAATATTTTCATGAATTTTCCTATTTTAAAAATGACAATATAAAAAACATTTATAACAAAATGTTTACGTAAGCATAGGGGGAGGGGGTAAGTGCTTTGCTTACTTTTGATGACAAGGGGGGCGGGGGGGTAAAAAATGGTAAGAAATCTGCTTACGTAATACTTGAACGGCCCCTTATACAGGGTGTTAGGTAAATGGGTATATGAGCCGACACTAGCCCATGTTAACATAAGCATATAAATGGTATGGTGAAGTCAGAAAATTGATATCTTCATTTTAATTATTTTAATTTTCATACAAATCGGATTTTATAAAATTTACTTTGTATGAAAATTTAAAAAAATAAAATGATGATAATATCAAATTTCTGACTTCACCATACCATTTATATGGCCATGTTAACATGGGCTAGTGTCGGCTCATATACGCATTTACCTAACACCCTGTAGAACCTAATCTAATCTACCAGAGGGGATTCGGCCTACATTCCCCACGCTGGCCAAACGGTTGACGCAGTCTGGCTTCTTAAGGGTAGGTAGTTGTGTGACGAAGCGAACTTGTGACATTGGCGACCGCATGCAGTCGGTGCGCCTCCGCGATGACATCATCGGCTAATCGAATAAATGCATATTGATAGGACACTCTTAATTTAAATCTATTACTATAGAAAATAAATAAATGTTTTTTACAACAGGTAACAATGACGCACGCGCAACGCACCGCAGTCCAGCAAGCAGCCTACAACCGGTGTAACGCTTGCATCAAAAACAAAAAGAGGGCAGAACCCAAGAAAAAGGCATTCACCCCCAGAGACTATAAGAAACGATCCAGACATCGGCAGGGGGGCGCTCGGATCACCAAACCAAAATCTAGGCAGAGAGCCAGGCGATCCCCTTGCCGGATTTACAGATTATCCAAAATTAGAACCAATAGAGGTTGTCAATGCTCAACCTTCCTCCTTGCTAAAGACAAAAAGAGCGGGACCAATGACATCCCTTTGAATTTGGAACCGCCGGTCATGACAGAAGATACTTTTGCATGTCGCGACTTGAAGGTGAATTATTCTGAAGCTTACAAAGATAAATCGAAAACTAGTAATTACACCAAAGATGGGTCTTCGAAACGTGATAACCCGGACACTGATCCTTCTGTGAGTAGCTATAACAGTTACGCGTCGCTTGAAGATGAACCAATGGTTTCAAATTAGTTTTTGGTGAATGCGTCTATAAAAATTAAATTACGTTTAAACTGTTATTGATATTTTTATTTCACTCTTCTAATTCTTACATAATGCTGAGAGAGAGAGAGAGACAGTAAGTCCGCCTATTGTATTAAACGGACCTAAATTGAAAATTGAACGGTTAAGCAGCTCACGTTAAAAAGGTCTAACAGAAAAGTTAAGTTTTCGGCCTTTACGCTAACGAAGTCGAGCGGCCTTCCCCTGAAGGAAAGTAACAAGGGATTCCCCTTATTACGGCTCTTACACCCATCACGCGAAACACAATAATGCTGAATCTGCTATCATGATGACGTCATGGTTATGGGTACTCGGTAAATATTCTTGATTTCAATAAGTTAAAATCCCACGCAAAACTGGCCTTAACCAAAGTTAAACTTTGTCTCAGTGGTTTGCAAAAGTTTTGTTACCCGGTTAGGCACTTATGGATGAGACAACAGCAAGCTTAAAACTGTGGTATTCAAAGTAGTTCGTTGTATGTTAAATCCAACGCAACAACCTATATGGGTCATTTCACAAAAATATGTCAACTCTTAGTCCGCGCCACATTTCACATGAAATATTTGTTAATATTTTATTCCAAAATTGTTAAATAACAGCTCGCAATGTGCTTTATTCATCACCCATTTATATTTTTTGAAACTATTTTTAAAACATCTTAAATTCCTTTTGAATGACCCAAAACGTCATTCCCTAGGCATGTCCGTACTCCAAAAGTTTGTGTTTTGGGACCCACATTTATAAAAACATCAACTTTATCCTTTGTTTTAATTAACGAATAATCTATTTAAATGTATATTACACCAAATTCTATTAATATTTTGCGGTTTCAATAAACAATAATTTGATTTTCTTTAGTTGAAAAAGAGTCTACAGCTTTTAGCGTCATTCCCTCGCCACGGACTGATTTTATAATTTTGCGCTTTAATATGTATTTAGAGTGAATGACATTTAGTTGAGTTTAAAGTACGATACGAAGTTATCCTCAGACCATACTGGCTTTGCGGTAGCCGTTTTTTGAATTAGTACAAACGTGCCAGTTGTTGCGGAAAAATGTGTTAATCCAGTCACTTCGTCAGTCCCTAGTTGAGTAGCTTTATTGATTACAATAAGAAATTGTATATAATTTAATTAGTATTTACGTGTGGTTTTTTGGCTATTTTCGGCACATCGTATTAAGCATCTTATAATATAAAGTTAATCTGCATTTGTGTTAAGTTTTACTCCAAATCGTCAGTCCCTAGACCGTCAGGCCCTAGCTTTAAACGGCACTTGGAACTAAATTACTAGTTAGGGAATGATGTTCTTTATATAGTGATAATAACAAAACAACTACATTATGTATATTAACTTATCTATAAATGTTAAGGTTATAAGTTTTATACTTTATTAGAAGTCATATAGGAGTAATGTAGTATGAAAAAAATTAAAATTATAATTTCTCCTAAAATAAAGCATAAAGTGACTGACTGGCCCTTTTAGACATAACATAATTAATTAATAAACTATAATTTACACTAATAAAGTATTCAAAAGCATCTTAAAAAAGTTACGGACAAAATGACGTCGAAAATATACAGATTTTTATGGAATGACCCATATTAAGTATGTAGAGACAAAAAGCTATGTTTCACGCACGCCGGTCATCAATTTCCTATTTATAACTAAATATTTGATATTTCAGGAAATAAACTGGAAATCCCAGGCTTCGTTTTTAACGTTATCATTTGACTTAAATAAACCTATTCTATTAGCAAAGCTACTTCAAGGAAACCAATGCCAATGATATTTCATTAACTACACCTACGTCATTAATTTTAATAGGGCTCAAACCGCCCAAAACATTACACAACCAAATGTCCAGCGAAACGAGTCGTATGCATCTTCAATATAATGTATATTGATGATCGCAACCTTTAAAACCGGTTGGGTAATATTATTAAGTTCGAAAAAACAAATGTTAAGGCTTACATCAAGTTTAGTGCGCGCCAGTGCCATACTTTTGCAAGACGTGGTCGAAGACTGCGGCTGTATAGTTATGATGCCATTACGCAAAAAATAGTTTAATAAAAAAAAGTGACGTTTAATTTCGCGGGAATAATTAGGTATTTTTATAGGGCATTTAATTAATTTTTTTCAAAATGCAAAAAGTGGCTGTGATTTTGTTTTTGTTTTCGTTTATAAATAATGCCCTGCTGCAAGGAACCGGGTCCGGTACGAATGGTAACCGTAAGTATTTTTTCCACATTTTTATATAATTTAATAAATATAGTTAAGGTTTTATTTAGGCAAATTAAAAAGCTTTTTGATTTAATTAACTTTTACTAAAAAAATAAGCGAAAAACTTTTTTATTCGAAAAGCTCCATAAACTCTACGTATTTTTATATTTACCTCTACATAATTAGCTATTTTTAGTTTTTATATCATTTCGGCACTAATGCATTGATAATAATGATCAAGATAGGTACAAAATTGATACTAGTTAACTATAGAACATTTCCGCGCTTTTTATGCAACACGGACATGACTGTTTTTGCACATTTCATTTTGTAGAATCAAGGTGGAAAAAACGAACGCACTATTCTTCATTTGAAGCCTTATGAAAAAATATTATCCATATTCCATACTATAATATTTTATGAAATGATAATTGCGAAAGTTATTAGGTAATTTGTCTAGTTTTTACAAATTTTAGACTGAACCGATTTCGATGAAGTTCTTTTCTTACTAGGTACTAGAAGGTTTGAGACCCCGGGAAAAACTTAAGGTTGTTTAATTAATCCTGGATTAGATCTCAAATAGGAAACCGATAGGACGTGCGATAAAATTTTTACAACAAACCGAAAATTCACGCGCGTGATCTCGCGGGAAAAAGCTACTTTTAAGTACCTATTTTTTTGACAAGCGGCATTAATTATTTCGTAAAATTCTATGAAATCTGGAAAATCATTTCTGAATATTGGTTTACTGCAATTTCAGAATAAACTTCCTCAACAAAGTGTTGATTCTTGAGTCACCGTTCTGTTGCAACTTTCCTGCTAAAGTACTTCACCTTGTATGGAAATTCCCATACGTAGGTTATAGACTGACTGAAATAATATGATTCTTTGTTCAGAATGTTGTTGAAAATTATCCTCAACGAGGAAGCTCTTGGTTCGGTGCTCTTGGTCTGCATCTCACCGTGTTTGATGGACAGTGATGATCAGGCCGAAGGTGGAAGCGTACTTCTCCCGAAATCCTCAACCATAGAGGAACTGGCTATCTTACCTCCAACTGTCGGAACACAAAAATGCTGTTATCATGGTGTCATTTTGTTTTAAAGCTTTAAAGTCACTGGAAGGGGTCGCTACATTAATTTACCCTTGAGTTCCGGGCTCGATTCCCTGGTCCGACTCTGTTCTGGTTAGTTTAGTTAGTTTGAAAACGGTAGTACCTAAGTAACCTTTTCCTGCTATCGATTTCAAATTAAATAAATTGAATTTAATTTGAAATCTAATCTTTATGCTTCATCAGTACCGTGGGAGTATTCAGAAAAAATCTAAAAAAATAAGACAAACGCGTATCGGACTACGCTCATTTTAGGGTTCCATCAAAGTATTTAGATGACAAACATCTTCCTCGTTTTTCGTACAAGGCTAGTAAAAACACTATTATTTTTTTCAACTTTGTAGTGGTCATGCTACCTATTTAGCAACCAAAAGTACCTAATGACTAAACTGCGCTTTGGCAGACTTCTTGGCAAAACTGTTATGGATCATAACATAGTGAAACAACGGAACCCTAAACGTACATAATCCGGTCGCCCGACCTTGGGCACGACCGCGCAACCTCAGTCAGGGTTACCAACTCTGGCCAAGCTTATTAAGTTATCTGCTAAAGTATACTCCGCTCCAACAGACATTGGTATGATAGACTTAGACAGGTAATTACCTACTTATTTAGTTTGCGATGTGCATTATTCTAACCGTAAGGCTGCTTTTCCACCAAAGCTACTGAGCTCTATTGAGAGGGATGGCTTGTCAGGCATCAATAGAATCTCTTATCTAAGTAGTCAGCTAATGCACTAAGCAGTCTAGTGGAGTCTGGATAGCAGACTGAGGTTTTTGTAAGATTTTAAGCAATGATGTTTGCGAAGGATGTTATTTGTGTGTGAAGAATGTGTGCTTAAGGGGTTAATTTTGGAATATCCTTCTTGGCGGATACCTTGTCATAATAGCTGCTAAATATCTGCGTCTCTTTTAGCGCACTCTGTTCAGTGGTTTGAGCTGTCAGTATCGTTTGCTTATTAACAGTTTCACAATTTTGTCACTGACTATACTTTAACGCACACAATACAAAATGAATGAATAAAATTGTCTCCAGACCAGTGACTCAGCGAACATTTGAAAGTAAAAAAGCTCTCAATTCAACGAAGCCTTTGTTTGTACTTTATACTACCTTATGAACTTGATAGATTGATGGATTTTGTAGTTGTACGTGTCTGTCGCTCAATATTTATAACCTCTATGACTTGATTGCTTTGTTATTGCAAAAATATACCTAGCCTAGATTGGAGAGGGTCATAATACTCCTGCAGTGGAGACTAAAATTAACCTGACGATGAAGCACTAAGAAATATACTTGCTTGACTCTCCAAAATAATACAAGTAGGTACTTAGTACTTACCTACATTTTTAAGGTAAAATCACTTCTTGCACCACCTAACTTTGACCATAACTCTAGCGATAATCGGTGTGTTTGTATGCAGTTTGACAGATTTTCGACGTTTGTTAAAGTTAAAGGAAGATGGTGCAACCCAGCCTTAGCAAATGTCTAAAAAGCCACCGTATTTAGTTTGACGTACCGTCGTCTGTAAAAAAGTGGCAACCCTAGTTATTTTTGAGGAGTACTAGTTTTGTTTGCCATTTTAAACACCACAAAAACTAAAACAGGTTTTAAATGTAATAGATCAGTAAAACATGCCCAATTTACAATAATTGCAATCTATGACGGAAAACTATGGGATTTTAAAGTGATTTTGATCACAATAGTTCAGAAACAACTGTACGATCACAGCAAAACTTGATCATTAAAATTTATAGTGACGTTTCTATGAGTAGCGGTTTTGTAATGAGATTTTAATTAGGTACTTACCCATACAATGTAGTTATTGTGGTTGAATTACGGTTCCAAAATAGAATGAACAATGAAATCCCAAAAAAAAAACATGAAATATTTTTAATAATGTAATAAATTGTTAATTACTACATAATATGATCAAGTACTAGGTATAATAACACTAATATTAGAGTAAAGGTAATTAAAAAAAACTGAGTTAAATCACAGAAAAATATTTTATATTAAAAAAAAAACTTATCGAACCAGTCCCTCCCTACTAAAAGACCCAATTTTTCCCGCTAAAAAGAAATGTCACTCTCGTCTTTTTTTTTCATGCAAATGCAATAGGCCTTGTACGGCCTGATGTTTTTTTTTACTTCAAAATGCTGGTTTTTATTCTAAAATTACCTACTTTTATGTACTAAATGGGTTTAAACCTAATATTTATGGTCTCTACATCTTTTGAGAAAATGCGCTACAGATTGAAATGCATTACGAATTACAATTTTACGGAATAGGTAATAAAAATAATCAGTAGCTGGCAATGTGTCGTCAAGTTACCAAGTACTTAACCAAGGAAAATAGTAAATCAAATTTAATTAAGCTATGTTCCATTAATTTTTATATAGAGCTGTTGTGGAGTTGTTAAACGCACCATCACTTTCTTGTGAAGTATTTTTTTATCCGCAACGAGGAAGCTCTTGGCCTGTATCTCACCTGATGGGAAGTGATGATCAGGCCGAAGATGGAAGCGAGCTTCACCCGGAATCCTCAACCACAGAACTGGCTATCTTACCTCAATCTGCCGGAACACAACAATGCTGTTAACATTGTTATTATGGCGACAGACTTAGGCTGTGCTGTGTGCACCATCTTATTTTAACGTTAACAAACGTCAATAATCTGTCAAATTCCATACAAAAAACACCGGTTATCGTTAAAGTTACGGTCAAAGATAGGTCAGTGCAACTCAGCCTTATACTTAGCTAGCTAGACGGACTTAAGTACGCCCTTATTCACAAACGATGCTTAAATTGATTAAGTGAAGCAGCAAATCGAACGCACAGCTGTGGCACAGCGTTGAATAGAGCACTGTGATTGGTTCGTACCTATGTCGCACTGTGAGACTTCATTGTAATGTTTGTAATAGAACCATACCACCTACCTAACCGAACAGAAAAATCTGTCCCCATTGAGAATCGAACCCGGGACCTCTGGGTCTGAAGCAGGTGGTCTTACCACTAGACCACAGAGGCGGTTGGCATGATCACCTTTCAATCGGCGAAGTAAAATAATTAAAGCTTAATTTGTAGCTAATTTACTCGAATTTTTATCCCGTTACTTATTATTAATTAACTTAATTAATAATTAATTAAGTTAATTATTACTTCATTAACTAAACAATCGTTTGAACCGAAACTTTGACTGATACGAGTAGAACGAGTTTTGCTTATCACTTATGTTGTTTTGTAATCAAATACATTTTTTCCTGTGGATGTCGTAAAAGGCAAATTGGAATAAAATATGCAAACATTGTTTTTTTAAGTAATTTGTCAATTAAAATAATCCTTCGTGGTAAGCTAAAATATCGCGACAAGAGCCTGGATGCGGCAGACCAGTCAAAGTCAAAGTCAAAATTTCTTTATTTGTTTAGACTAATAAATAGTTCTTACAAATCGTCATATTATGCTCTTAAGGAGCCTCTACGTCTCATAATCTTTTTACCCTACCAGCGCTTCGAGACCAACATTTGGCAAGTGCTGAGAAGAAGCGCCGCAACAAACTCAGTCACCACTGTCTGCCGGTTAATATAAATAAATATAGATAGCAGTCGCTTAATATAAATAAATAGAAATCGCAGCAATAGTCGTTGTTGAAATCCTTGGGGGGCTTGTCCAGCAGTGGACGTCATTTGGCTGACACGTACGAACGAACGAAGCTAAAGTGCTAAAATGAAAGGACAATGACCAAAAATGTATGGAGTGTGGTCCAAATGTCCACCACTAACGAGACCTATGTAGTAAAATTATAGTCTACTAACTAAATACTGATTCATTATAACCAAACCGCAATCAAAAATATGCTGTCAGTAAAAAGTTATGACTGAATGAAAAGTCTGTTTTTTACCTTTTCATCCGAAAAATCTTCTTGATATCATTCTATCCATTGCACATTTTGGACTAATCTACGCATGTTATGTCATGTCGCATGTGGCGCGGGGTTATAGATGAATTTTATTAAATATTATACTAGCTGTGCCTACGACTTGTACGCGTGAAAATAGTTTGAATAATATTTCCCATTTTTACAACATTTGTCTTTACTGCTCCGCCCCTATTGGTTGTAGGGTGATGTTATTTATCCTAAAACCATCCTTGATAAATGGGCTATCCATAAAATTTTTTTTTTTTAAATCGGACCAGTTCCTGAGATTAGCGCGTAAACTACTACGATTTTTCAAACAGTCATAACTTTTTACTGACAGCTTATTTTTTTTTCGTCCCATACTGAAAGTTAATCTCTATTTTATGGACTATAAGCCAATATAGGTCTCATTAGTGGTGGACATTTGGACCACTTTCGGTCATTGTCCTTTGGCTGGTAGGTTCCTTAGGTAGACATCCGTTAAGAACGGATTTTACGAAACTCTACCCCTAAGGGGGTAAAAAGCGGTCCACGCGTAAGAAGTCGCGGGCGGCCGCTAGTAGCTAAATACATAAATGTTGGCCTATAGTTGTCGGACTACATTTATTATTTAGCTACTAGCGGGGAAGTGAATCTCTTCGTTCCGGAGAGTCCCGGTGCCAGCGGTGGTCAAGTTGGCCGAGATTGGCTTAAAGGTTAGTGGGAACAGCTATTCTCCTCTGCACGCAAAATTTGGGAAGGTAATTTGGACCCGAATAAGATCCCGCCTGGTGTGGCTATAACCATAGAGTTTAGTTATTTAAACGTTAGTATACGAAATTCTTAGAAAATTACTCTAGTTTCCTTGCTAATTATTAATTTATTATCCTTTAATTACGCACTGGGAATTTATGCATAAGTTCTATTTATGCAATTTGACTAATAGTCCAGTCATTTCGTCCGAAAAAAAGGCAAATAAAAGAAAATGAATTTGCGCTTCTAATTTTTTAATATGTTGTAGGGGATACCTAGAAAAGCTTAACTTGAGATTGTCGACCAAGCTTTCCTAGGAGCTTTCGCCGCCATCTTGGAAAACGCTTAAAATTTGTTTTTCGGCAATAACTCGGCTATCCGATGAGATTCGAAAATTTTTGTAGGACACTTTTTGTAGCTTTCTTTGTGCTCTACAATAACGCCCGAACCATTTTTAGCGTATCATGCATCGTTATCGAGATATCGATCGATAAAGTCAAAAATTTTGGACACAATTTTTGTTTTTTTCTTTTTTTTTCTTTGGGTCTTAATAAATATGAAAAATTCCGAAATAATTAAATAATTAATTAAAAAGTAAAAAGTAAAATTTAATTACTTTTAATTACTTTTTAATTACTTTTTTTTAAGTAACGGCAAAGCATTTGTATTAGTTGGTTCTTGTTTTGATCCCTTGTGAGAAACTTCTCCTGGCTAACTTTTGGAGTAGTTGTCTCATCGAATGTGAACTCCGGCGATTGGTTTTTTCTCGAACGTCGTACTCTTTCCGAAGTTTTCGTTCCAGCGAGTGTCATATCAGTCGGATAACCGTCGAATATGATTGCAACCTTTCCTTCGAAGTTATGTTGTACGTATCTGACGTTAATTATTTAATTATTCCGAAATAATTTGTGTCCAAAATTTTTGACTTTATCGATCGATATCTCGATAACGATGCATGATACGCTAAAAATGGTTCGGGCGTTATTGTAGAGCACAAAGAAAGCTACAAAAAGTGTCCTACAAAAATTTTCGAATCTCATCGGATAGCCGAGTTATTGCCGAAAAACAAATTTTAAGCGTTTTCCAAGATGGCGGCGAAAGCTCCTAGGAAAGCTTGGTCGACAATCTCAAGTTAAGCTTTTCTAGGTATCCCCTACAACATATTAAAAAATTAGAAGCGCAAATTCATTTTCTTTTTTGAATGTACGTAATGACTGGACTATAAACAATATGCTATGTTTGAAGGTTTTCCTCCGAGTAACCTTGGTTAAATTGTCTCTAAGGTAACGTTAGGTTATAAATACTTACATATTTTACAGTACATATAACATTGTACTCAAATATTTATTTGGTGGAACAAATAGATGATCCAATCAGGTCATTTAGTTTCCATAGCAGGAGCACGACTTTTTCTAAAATTATCAGAGACAATGAAGGATTTGGCCTACACCCCCCACGCTGGCCAGACGAATTGGGGAGGCATTATTCGCATATAATTTATCCATTAATGGCCTTTAATGGAACCACGGGAACTCCTCCTATACTTATTCTTCTGATTAAATTCGTTGCGGGTTCCAAGACAGTTAGCTATCCTCGGTACTACTTACTCAACCTTCACTGGTTGGATTTCATGGGAGGCCAAGCCGTAGATCCTGGCTACACAGGAGTTGCAGTGGTGGAAAAGTGTAATGGGAGAAAAGTAGTTAGTGACTGCTAGAGATGCTACATTTGTGCAAAAAGTAACAACGTATTCAATATTTTTCATCATTTTAACCGTAGGACGTTCACTGCTGAACATAGGCCTCCGGATTTCCATAATGATCGGTTGGTGGCGGCCTGCATCCAGCGCCCTCCCGCTACCTTTATGAGGTCGTCGGTCCACCTTGTGGGTGGACGTCCTACGCTGTGTTTTCCGGTACGCGGCCTCCACTCCAGAACCTTGCTGCCCCATCGGCCGTCAGTTCTGCGTAGTTAATATTTTATGTGCCCTGTCCATTGCCACTTTAGCTTGCTAACTCGGTGATCCGTAGGGCTATGTTAATTTACATTTACATTTACAGCGACTTTGATAATTAATTTTATTAACTGTAAAGTATTTTAGTTTCACATCAGGCTGATTTGAGCCTGTCCAACTTTATTAACGTTAGTGTAAAAATATGTTCAATAAAATAACATAACTAGGTATTATTCTGTTTAAAATATTATAACTTCACGGAATTGTCCTCAATATATCAATATTGGTTCTTATGATTTACCAGGTTTTCCTCGTAGTAGCTACCTAAGAAATCTATTATTGTTCTGCAATTATCATACCTCATATGTATTATTATCATCATCCTCAAATTAGTAACTAAGTAGCTGTACCCGTGATGCATGAAAATAGTTTGAATAATTTTCGTTCTTGAAACATTTTTATTTATTGATTCGACCCTATTGGCTGTTTAGGGTGATGTTAAAAAGTCTCAAGCCTTCCTCGATAAATGGGCTATCCAACACAAAATATTTTTTTCAAATCGAACCAGTACTTAGTTAGTTCCTATAGATGATTAGCGCGTATAGTTAAATAAAAGTAACAAACAAATTCTTCAGCTTTAATTTTAGCATATTTTTCCTCGATTTTGAGGTGGTTTGTGTTTTCTTTTATTCGGCACCTCGTACCTACGTAACTAATGGATTTTCCAAATGGGTGCTACTAACCACTCAAAAGTAAAAGGACTTGCGTCATACATACGGTCCGAGGATTCCCAATGACATCACTCATCTCTTTTTTTCATTACGACACCGTGGGTTACAAAAAACAGGTCCATTTGTGTGCATTTGTTGAACAAACAAAAGTTTTTGAAAATAAAATAAAAACTGTCAACCATAGCATGTCACTTTCCCGCCAAAAAGACGCAGCCATGTCAAAAAGGCGGGAAAATCGCGGAGCCGAGCGCTGCCGATGAATTCCGAAACAAACCGAGGTCGACCGGTAGGTCGTCTCGGTGTCTCGGTCGGATCTTGAATAAAGTTTTTGGGTAATAATTTTGCGCAATGACATTCATAAAATAATAATGAGAATTGGGCCCCACTTCTTTATTTGATTGTTGTAAACTACTTTTTGCCCTCGGCGTCGCCCGTGTGAATTTCCGTCAGTTATGGCCATATATTTTGAAGATCGCATGAAAATCCGTTCACTACCTAAATAAATATTTTTTCTTTCTGTCTTTCCTTCAATATTTTTCGAGTCAAATCTGACAGCTGCAGCTCCTCTGTCCTTTGATTTTGACTTTAATTTCAGGTGCATTTTATGCTGATTAAAGTTGGTTTAAATATGTTTCAAAAGGAAAAAGATTTTAGGTCAAGACCGCCATACGTGGGCGCACTATTTGTTGATGCCAAACAAACAATAGCGAAACAAATTAGTGCTATTAAAAACAAAATGAGTCATATTTATTATAACTTTTGAAAGGAATGGTGACCTTTAGAGTTCATGGATACAAAATTAACGTAAATGTACGAATGTTTCGCTCGCTGATTTCTGGAAAAATGCATCTGTATGAGCCTTGTTAATTAATTAAGGCATAATTAGTGATGTTTAATTATAATTTTATTAACTGCATCCTGCTGCGAATAACTTTACTTTCATCATCATTATCATCACTGGTCATTTTAAGCCCAGTTTCTGGAATGAGATTTGTAACTTAAGCGGGCTTTTCTATCTACTCAGGGGTGAAAATGATTAATAAATTCATAGTTGATTATAAGATGAGCACACCCAAGCCTAAAATCTCAATTCAGAAAGAAACCAGTCAAACCAGGTCTTAGTTTTCATGGCAGGAGCATGGCCCTCTCTTTACCAGAGGCAAAAGCATTTGGCCTACACAGACACTCCCCACCTCAGATCATAGAAGGGAATGATCTGTTTTCATTTATATATTTACCCCTTATTTGATCATTTATTTACCCCTTAGTCGCCTATTACGACGACATCCACGGGAAGAGTCTACTAAGCCAGAACCATACGGCTTCAATCCAACATTATAATATAAAAATGGTTTAACACTGTCCTTTTGTTCCAGTACGGCTGTGCGTGGTGGAAGGCCGAGGGTCGTACAAGAGGACGTTGAAAAACTGCCCAGTGCTGGACAAGGAGTCGTCTGGCGTCGAGTGCGTGTTGGGGACTGACCGGTGAGACATTTGATACACTAGTTTGATGAACTGGGGTTCAGAACCTTCAGGGATTCTCTAGAGACCGTCGAGTTGCAAAATTTGCCATTGTGCATCTTAACGAAAGCTCTTGGTATTTCACCTGATGGGAAGTGATGATCAGGCCGAAGATGGAGACGAGCTTCATCCGGAATCCTCAACCACAGAGGAACAGGTTATCTTCCCATAAACTGCCGATACATAATAATGCAAAGCCATGACGTCCTACGTAGGTATGCTTTCAAGCACCCTAGCAGTGGGATGAGAAGAAATGACGCAGCTTCCAAAATTCTGCCTACAGATCAGATCCAAGCTGCACGCATCATCCTCCTCGAAGTTGTCTCTACTACCGGACTATTCCCACCTCTCGTTCCCACCTCTGCAACTCCTGCTAGATCCTGCTCTCCTCCTGCAAGATCTCTAGCTTGATCTTCCACTAAAATCCAAATAAATAGTCCCAAGGGAAAGTTAAAAGAACTCTTTTTTTAAGATTCGTATTGAACAAATTACTGTATTCTCGTTAGCCCCTCGTGTAAGCCTCGTAAATAAGCTTGTGTTACGAGTGGGCTCAGCCTCACCATAATAGTCGAGCGACCGAGGGATTCGAACCCGCGTTCCTCGGATCTCGAGTCGGCCAGTCCGACCACTCCACCGTTAGGCTGTCGTGGCAATAAACCTGCAATAAAACTTTGAACCTGCAAAGTTAATCAGAACGACATAGGAGGACTTTTAATGAAATTAAAACTCTTTTCCTCTTGTTTGTCTTGTGTCTACTATTATTAAAGTTTAATTGGAATATCTGGTGTGTTCCAGCCTGGATTGTCTCCGGCGCATCAACAAAGGCACGGTCGACTTCGGCGCCTTCAGCCCTGAGGACCTCATCGCGGCGCAGTGGGCAGGCGTCGACGTGCTGGTCACTAACGAGCTGCGGTATCGATCCAGTAAGTAACACTCTTCATCATTTTAACTTAAATAGAAAGACACGGGTGTTAACGCGACATTTATTAATGAGTAACATTATGTACTCACGGAATGACGTTTCGGCTGCTATGCTGCAGCCGTGGTCACAAGCAGACTGGCGGCTCGCGGCGTCGTCCGTTCGGGCGGGCTTGAATTCGGCGGCATCATTTCAGTCATAGGACGTCCACTGCTGAATAAAGGCCTCCTCCCCCTCCAATGATTTCTAAAGACCACCCGCATCCAGGTACTTCCCGCGACCTCACCAGGTCGTCGCGGTCCACCTAGTGGAGGGCCTGCTCACACTACGTCTTCTATTCCAGCTCATGGTCTCCATCTCCAATCGATATTGTTTCTGCCCCAGCGGTTATCAGCTCTACGAAATATGTGCCCCGCCCACTGCCACTTGATTTTAACAATTCTGTGGGCTATGGCGGTCACTTTGGTTTTCCTGCAGATCTCCGCATACAGCTATTCTTCGGATACAGGCATATATCTGCGGCAGAATCTGATATCTTTGTGATTTTTCGTGCATTAGACCTTTTTTTGTGCTATACCTCATCACGATGTCTTCTCCTTCTCACAGAGCCCTTCGAACGTTCGGTGGTGGCAGTGGTCAACCGCCGGATATTGTCGGACGAGCCCATGCCGGTCCGAGCCCTCCTGAAGAACAGGACCCTATGCCACCCTGGATCTGGCGTGGACGATCTGAGGCCGCTTAGTTTCACTCTTTCTGCGGTAAGTGGTCATAAACTAGGAGCCACCGTAAACGGGTAGTCTGAAACCTGGTTTCCAACAAAGCGAAGAGGAGTGGAGACGAAAGGAGGTGATGAAAGTGGCTTTCGGTTGTGTGAGGCACGTGGAAAAAGCACCGGAAAACGGCGCGTGAGAGAACCGGTGGAAACCAGGCCTGAATGAAACCGTCATCATTATCAGGGGGCTTAGTGTGAGTTTACATCAAATGTTGTCACTAGTAAGTGCGTAAAAAATGACATCAAAGGTATGACGGATTGTACAGCGCCCCTAGCGGAGACGTTTATCAAGAAAATTTTATCTAACGCGCTCATTAGTGAGGACGTTTGATATAAACTCACACTCAGCCCACTGAGCGCGTGAGAGAGAAGTGTAGGTATATCCAAAACCTCTATGTAATCCAAACCCTTTGATAAATTAGAATGGGCGTACTTCTGTAGTGGAGACTGAATCACTGGCTGATGATGCAGGTCTATTAACAAATTTTGTGTCAGCGAAATATCGATTAATGATGATGAGGGAAGGCGATGGAGTAGACCGTTGCCAACCAACTAATCTGAAAATCATTGGAAATGATTCAATGATGTTGATGAAATGTCGATTCTTCTATTTTGTTATTTCTTCCAGTATTTGGAGTTCCAAGTGCTTTCCCGGGACTGCCTTGACGATTTATCCCTGGCTGAGAACCGGGTCAAAGCATTGGCCGACTTCTTCGGAAGCTCCTGCAAGGCTGGGGCCTGGGTGGTGGACAAGAACAGAGACGCACAGCTTAGTGAGTATCATACTTACCTACTACTCTTATGACTCAACAACCCTAAGGCACGGTTTCCACCAAGGCGGAGCGGAGCGGAGACCGTGGCGGAGAAGTGTCGAGCGGACGAATTTTTCTAGAGAATTTGACAGCGGCGGTGGCGTGGCGTGGAGAGGAGAAGTGGAAATAATGAAAGCTCACGAAGATCTGACTGCGTACTTGCGTACAACATAGTATAAAAAATGATTGACGTTAAAAGTTGCATCTCTAAAAAGTCTATTTGCCACAGGTGGAAACCGAACAAACAACCCTTTTGCTTACTGTGGCGACTGCTCTGACCTCTGAGTTCTGAACTAGTTTGATAACTCGAAGTTCTTGAAAATACCCTGATGATGATGATCATAAGCCAGGTCTCCAGCGCGTGTTTTGCTATACACAATCCACAAAATTTTGATTGCCTTAAAAAACCATTTTACCAAATTTCTGTCTTGTCAGGGACCACATATTTTTATCAAAATTCTATGAAAGGGGAGGTCGATTTCTCGTCCACTGTGCGCCGTTTGCGTTGTGTAGATTCGACTCATCACGTCACGTCACTTGTTTATTACGATGTCTTCGCGGACCACTTGGAATGCCTATGCCACTTGGAATATGTTTATGTATTTAGATGTATGTCTATTATATTAATATGTATTCTTATGTTATTTATTTTATCTAATGCTATGTAAGTATATTAATTAAACGTCATATTTATTGCACCGCCTTAGTCTCTCTACTCGACCTGTGGTTGACTGGCAGATAATGCCACCTGGCATTAAGTCCGCCACTGTACAATTGTATGTGCAAAAGTGTAAATAAAAAAAATAAAATAAATGCCTCCAGGGACCACCAGTGGTCCGCGGACCACTGGTGTAGAGCAAAACACGCGCTGGAGACCCGGCCAACCTTCCACTCTATTCCAGAACGCAAGTACTTCTCGCTATGCGCCGCATGCGGCTCCTCCTCGTGCAGTGCCAACGACCCTTACTGGGGCAGCTCGGGCGCGCTCGCCTGCCTTGCCGAGGTGGGGGACGTGGCGTGGGGCGAGCTGGTCGACATCCAGGCTTATTTCGGGGTAAGGCTATGTAAAAAAGTCCATTTAATTCCATTTAATTTCATTTAATTCCATTTAATTCAGTTTAATCCTATTTAATCCCAATTTAGTCCCATTTAATTCCATTTAATTCCATTTCATTCCATTTAATTCCACTTCATTCCATTTCATTCCATTCCAATTCATTCCACTCCATTCCATTCCATTCAATTCCATACGATTCCATTCCATTCCATTCCATTCCATTCCATTCCATTCCATTCCATTCCATTCCATTCCATTCCATACCATTCAATTCCATTCCATTTCATTCCATTTCATTCAATTTCATTCCATTAAGTTCCATTCAAAATTAAAAATCAAAATCAAAAATATTTATTCAGTTTAGACCACAAGTGGCACTTGTGTATTATTTCATTCTATTAAATTCCATTTCATTCCATTCCATTCAATTTCATTCCATTCCGATGAATAGCGATGCTTCATCGATCGAACGCAGCCGTCCCAATAAAAGAAATCACCCTTTATCAATTCAATTTTCCTCCCCAGCTAACGGAACCGCGCGGCAAGTCGCTGCGCCCTCCAGCGGAGAAATACGCGTACCTCTGCCGCGACGGCTCGCACCAGCCGCTGGAGACGCCGGAGCCTTGCGTGTGGCTGCAGCGGCCGTGGCCCGTCATCGTCGCTAAGAGGTAACACTACAACTACCCTGTAGTCTTCTAGACTGGAGCCGTTCTCCTAGATGAGCGACGGAACGCGTCATGAAGCAAGACGACGCGATGTGACGCTATGCGATCTTCTCTACAGTCTAGATAGAACGAGAGAGGAGCGAACAGCGCCATATTTGGAATCTTACCCGGGTTGCTAGGTGAGCGAAGGAAGGCGACGTAGAGCGACGCTGCGCTATGCGACATAATGCGACCGATACCTTACGTGACTGACATAGGTACCTACTATGTCCTACGCGGCTACGTAGGTCACTACTATTATTTACAGCTACCTACATGATATTTTCGCGTCGGGTCGCGTTGCTTCGCGACTGTCTAATATCGGAGGCAAATGGAGTATTTGGTCTGCTGTCTCTCTCTCTCTCTCTCTGAGCTGACTAGAAGGGCTGTGAAGGCGGTTAGCTCTCGTCTTCCATTGGAAGACAATGATCCTCAACCACAGAGGCATTCGCCAGTCCTCTCCAGCTGACGGGGCCTCGCGGCAACTCGCTGCGTCCTCCAGCGGAGAAATACGCGTACCTCTGCCGCGACGGCTCGCACCAGCCGCTGGAGACGCCGGAGCCTTGCGTGTGGCTGCAGCGGCCGTGGCCCGTCATCGTGGCCAAAAGGTAACACTACAACTACCCTACAGATTGGAGAGCAAAAGGCGCCATATTTGGAATCCTTTCATCACCAGAATCATCAGCGTCTTTAGTCTCCTTTTCTGAGTCTTCGTCGCCAAGAGGTAACATTACACTACCCTGCAGTCTTCCAGACTCGATACATTGTCCTAGATGAGCGACGGAACGCGACATACAGCGACGCGATGCGATACGACATAATAACTGCAGCAGCCCTGACCCGTCATCGTCACCAAGAGGTAACACAGTCATCATCATCGTCATTTCAGCCATAGGACGTCCACTGATAAACAAAAACTTCCCCTCATAAAGGTAGCAAGAAGGCTCTGAATGCAGGTCGCTTCCAACGACCCCTCTCTCAGGTAAGCACGGCTCGCACCAGCGATGATCAGACCTAATAAACTACAGGTCACTTTTATCACAGGTTAATGCACAACCTTTGATACACTGATGAGTTAGAAAAGTGTCTTAAAAGCCTCCAGAAAAATCAATTGCTGCAAGGTCATCATCGTCAGGACACTAGTCTCCACTGCAACAACCCGACCCTCTCTATTTTACCAGAGATATTGGAGCATTTATTTGGCCGTACAATCACAGGTACAATCTATAAAAAGGGTGGGACAGTAAGCACGGCTCTTACCAGCCAATGGGGACCCTGTATAACTGCAGGTAGAACGAGATAGTAGCGACAGACGCCATATTTGCAATCTCATGTACTGTGTAGCCTTAAAAGTGATGAAAAAATATCGTGTTTTTCACTCACCGCTTTTTATTTCTGCAGGCGAGCATCAGAAGCAGTAGCCAACCTGGCTCTCTCTCTCCACAACAACAACGTCACCGTCGACCCGCACTGGCGCGGAGCCTTGGCGGCTTTACTGGAGATCCGCTCAGCACAGCCGGAGCCTCTGCAGCCTCCGGTCACACCAGCCGACTACCTGGCCAAGGCTAGAGGGTTCAGAGAGGCTTATAGCCAGACTGGGTGTGTCCCGCCTAGGTAAGACTTGACTAAAGACTTCTTCGTTTCTAGAATACTTGTATCTTCCACTCCTATAAGTAGCTGCCGTCAGAACTGCCTGCTACAATGGCCAAGAATCTTTGAAGATCTAGATATTCGAAGAAGAAGAAGGCTGGAAGGAGGCTTGTAGCCAGACACACCCGTTCCTCCTAGGTAAGACTTTTCGTTTTGACAAAGACTTCTACCACCCCTATAACTAGCTAGCATTGGTTCCCAAAGTGGGGCGCGCAAAGACCTTTAAAGGGTGGCGCGGGCCATCTGTGTACTTAAGTATAAAAAACCTGCGACCGCTGAGAGAATGCATTCCAATCTGCTCGATACAACCAATAAATAATCTTGACTGGAGGAGGGAGGGTGCGGAATTTTTTGTATGGTCGAAAGGCGGCGCGTCTCAAATAAGTTTGGCAACCAATGAGCTAGAGGATCTTCATCCGATGGTGTCACATGATGACCATCTGGTCAGGGCTAAGGGCTCCAGAGGCGTACTTATAGTCAGACTGGGCAATTCCTGTCTAGGTAAGACTCTTCTGTTTCTAAAACTAGAGCAGCTATTGTCTAGTGCTGTATCAACACATTTACGACGTCACCATCGACCCGCACTGGTGCGAAGCCCTGGCGGCTTTACTGGAGATCCGGTCGGCGCAACCGGAGCCTCTGCAGCCCCCGGTTACGCCGGCTGACTACCTGGCCAAGGCTAGAGGGTTCAGAGAGGCGTATAGCCAGACGGGGTGTGTCCCGCCTAGGTAAGACTAATTCTATTGACTTACCTAATCCTGTATCTCCTCTATATCTGCCAGTCAAAACTGATAGGTACCTGATCAGAGGATCTTCAGAATTCTGAAAGGTTAATCCCGGTCGCCCTCGAAGCTCGCAGACCAGTTATAGACTGAATGCATTTTACCTGGGTAAGATGACCCTATAGCTGCCGATTACACCTGTCGACGTGTCATTTATTTTGTCTGACTTGTATTTGGCCAGTTTTGAAACAAAACCGCCAATCTCCTTCCAGCACAACCAATCTTTGCTTAAAAGATTTGACGTTTCTTGCGCTGCTTCTTCTCAATACTGGCCCATATTATTGTCACAAAGCATTATCCGTTGCTCGTTGTTGCTGAAAAAAAATTTGGAACATGTGAAAAAATTTCCCTTTAGGATTCAAACAATAGAAATCTGTTCACATTAATAATTTTGATTCTCCCTTCCAGGCACATAACCTTTTGCACTACCTCCAACTTGGAGCGCAACAAATGCGAGTGGCTGAGCGAAGCGGGTGCTGTGTACGGAGTGGCGCCATCTATCCAGTGCGCGATAGCCAACAGCACTAGCGAATGTATGAAGGCGGTGGCCAACGGCGATGCTCACATCGTGGCTGCGGATAGCAACTGGCTGATGAAGGCAGAGAGGTAAGTTTACGAGTACTACTTCACTGAAAAAAAAAAAATATCTATCTTCATAATATAATAATGAAACTTTGTGAGGATGGGTGGAGATGTTTGAGGAAGGTTTATGGATGTGGCCAAACGCAATCCGCGTGAGCTATAAAGAAAAAGTTTAAAATTTGACTACTGTTGGAGACTTCTTGGCAAGAAAATGAGGCATCATGTTTGCTAGTATTTTTTTTTCTTCTGTTGTCTGTCTATCTCTCTACTAGCGACATGGTTCTATATGGCGCCATCCCATGCAATATTTCTCCTTCTTTTCTTTGTACTATGGTTGAAAGCAGATAGCAGCAGCAGTTGAAAAAGATATTTATTTTTACAGAGACTACAACTTAACCGCTGTTCTACACGAAGCCACGCCAATAGTAGACAAAACCCACACAGTTGTTGCGAACGTGCTTACCGATTCACACATCAACAAAATGGCCGATTTGCGCGGGAAACGAGTCGCTTTTCCCGAATACGATGGCGTCGCCTGGCATTCCGTTCTACGCTACTTGAAAAACAAAGAAGAATTGTCTTGCGGCGATTTCAAAGGGTATTTCAAAGAAATCTGCGCTCCAGGAGTGAGCCAGAGCGTTATTGAGCAAGCCAAAGTCTTCACTACGAATTGCTACGAAGAGGGTCTGAGTGGAGAAATGCAGGCGCTGAAAGCACTCGTTGAGGGAAAGACCGACGTTGCTTTTATAAGCATGGAGACTTACAAAACGTATAGAGGTTAGTAAAAATATTAAGCAGACTTTCCTTCATAGTAATAACAATTTTGACTTTTTAAAAAGTTCTGGGCGCTGAAAATAATTAATAGATTTCATGTCTCCCTATGCACAGTCCACCGACTTTTAGTTAGCCGATAGTTGGGCCCGATTTCAATTTGCATGAAGAATCAGCCGATACCTAATCGGTTTAAGCAGCACTTTCATACATCTCCTATGAGCCCGACCCAACTATCGGCCAACTAAAAGTCGCTGGTCTGCGACTAGGCTAAAAGTTTGAGTTGCTTTCGACACAGACAAGTGCTAAGTATTGTCCTGTTTAAAATGATGTGTTTTTTCGTTTCCAGCCAAGCTGATCTCACAACCATGGGCAAGCGAACCTCTACAGCTCAATCCAGTGTGTCCAGAAGACAACCCAAAATACTGCTTCATCAGCTGGGCCAACATTGGCCACATATACGCCTCAAAGAACATTTCAACCATGCGCCACCAAGAAATCGTCAACGTATTCACCAAGCTGGACCAACTGTTTGGCAAACAGTATCCATTCCATAACTCCATCTTCTCTATGTATAGCCCATTTAATCATCAACCAGATGTCTTATTCCACAATAGCACGAAGAATTTAATCACCGATGATAGTTTAAAGTCACAACCCTACAGCCGGATTCCGTTGAATTTCGAACGCAGCCTGTCAAACTCAACTGACAGCTGTCAAGCGGAGGAAATCGCTAATTTGAGCGCGAAAATTCAACCGGGATTACTGGTAATGATGGTCTCTCTAGTCGTTTATTTAATAAGTTAAAAGTCAATACCAATATTTTGTAAGATTAAAATAATAACTCGTTTGACTGTTGTTTTATTTTGGTGCCAGTTAGGGAATAGGTCTCCACGCACGCAATCAATTAAAAAACAACTAGAACACCCAGGTGATAATTATATTATAATCAACGACATAGAAATCATCAAGAAATAAACTTCTTTTAAATGTGGTTTCGTTGCCCTTGCCGAAGCTGTGAAGCTGAAGGTGTCAGACTGACCGAGTCATGAATTCATGATCCGAGGAATGCGGGTTCGATTCCCGCTCACTCGTGCATATTTAGCTTACCACGAGGTTAACAGGATTTAAAAAAGTTAATTTCGAAGTCGACTGATATGAGCCATAACCCTCCTTCTGGAGCAATCGGGTAAAAATAATGGAGAGGCCTCTTTTATAACAACTAACAAGTGATGTACGGTTTCTGAACGTAGCGTTCGAAACATCTGCCTGTCAATTCTGTCATTTTTTTTGTGTCACTGTCAAACGCAATCTGTGATGTTGTCAACAACAAACAAGTTTCCCGCGAGCTGAAACTTTATTACTGAAAATCAAGTGAAAAACCAACTTTTTACAACAAAATAATGTCTGCGACTGATCTGAGTAATTTTCTGAAGGCCCTCGACGCGGTGAAACAAGATTATACCTGCGGCGTTTGCTCCAATCTCTGCGAGGATCCTGTTACTTTGAGCAAATGTTTTCATTTGATTTGTGGCAAACATTTCGAGAGTTTGAAGACATGTCCGACTTGCAACGTGTCTTTGGAAGGCTGTACTATCTTCGCTGATAACCGTTTAGGACCTTGCGTTCAGTCTGCGAAAGAATTGGACAAGATTTTCGACAATTTTCGCCCTAAGGATGCCCAACCTACAAAAGCTGAAAATACAACGAAAGCGCCGAAAAAGCGCGCCAGGCGCAACACAAACGACAAATCAAGCGACGAAAAGGCACAAAAAGAGACTAAAGCGCTTTCAGACAAATCTAATAAGGTACAAAAGCCAAATATGAATACTTCTCTCCTGTCTAATGCTAGTTCTAAAGCTAACAAAGCAATCGAGAAACGTAATAACAAAGGTGAGACGATGCTTCATATATCCTGTAGATTGGGAAAAATCGATAAAATCACAGAACTACTCAACCAGGGTGCCAATACAAACACAAAAGACAATGCTGGCTGGACACCGTTGCACGAAGTTGTTCAAAACGGCCGTTTGGACTTGGTCAAGCTGTTGTTACAGTATAATACTCTAATAAACGTGCCCGGGCAGAGCAATGAGACACCGTTGCACGAAGCGGTGAGGTATAACCACATTGATATTGCCGTAGAGTTGGTTAAGAATGGTGCGGATTTAAATGCTCGCAACTGTAAAGGAGAAACCCCTTTGCAATTGGCACAAGGAGCTATGAAGGAAAAATTAATTATGGCATCGGAAGATATCATTCAAACGCAAACTGTCAACATTACATTGATATCAAACCTTCATTCGGAATTAGATTTTGATGATATTCGAGTATACTGTAACTCACAATTTCGTACTGTACAGAACAAATTGAAGTTGTTAACGAAACATCACACCAATTTGCATGTTGAAACAAAATTCACGAAGAAAGTTACCCACTTAATAGTAGACGCAGAGGAAGATAGAGTTTGTACATCAAGTTTGGATGTGCTACAAGGAATAGCCTATGGCGTATGGATTTTAACAACAGACTGGATAACGAAGTCAACAGAAGACAAACTAGAACCATTTGATCGCTACGAAGTGACTGGAGTTGGTTCTAAAAATTACAACGGTCCCAAAAACGCCAGATACAACAAGTACAAGCAATTCCCTGGATTATTTGATGGTTGCCATTTCTATTTGCACAATTTCAACACGAAATATGAAATTACAAAAAACATTGTCGTAACAAAAGCTCTGCTCACAAAATTGATAATAGATGCCGGTGGAATCGTTCTCCGGAGAGTTCCAAATCCAGAATCCATTCCGGACTCTGAGAAACTTGTTCCGTACCATGCAAATAAGGATGGGAAATTAGTGAATTGTTCTCATTATATTATTTTTAAGGATATGTACGAACCAATGTATAATATGCAGCATTTGAAGGCTTTACCAATTGGATGGTTGATTGAGTGTATTGAAAAGTATGAATTGTGCGAACCAATTGTTTACAATTATGCTTAGATTTGGAATGACGAATGAATATGTATAAATATTTATCAAGCTCTCTAAAGATGGCCTTGTTACAAAATCTTACAATTAGATTGTATTAAGTACGAAGTACTAAAAATCAATTAACTACCTCAATTTTTGGTCCATCTATTTTATGTAGGTATTGATTTCTCTAATTTAAATATAGTAATAATGACTCTTAAAGAATATAAGAAATATAAAGCCCATAGGCTCGAATCTTGTCTGTGTTAGAATGAGTATTGAATGTTAATTATTCTGAATAATAAGCTTATTTTGGGAAGGATTTAATTATGTTATAATTTAATTAGCCTCATAAGTGGCCATTTATTTTTGAGTTTTACTGAATAAAGTATTTTGTATAGATTTGAATGTTTTCTTTAACCCATTTAAATGTGGTAGCCTTATTGAAATATTTTAGGTACAGTCAATCAAATACTTAAATCTTGTAATTTGGAGAGAGGAGTAAGCCCCAGATTAGAAGTATTTTCATCGATAAATTATCCATAGATCATAATTCGAGGTTTAGGCTAGTTTCTAGCTTGCGGAAGTCAACTAATACAAGTTTTATTGCTAGTCTATACCTCACTTTGTGGCGCAAGTACACTATGCAGAAAATTATCCAAGTCGAAGCACTAGCCCGCACACCGAAGTCTGGGCGACGCACGCGAGGAGGGAGTCAAAGTCAAAATTTCTTTATTTGTTTGGACTAATAAATAGTTCTTACAAATCGTCATTTTGCTCTTAAGGAGCCTCTACATGTCTCAATCTTTTTACCCTACCAGCCAGCGCTTCGAGACAACATTTGGCAAGTGCTGAGAAGAAGCGCCGCAACAAACTCAGTCACCACTGTCTGCCGGTTAATATAAATAAATAGAAATAGTAGTAGTAGGTACATTCGATTCAGGAGCAGTTCACTGAATTTACCATGCATTCTTGTATGGTGTATCTTATAAGAATGGGTATACAAGATTGCGTTGTATATTAAACAAGATAGTGACGTGCTAATATCTAGACTTACATATTAAGATACTAGTAGAAATGACTCGCATACATAAATTTGAATAACATGGATTGACCAGTCCCCGAAAGCAGCGCCTGTTCACAGACATGACGAGTGAACCAGCCATCGCTTCACTCGACCATATTAGAGGGAATGTAACGACCCGCCTCACTACCCCACCTACTTTCCGCCGGAGGAGAAAGTAACCGAGATGGTGTTCACACTAATACGTCTTGGCCAATTTCCAGCATAGTGTACTTGCGCCATTAAAGTTTGATCACTACTTCTCTGAACACACTGTAGATGGCGGAATGCTCAAAAAACTTTGTGCCCGGTTTGAATGGGACATTACAGACCCACAAGTTACAAAAAGATAAAAATAAAAGAAGTAAATCAGATGAAGGTATATTATTATTTTATTTTTACTGTTTATTACACATACCCTACACTTTGTTTACACTTTTTACATTCATACAAATCTAGGTAAAGTAGCCTCCTCATAAAATTAAAATCTGATTTTTTACAAGACTAAGGATTTTGAGGCTACAAAAATATCGTCTCAAAAATTCATTCAAAGGACGTTTTGTAACTTTTAATAAATATTTTTTTATATCAAATCAAATCAAATAATCATCCGTGCCAATAAACAACAAAGCAAGTTTATTAAGACGAAACTTATAAGGAAAACGAAAATGAGCCGAGTGATTCGACCTTACAGTGGCGTCAATTGGTGAGCATAAATAAGGAAACCCTACTTATAAAGAAAATTACATAAAATAACTTAATATTACCAGAAACTACTCAATTTCAATATTTAAAACTAGACTTTCCACATTTCACCGAATACCTATACAAAAATAGGTGACTGCCACGTTTTTGGCAGTCCTCAATTTATAAATCAATTTTAATGACCACGAAAACTTAATGCTCTTTCAAATTAGACGTTTTGAACCGGAAACTAGTAGGTACTCCGTTTTTAGTGATTTATATGACAACAGTTATGTATTGTACATAATAGACTGCAGGCAGGTCAATCAGTTTGATTTGAATCATATTTTACAACAAGATCCAGCTAACTGCGCACTTCGCTGAATACTTCTCACTAGCACACTTCCCCGCGCTCGCACCGTCCGTACCAGAGCGTCAATATGACGTCACGTCAGCCAGTTGCGCAGTGAACTCGACCGGGTTGTAAGAGGGAAGCAGGGCGATTGATTTGATGTTTAATATAAGGTAAAGATATTAAAATAGGGAAATGATCACTACCAAATGTGCTGTTTAGAACACTCCATGAGCAGAGTAAGTCTGAAGAAGATGGATTGAATCTTTTCGACAACCTCTCTTATCTTCTGAGTTATCGGCCTTGTTGGACAACCATTGTTCAAAATACACAGATAAAGTTATGAACTTGAAACTTAAATGTTTATTCCACTTTGATCACCATACTCCAGGAGATATTTTAGTGTCCTTTGATCACCTATGGATAAGATCACTTAGGTGATCAAAGTGGACTTTTTATCCATGGGTGATCAAAGGACACTAAACTGTCGCTTGGAGTCCAGTTTGATCACTTGGGTGATCAAATCCAGGTGATCAATGTGGAATATACCAACTTAAAAGGTCCAGAAGGCTTCTGTAGCAATGAATGGTAGGAACCCCATAAGACATGGTGAGCATTCAAGTCACCCAAAATAGAAGTAAAGGAGGAACAGATTTCTAAGTAATAATTAAGTAAGTAAGGCGTAAATAATAATTATCGATAGAAGCATTATTAGGGAGGGGAATATAAACGGATAAGAAGGAGATGTCAAAAAATTGAAAATGAAAATATTTTATTATAAATAATAAAAAAAAGAAACGAATGAATTAACAAAAAAAAAGAAAAGAAAAAATACTCAAACAACCACAACATTAATGTCTTGGCTATACTAGGGGAGGGGATTTTGGTGGTAGTCTTACAAGGAAGACACTTCCCGAAGAACCATCGTTCCTGTCCGAGAGTGAAGTGTGAACCAGGCATTAGTCATGTCTCCGAGACAGCTAGGACTGGTGGGGAATTGTTTCTAAAGATGATAAGAAATTATTTACAGAACAATAAAAAAAAGAAAATATGACTAAGACTTAAAATTAATTGAAAGAACTATTGTGACAAAAATTGCTAATGCTATTTATAATAAAAAAGACTATAAAAATAAACATTAATGCTACGGCAATTCCACTGAACTACCACCGGCTTCATTAATATCAATTATGATTAGCAGCTAACTAAAGACAAACTTTTAAAGAAAAACATTATAAAAGACATAATTAAATAAAAAAAGAAATATACCAAAAAGATGCGTGCTAATTTAGTGCTACCGATTCACAAAAAAAAAAGAATTAAATGAACTGCGACTATACATTATTATAAGCAGCTAACTAAAGTTCAAATCTGTGCGCAACGTTGGACGGTAGGGCGTTTTTACGACTGGAAATATAATATTTTATTGGTAACAACAAAAAAATAAAAATACACATAACAATCAAAACATTACATAAAAGACTAAAATTAAATAAAAGAAATATGTCAAAAAGAAACGTGCTAATGCTATTTACAAAAGAAAAATAAAAGGAGAAAAAAAATACATTAAAATACTTCGGCGGTTCCATTGAACTGACACTGTTTTCATTATAGTTAATACAGCTAACTAAAGGGAATGCTTTTGGCAACGTTGGACGGTAGGGCGTTTTTAGGACTTGGAACAAGAAGAATAATAAGAGAAAATTCGCTTCTGGGGGCTCTCATCTCCTAGGGAAGAGTTTTTTTTCACAAAGCGTCCCCTTCTTTTTATTTGGCGCCCCCTTAAGACTGCCGCCCGGGGCAGGCGCCCCAAAAAATGCCACAGCCGTGGTGGTTTACCAAAATTTCTTCAATCTTCCATAGACCAATCTGTGGAAGTATTTATACATTTTCGAAACCGAACCTAGCACCGCTAGGTTTTGCAACTAATAAAAATAATTGATAGAAAAAAAAAACAAAACAACATAAAATACCTACTTAAAATTAAATAGAATAAAAGATAAAATGCCAAAAAAGTACATGCTAATGCTATTTACAAAAAAAAGACGCGGAAAGAGAATCTGCGAGTTCTTCCATAGACCAATCAGCAGGAAAAAAAGAGTCGGTATATTTACTGACTTAAAAATAAATTAATAGAAATATGCCAAAAAGATGCGTGTTTACAACAAAAAAATAAAAAGATAAAAACAAACCATACAATAAAATACTTCGGCAATTCCATTGAACTACCATTATTGTCATTATTAATAGTAGCCGATTTTTTGATACCGTCCAAAATTATACCTTGAATTTTTTTTGTTACCAAAAATTTGCCAAACCTCTTAGGTTGAACGATTTTTTTTATCCACCGTAGGTCTTGGCTTGCAGTTTTGCATCTCACTTGATGGAAAGTGATGATCAGAAAGCGAGTTTCATCTGGAATCCTCAACCGCATGGCGCAAGTACACTACGCGGGAATCGATCGAGGCGTATAGTAAACATAAACACGCACTTCAGTTAGTTTCGCCGTGTCGCCCATACTTCGTGCGGGCTCGCGCTTCGTCTCGGTCAATTTCCCACATAGTGTACTTGCGCCAACAGAGGAACGCTATCTTCCAACTGTAGGAATACAACAATACTGTTAATATTGTTTTTATAGCGATAGATTTAGGTAAGATGGTGTAGAAGGTTCGGATTTTTTATGACTGACAAAAAAAAGGTAACAAACGCACGACTGACGACTTGCTTAAAACGTCTAATTTGAAAGAGCTTATACACACTGGATGAATTTATAGGTACTTCAACTGTTCATTCTGCTTACTAGTTAAAAAAATAAATACTAGCTCCACTAGTAATTAATTGTGTCAACTATTTCGACGATTTCACTCTTTAGGCTGTAAGTAATTTACTCCGTAAACTAGTCTTTTAGTCGGCCGATAGTTAGGTCGGCAGATACCAAATCGGTGTAATGTGCGCACTTCCATACATGTTCATACTGATTAACAGCCCGACCCAACTATTGGAGGACAAAAAGTCTGCATTCGGGGTGTCTAAAGCAGGGATGTTATGGATATCCGTAACTGTAACCGAAACTTTCGGATATCCGAAATAAAAAAATATCCGTAACCGTAACCGAAACCGGTATAACATTATTCCTATTTCCGTAACCGTATCCATAACCGAAACTACATATCCATAACATCCCTAGTCTAAAGGAATGATATTGTAGATCAATTTCTCTTAATTTGGGATTAGGCTATCTTCAACCTAAATACAATTCATTAAGGTTCAAAATGTACTTCTCTAAAAGTTTCATATCACCGTAACCAATAAATGCTCTCTTCTATTGATATCAGTAAGATGAAAAGAGACAACCATTTGTCTTTAAAAAAATACTATTTTCAATATTTAACTAAATTAAAAAAGCCATCAATATAATGCTAAATTAAGAGATATTACAAATATACATTAATACATGGTTAAAAGTTCCTATCTACCAACTACTTACAACATATTTAATTACATATCTAAATATTATAACTCAAAGGTGACTGACATAGTGATCTATCAACGCACAGCCCAAACAACTGGACGGATCGGGCTGTTTGGCATGCAGGTAGATGTTATGACATAGGCATCCGGTAAGAAAGGATTTTACGAAACCGCGGGATCCACGCGTACGAATTCGCGGGTGGCCGCTAGTATATAATAAGAAAATAATTACATTGTATTACATTAATATTTTATAAGTAATCTACCTACAAGAATATACCAGTGTTATATGAAGCGATACTCAAAAATATTTTAGAACAATTTAAGATATTATAATATAAAAAATCGCAGTCCTTAATCTGTTCAAGTCAAAAAATGTACACTTGAGTATCATTTCAAAAGGTCTTTGTAATAATAATACAACCCGATTGAGCTAACTGCGCATCTCGCTAGAATGCGATTCCTTCGCACTGACCCGCAAACCTCCCCGTCCGTCCGTACCAGAGCGCAGAAAGAACACTTTGGGACCAATATGTCGCCAGAATCGGCACTATTTTTATACATTAACTTAGAAATTATCCTAAGAATTGGCGCACACCGTTGATTTTTCGTCGGCCGATAGTTTAGTCGGGCAGTTGATCAGTATGGGCATGTATGGGAGTGCGCACACTGCGCCGATTCGATTTGGCCGATTCTTCATACAAATTAAAATCGGGCACAACTATCAGTCAACTAAAAATCAACGGTGTGCGCCTACTCTTAAAAGAAGTAATTTTATAGACAAATATAATACACATAAGCCTATGCGCAGACCACCGAATTTTAGTTGCCCGATAGTTGGACCCGATTCTAATTTGTATGAAGAATCGGCCGACACCAAATCGGTGTAATGTGCGCACTTCCATACATGTCCAGTCGAACCTTAACTTCGAACTCCTATGTTCTTCTGATTAATTTCGTTGCGGGTCCAATGACATTTTAACTGTCCCCGGGACAAACTTGACCTTCACTGGTTGGGTTTATATTGGCGGTCAAGGTGTTGTCAGCAGGTGGCCAGCAGATCAAGCGCCGCAAGTGGAACTGGATTGGTCACACTCTCCGAAGGGATCCCGATCACATCCCCAAGCAGGCTCTGGATTGGAACCCCCAAGGAAAACGCAAACGTGGTCGCCCCAGGCAAACTTGGCGGCGCACTGTGGCAGACGAGGCGAAGAAGATCGGCAAGACTTGGAGCGAGATCAAACACATAGCTCAAGATCGAACGCGATGGAGGACTGTTGTGGACGCCCTCTGCCTAGCTCAAGACCGAACGCGATGGAGGACTGTTGTGGACGCCCTCTGCCTAGCTCAAGACCGAACGCGATGGAGGACTGTTGTGGACGCCCTCTGCCTAGCTCAAGACCGAACGCGATGGAGGACTGTTGTGGACGCCCTCTGCCTAGCTCAAGACCGAACGCGATGGAGGACTGTTGTGGACGCCCTCTGCCTAGCTCAAGACCGAACGCGATGGAGGACTGTTGTGGACGCCCTCTGCCTAGCTCAAGACCGAACGCGATGGAGGACTGTTGTGGACGCCCTCTGCCTAGCTCAAGACCGAACGCGATGGAGGACTGTTGTGGACGCCCTCTGCCTAGCTCAAGACCGAACGCGATGGAGGACTGTTGTGGACGCCCTCTGCCTAGCTCAAGACCGAACGCGATGGAGGACTGTTGTGGACGCCCTCTGCCTAGCTCAAGACCGAACGCGATGGAGGACTGTTGTGGACGCCCTCTGCCTAGCTCAAGACCGAACGCGATGGAGGACTGTTGTGGACGCCCTCTGCCCCATCTAGGGGATATAGGACCATAAGTCAAGTAAGTCAAGGTGTTGTCCCGTTCCTTATATGTCCATACTGAGTAACAGCCCGACCCAACTATCGGCGGACTAAAATTCTAGTTTGCTGGAAGTCTAAGACAATAATATAATACAATTCGGTAATACATATTTAAATAAATGCTTTTAAGTAAGACTAGCACTCATACTTGATTTATATCTGTGACACCAACCATAGAGACGACAGTCTTTTAAATCATAGACAATCTACTCCATTTTAAAAAGTAAAAGTATACTTAGCGGGTTTTCTTATTGAAGTAATTTAAAAATATTTTTCTAAATAATAAATCATCTATTACTCTAAACATTCATTATAACTATTCACAATAATTTTCAAACTTTCTCTAGCACCGTTCATTCATAAATAACACAAATATTCGATTATAATGATAATAATATACGCTATTTGATATACATAATGAAATAATAGGCGTAGTATATGAACTAACACTTGACAGTTAAGTGTTTATTCACTCGCACATTATCGCGAGAGAAAGGGAGCGAGTGATGTCGTGAAAGATTGAATTTCGCGAGGGTAGTTCTATTATCTTAGTTCAGTATGTATTTCGTGTGTGGATCGGTGTATTTTTGGTGAGGGTAGACAAGTAAGATGCATTTTATGGGAGTAGTTAAGTACATACGTTCTTCGTGAAGGTAGTTTAGTGATTATTCCGTGACGGTAGTTCAGTGTGTTTTTGCGGGGCCGGGGTAGTCCGGAATTCAGAATGTATTTAGTGCGGGTAGTTAAGTGATTATTTCGTGAGGGTAGATTTAGATTAATGTACATTTAGCGAGTGTAGATCGGTGTATAGTTACTGAGGGTAGACCAGCAGGATGTATTTTTCGAGGGTAGTTAAGTATGTAATATTTTTGTGAAGGTAGTTCAGAATGTATATTACTAGGGTAGTTTAGTCTTATTGAGTAAGATAGTTTCTCATGCATTTGGTAAGAGTAATTTGTGTATATTTCGCAAGAGTAGTCCAGTATACTTCGCGAGGGTAGTCCATAGTATTTAGCGTGGGTAGTATGATAGACCAGTATGTAATATGCACATATATTTTGCAAGAGTAGTTCAGTATACGTTTCAGGAAGGTAAATCAGTGTCTATGTATATTTTACAAGGGTAATCCACTACATATTTTATGACTGACCAATATGTATTTCGCAAGGGTAGTCCAGTATACTTCGCGAGGGTAGTCCATAGTATTTAGCGCGGGTAGTTCATACTTGGCGTGTTCATTGGTTCTGAGCGCGGGGCGGCGGCCCCGACGTGTCTAGATGTCAGGTATCGAAACTGCGAGGCATGTACCTGGAATGGAAGTTCAATGGATTTTGAATCTTATAAGAGAGATATAAAGTTCGAAATCAAATGCTTATTAAGTCGACCCGCTTATTGCACTTGAAAATTTCGATTGGTTCATCCAGAAATATAGAGAGATGCCAACTAATGCACTGAGTTCGAAACTCAGTGTCGCATTAGAAATTCACACACACAAAGTAATCAAAATGCGCTCATTATCCACTGCGGTATCAGTACTCAACGTTCGGATAATTTTTAGTACTACGCAAGCAATGTAAGCTGTTTACATTATAACGTCGCTGCTGTCATAATTGCTTTCACAAGCAATGTGTTCTGTTTTTGGGCATATTGCTGCGACACCGGCCCCGTCCCCTTGTCACATCTCCATTTAGTTTCTGTGATCTGTGATTCCAACTCACCTCAGGCTGACGTCATGCAACCGATGCACAGTGTATCTCCTGTTCCGGAACACGGGTAGAAGTGATCAGGCGCACGCGTGAGTAACGCACAACACAGCAACGCGGTTCACTAAGCACAGTCTAGCTAGGACAGGTAGCTGTGCACAGTGCAAGTACAGACCATAGCCTACAGTCCAACTAAAGTCCGGTCGTCGTGCACATAGAATTTCGTCCAATGACCCCAAGCTCGCACACTCACTGTGGCCGCCCGTCGCGACATCAATATAATTACGCGCGAGCGATAAGGATGGGTAGCTTGGGGTCATTGGACGAAATTCTATCTGCTCGGCGACCGGACTTTATCATAGATTCTAACTCACCTCAGGCTGACGTCATGCAACCGATGCACAGTCAGTGTATCTCCTATTCCGGAACACCGGGTAGAAGTGATCAGGCGCACGCGTGAGTAACGCACAACACAGCAACGCGGTTCACTAAGCACAGGTAGCTGGGCACAGTGCAAGTACAGACCATAGCCTACAGTCCAACTAAAGTCCGGTCGCCGAGCACATAGAATTTCGTCCAATGACCCCAAGCTCGCACACTCACTGTGGCCGCCCGTCGCGACATCAATATAATTACGCGCGAGCGATAAGGATGGGTAGCTTGGGGTCATTGGACGGAATTCTATCTGCTCGGCGGCCGGACTTTAGAACAGATTCTAACTCACCTCAGGCTGACGTCATGCAGCCGATGCACAGTGTATCTCCTGTTCCGGAACACCGGGTAGAAGTGATCAGGCGCGCGCGTGAGTAACGCACGGCACAGCGGCGGGACAGCGCGGGACGTTTGAGTCACGCTGTCCCATATGTCTTCGAACGTGCAGTTACTATAGACAACTTACCATACACAGGTGATCATAAACTAGCGAACAGAACGTGCGGATTTACTAAGCACAGCCCAGCAATTATAGACCACAGACCGCTGTGCAAAGCCCAGCTAGCACTTACCACAGCCTATCTAGTATAAGCACTAGCTCACGTTAAGCTGACGTCATGTTGTGCACATCTCATTGGCATGTGCACAGACAGCTGAGCACAGATTTCTAAGCACAGATCACTGAGCACAGCCCAGCTAGCATAGTTTAGGGAGCACAGACCAGCTAGCACAGTTAGTTCACCAAATTTAGACCATAGTGTGCTTACCATGAGTTTACGTTAGGTGTGCTCACAAGCGACTGCGTAAAAAAATGACATTAAAATGTACGACAAATTGTACAGCGCCCCTAGCGGTTACTTTAAAGAACTAAAGTCTTTATAAATTTTTTGACGCACTCGCTTAGCGCACCTTAGGCTGACGTCATATGTCATAGGCTGACGCTCGTAACTCGACGTCATGTAACCGATGCACAGTGTATCTCCTATTCCGGAACACCGGGTAGAAGTGATCAGGCGCACGCGCGAGTAACGCACAACACAGCAACGCGGTTCACTAAGCACAGTCTAGCTAGCACAGGTAGCTGAGCACAGTCCAAGTACAGACCATACCCTACAGTCCAACTAAAGTCCGGTCGCCGAGCACATAGAATTTCGTCCAATGACCCCAAGCTCGCACACTCACTGCGAGCGCCCGTCGCACAGTCGCGACAGCAATATAATTACGCGCGAGCGATAAGGATGGGTAGCTTGGGGTCATTGGACGGAATTCTATCTGCTCGGTGACCGGACTTTAGCATAGATTCTAACTCACCTCAGGCTGACGTCATGCAGCCGATGCACAGTGTACCTCCTATTCCGGAACACCGGGTAGAAGTGATCAGGCGCGCGCGTGAGTAACGCACGGCACAGCGGCGGGACAGCGCGGGACGTTTGGGACACGCTGTCCCATATGTCTTCGAACGTGCAGTTTTTGCTGCGGGACAAATTTGAGGGTTGTAGGAACTCATTTATGATTGGTATAATGAAATAATATTGTAAGGCTGAGTTGCACATTGCACACTCGTTTTAACCGTGACTAAAGTCCGGTTGCCGAGCAGATAGAATTTCGTACAATGATCCCAAGCTACTCATCCTTATCGCTTGCGTGTAATTGAGAATGTTACTAGGTATGCAAAATCACTTGAAACCTATGTTACAGTTAAGCTTTTACATATACAAATACATTTGTTTTTATTTCATTCAAAAATACCAAGTAGTTATGATTTTATAGGCATTCAAAGTTCGCTTAAATATCGAGACCTGCCGACGGTCACGTGACCCCGCGTGACGTAAATTCACAGTGGCCGCTCACTAGAAAACGGATATAAACATACTTAAATACATTTCTTTTTGTAAATACATACTTATTATACATATTAACACCCAGACCCATCACAGAAATTAAAATTGAACCAAACCCAAACTTGATGCGATTTTGTCGTTTTATTGCGAATTACCTTCCAGCTCCATCATCAGACCCTGATTACTACATAGAATTAAAGTACTCATCAATACAAAACTAACGAGCCCAAACTATTGGATTTAAGTCGTTTTATTATAGAGTTCCTATGGCCACCTTCCAGCTCCATCATCAGATCAGCTCCACCGGCTCCACGTCATCATAATGTTGCATGGTCATCCAAATCGCATGTGTATGCGAAATTTCAGCTTAATCGGTTGCCCGGAAGTGGGTCTTAATTCAGCTTGCAAGATTCCACCCATACAAATATGAGCCAGTCACTGTAATATGACGTCACGCGCATTAAATGGCGGGCCGGCCGCCGCCCGCACTTTTAAAATTCAATATCTTGGAAACTAATTGACGTATCGAAATAATTCTTTCACGTGTATTTTTTATTTTTAACAGAGAATACAGAAAGCTAAAAAAACAAAATTAGTGAACATTCTTCATTATGTGACTGTACGACGGGCGGCCGCAGTGAGTGTGCGAGCGCGACAGCAACATAATTACGCGCGAGCGATATAGATGGGTATTGGACTATTGGGGTCATTGTACGAATTTCTATCTGCTCGGCGACCGGACTTTATAACCATAACCGGTGTTTTTTGTATGAAGTTTGACACTTTTGAGGTTTGTTTTTAAAGTAAGATAGTGCAACCCAGCTAAGAATTTCGTAGTTCGTGACATGCAATGTAGCCAATGAGTACGCAGCACGTCTTTGTTCAATCTAACTGACAATAGTGATTGACTTTCTTGCAATTATTTTCAGCATTGACCCACAGAATCAGTTAAAGGTTTTTAATGCTAAAAAGTTATCTTCGTACAATGCAAGAGTTTATTTAGAGCCAAATAACTGAAAACTAAACAATTTTTATGAATTTTTCAGTAAAAATATCAATCAATAATACTCGTCAATCCACCTAATGGGTGGACGTCACACACAGCGTTTTCCGGTACGTACGGTACGGACTTCAAAAAGGTAGCAGGAAGGCGCTGGATGCAGGCCGCTACCAACCGGTCATAATGGAAATCATTGGGGGAGGCCTATGTTCAGCAGTGGATGTCCTGTAGCTGAAATGATGATGAATAATACTCACTTGCTCTTCCCATAGCAATACTGCCACTCCACCACCAGATACGTGGTCTTCAGTTTAGTGAGCTCTTCATACAGTTCTTCAGCTGTGAACCTGCCGTACATTTTGTATACGGCGTATGTTCGCTGCCTGAAAATACAAGTAATACAATAGTGATTAGAATGCCATCATCATCATCATGGAGCCTAGACAAAGTCAACGTGACAGTTAAAATAAATAAATAAAACATTTTTCGTTTGCCTCCTGTCACATAAAAAAAACTTTTGTTTTATTTTGATGCAATGATAGCCCAACGGTGTCAGTGTCAGACAACAGTGTGCTTACCATGAGTTTACGTTATGAGTGCTCGCTAGCGAGTACGTCAAAACAATCTATGAAGATTTTATTTCTTGAAAGTAGCCACTAGGGGCGCTGCACAATATGTCATAATACATTTAAATGTCATTTTTTTACGCAGTCGCTAACGAGCACACCTAACGTAAACTCATGGTAAGCACACAGAATAATAATATGTACTACGTACAGAAAGTTTCATTCGCGAAGGTATTTAAAAAAAATGTCAACTCAATAACGTCAATAATATGATGTAATTTAGCTTGTCTCAGAGTCGAGCACCGTACAAAAATTTTGGACCATAGACTGACCACTCAGCAAATCATAATATGTCAAGGCATTAAAGTATAGACTAAAGACAGAACCGAACGTCTGCAGTGGAGACTAAATGACCTGACGATGAACTACTCGGTCGAGTTAACTACGCACTAGGGATGTAATGGATATGTAGTTTCGGTTATGGCTACGGTTACGGATATAGAAATAATATTATACGGTGACGGATATTTTTTTAATTCGGATATCCGAAAGTTTCGGTTACGGTTACGGATATCCATAACATCCCTGCTGCGCCCCTGGCAGCCGTGGCGTCACGTGAGTTCGAGGTAGAGTAGCATTCCAGCGAGGTCGCAGTTAGCTCGACCGGGTTGTACCTAGTATCAGCACGTTCCATCGAGTAATTAAACACTATAAATCGACTAACCATAGAGAAACAACATATAGTAATTAAACGCTATAAACTGACTAACCTAACAAACATGGAGTGCAGGTGCGGTTTTGTTCCCCAGTCGACGAAGCACATGATGTCGTGCCCTGAGTGCCCGAGCAACTGCACGCAGGATTAAATGAATGCTGCTGACATCGCCACTCTTGTAGCGGAGTTTTGGGCTGACACTGTGTAGGTTTGTTGTCGAAGAACCATAGAGTATAGACCAGTGGTTCTTAACCTTTAAGTCATGAGGGACCATTTTACCAAATTTCTGTCTTGTCAGAGACCACCTCATAATCGGTCAAAACCAGTTTGACTGCAAAAATCAGTTAAAAGTGGTTTTGACCAAGGTGTGCAAGTGCACATCGTGGACCACTTGGAATGCCTCCAGGGACCACCAGTGGTCCGCAGACCACCGGTTAAGAACCACTGATATAGACTGACCTGGCGTCATAGGTTCATAGTGCGGGTGCGTCACTTTGGGTCGCCGCGTGGACAGCACGACGGCCGCTATGAGAGGCATGCTGCCGGCGAACGCTGACGACGGTTCAGTGTGCTCGCTGACCCACTGGAGGAGGCTACTGGACGATATACTACTACACAAGGGGCGTTATGGCCCACAAAAGGGGCGTTATCACCCACAAAAGGGGCGTTATCACCTACAAGGGGGCGTTATCACCCACAAAAGGGGCGTTATCGCTCACAAGGGGGAGTTATCACCCACAAGGGGGCGTTATCACCCACAAAAGGGGCGTTATCACCCTCAAAAGAGGCGTTATCGCCCACAAAAGGGGCGTTATCACCCACAAAAGGGGCGTTATCACCCTCAAAAGAGGCTTTATCACCCACTAAAGGGGCGTTATCACCCACAAGGGGGCGTTATCACCCACAAAAGGGGTGTTATCGCTTACAAGGGGGCGTTATCACCCACAAAAGGAGGATTTTCGCCCACAAGGGAGCGTTATTCCCGACAAAAGGGGCGTTATCGCCTACAAAAGGGGGATTTTCGCCCACAAGGGGCGTTATCACCCACTTTGGGAAAGGCTCAAGTAGACATACCTGGCGTCATGGTGTTCATAGTGCGGGTGCGTCACTATGGGTCGCCGCGTGGACAGACGACGGCCGCCATGAGAGGCATGCTGCCGGCGAACGCTGACGACGGTTCAGTGTGCTTGCTGATCCACTGGAGGAGGCTACTGGACGATATACTACTGGATTGCACTACTAATAGACCACTAACTAAACGACAGACTGAAATATAGAGTACTAGCGGCCCCCGTTTTACCCCCTTAGGGGTGGAGTTCCGTAAAATCCTTGAACGGACCACATACTACTGGACTACTGGCTAAAAACAAGGTAGGGCCGAGAACGCTACCCTGTGGTACCCCATAATCTACGGTACATTCAGAGCTTAGCTCATTCCCCACCCCAACACGCGAAACACGGTCGCCAAGGTAGCTTTCAAGTGGTTTGAGCGGTGTTCCTCTAATGCCCATCATGTACTGAAGATTGCGCACCAGAATGGGTATAGAGACCGTATCGAAGGCTTTTTTCAAGTCGAGGAACACAGGACAGTACCTAGTATCAGCACGTTCTATTAATTAAACAATGTAAAAGTGCTTTTTTAAAGCCTATTTACAGAAATAAATGAGGTTTATGAGTTTTTTTTTACTATAAACTAATTAACCATAGAGTAGACTGACCTGGCGTCATGGTGTTCATAGTGCGGGTGCGTCACTATGGGTCGCCGCGTGGACAGCATGACGGCCGCCATGAGAGGCATGCTGCCAGCGAAAGCTGACGACGGTTCAGTGTGCTTGCTGATCCACTGGAGGAGGCTACTGGACGATATACTACTGAAGTGCACTACTAATAGACGACTAACTACTAACTAAACGACAGACTGAAATATACAGTACTAGCGGCCCCCGTTTTACGCTCTTAGGGGTGGAGTTCCGTAAAATCCGTTCTTGAACGAACCACATACTACTGGACTACTGGCTAAAAACAAGGTAGGGCCGAGTACGCTACCCTGTGGTACCCCATAATATACGGTACATTCAGAGCTTAGCTCATTCCCCACCCCAACACGCGAAACACGGTCGCCAAGGTAGCTTTCAAGTAGTCTGAGCGGTGTTCCTCTAATGCCCATGTACTGAAGATTGCGCACCAGAATGGGTATAGAGACCGTATCGAAGGCTTTTTTCAAGTCGAGGAACACAGGAGAGTACCTAGTATCAGCACGTTCCATAGAGTGATTAAACACTGTAAAAGTGCTTTTTTTTTAAAGCATATTTACAGAAATAAATGAGGTTTATGCGTTTTTTCCTATAAACTAATTAACTATAGAGTAGACTGACCTGGCGTCATGATGTTCATAGTGCGGGTGCGTCACTATGGGTCGCCGCGTTGACAGCATGACGGCGGCCATGAGAGGCATGCTGCCAGCGAACGCTGACGACGGTTCAGTGTGCTTGCTGACCCACTGGAGGAGGCTACTGGACGATATACTACTGGATTGCACTACTCATAGACGACTAACTACTAAATAAACGACAGACTGAAATTACCCTTACTAATAAAACTTACACGCTCGTTGAAAAGTATTTTAAAGTGACGTTTAGTATGGAAATGTCATTTTAAAACACTGCTCAATAAATCTGTAACATTTATTAGTAAGGGGGATAGAGTATAGACGACATACTAGAATGGATGGATCATAGACAAGGACCATAGACTTTTGAACGGACTACAGACTACTGGACTGCCCATAGATTATTGCACTACAGCCAAAAAATAGACAAACTGGAAAAACTAGTATTAAACCATAGACTAGTATCTAGAATCTATCTAGATCCTAGAGGACTTTCCATCGTCATTTGACCATAGATTACTAAACGATAGACTGACCATAGATTATTGCACAACTAGACAGCTACTAACTGGATTTAGATTATAGTCTGTTTAAAAATAGACTGTAGAATCTAAAAGCTGGACCATAGAGAATAGCAAACTGCACTAATTAAAATATTGGACCATAGACTACTGAAGACATTAAACCATAAACTAAAGACAGAAACGACCTCGACAGAGAGATGCGCATTTAGCTCGACCGGGTTGCACGTTCCATAGAGTAATTAAACGCTATAAACTGACTAACCATAGAGAAACTGACCTGGCGTCATGATGTTCATAGTGTGGGTGCGTCACTATGGGTCGCCGCGTGGACAGCATGACGGCCGCCATGAGAGGCATGCTGCCGGCAAACGCTGACGACGGTTCAGTGTGCTTGCTGATCCATTGGAGGAGTTCCTCTAGAGGTGGGTCGCTGAACTGGCCTGCGGAGTTGAAACTTCTTAAGCCTGGTCCGTGAGCACGTAGAATTTTGTCCAATGACCCCAAGCTACCCATCCTTATCGCTCGCGCGTAATTATGTTGCTGTCGCGACTGTGCGACGGTCGCCCGCAGTGAGTGCGAGCGCGATAGCAACATAATTACGCGCGAGCGATAAGGATGGGTAGCTTGGGGGCCATCCATAAAGTACGTCACACGAATTTCATGATTTTTTGACCCCCCCTCCGTCCTTGTCACAGGTGGTCACATTTCTGAGACCCCCCCCTCCCTAGTGTGACGTCACATGTTTTGCAATTTCACATCGAAAAATTATTAAATTAACAGCAGTTCCGAAATTAGTTTTATTTCCATTTAAATTAAGTACATTTTTTTATGAAATCAACATTATAGCCTGACCAGGAACATAAAAACCCTCGCCATGTTGCGGAAAACTAATGGTACTAATTTCTTTTAATGGCAACAGTAACTGAAAACTTCATTGACATGTCACCTTGCGTCACCTATTGCTGTCAAAGTGTAAACAAACTTTATTTTATATGTGCGCAATTGATTTTGTGAATAAAATTGCTAAAATCTTTTTATAGTCGTGAAAGAAAAGTGGTTCACAATATGTTAAAGTATTTGTCGAAGAGAAATATTAAGGGTTCGGACAATATTTTCATTGAATAATGTTTCCGACAAAGGTTGTCAAATTGACTGACATGTTTATCGTATAGTACAGTCCACTATGAAAATTAGCTGTGGTTTGTTTCAACTACCTATNCTTAAAGGGACAATAGATCTAGGTATTTGGTATAAATTTCAATTTGATACCTTTATTCGTTCGTGAGAAATAACGTAGTAAGTTTCATTTTATTAAAATATTTTTATTATACTATACAACTAAAAAAATGTAATTTTCGCAATTTTTCCTATATTTGCATTATATGACAATGCTTTATGCCAAATTTCAAGATTCTGAGTTTACGGGAAGTATCCTGTAGGTTTTGATTCCTTTGCGAGTGTCGAAAATTTGTTGAAAATATCGACATAATCGGCTGTATCTTTTGATTGGCTTAGCTTAGAAGTTTGATATTTTCACAGCTTAAAAGGACAATAGACCTGAGTATTTCATGTGAATTTCAGCTTGATACGTTCACGCGTTCTCGAGATAAAGGGTCTTGACAGACGGACGGACGGACAACAAAGTGATCCTATAAGGGTTCCGTTTTTTTCCTTTTGAGGTACGGAACCCTAAAAAACGCATCAAAATCAGTTGCGTAGTATTAAAGTTACATAGGGACAGACAGCGTAAACTTTGTTTTTTTTTTATAGTAGGTATGTTAGTAATGTAGTGATGAAAGAATATTTAATTTTACTTCTATTTAAATTAATTAAGTATGTTTCGCTCCCACCTGGAAATCGAACGAAACAATTCTCGCAACAGTTAACCAATAAAATAGTGACCTAAAATGGCTGCTTTCTTCCTCCGTCAATACGAGAAATCCATGGTATTAATTCGTTAGAAACAAGAAAGTCCACTTACAGATCCCGGTTGCTTTAGTTTCAGTTTGAACATTTTCTAGACACATTATTTATTATAAGATAGAATTTATTCCAAGGGGCCTCTATAAAAGATAGTTTTTAAATTATATTAGTTGAATAGGCAATCAATAGAAATTTTTATTCTATTGCCATACCAAATCTATGGGAGAATCGCGTTTTGACGTCTTTTGTGAATTGTCTCTAGTAGAGAGTAGGTATTTTTTTAGAAGAAAAACTTTTTTTTTGTCCAATTAACAGAAAGAGATAAGAAAATAAAAGTTATTCGTGTAATCACTCCCCAATCAAGTCTTCGTTAATTCTTACAGTCATATCGTATTTGTTAAATCTCGAGATACTAATTCGACTTCAAGAAAATTGCTCTGAGCATCTGATTCCCTTGACGAGCCCTAAGTTAATTAGATATACGCATCTATACTCTGCGCCAACAGAAACTGGCAATTTTGTAAATGAATTGTGACTCAAAGAGAGAAAATTGCTTCAAATTCTATCTAAGACTGGATTGCACCATCTTAATTTAACAGTAACTAACAATAACCGGTGTTTTTGTATGGAGTTTGACAGATTTTTGACGTTTGTTAAAGTCGAGTAAGATGGTGCAACTCAGCGTTACAATAATGTGATTGCACAAATTACTAATAGTCTCTTTATCCCTTGTAGTAAATTAAATATGCTTGTATTACGAGAGGGTTCACCACAAGTTGAGCAACAACGTGATAAGTTTTCGTAAATCACTATAGTCTTTTTCACCTAAGATGATCCGTATGACGTTTCGAGTTTGAAAGATTTAGAGATGTCACATAACTAAACCATAGCGATTTATCTATCGATTTTTTTCGAAGAGTTAGTAAAACCTACTTTTAGAGAAATATTTTTTAAAGGTGTTATTTAACAAAAAACATGTTTTTTACAATTACAAATATTATTGTAACAATTTTTTATTGATAATATTCAAATTTCATGGTTCATGTTCAAAAAAACGATTCCTAAAAAGTACTGGTTCTGTTTCTTTAAATTAAAAACCATTAATTTATTTTTAATGCGTTTATTAAAGTCAATAATCGAAAAATATAGTTGATTTTTGTGATGTTTTTAATAACTAAGTATTCACTGCAATCGATTAATGAACCGCGGAAATAATCGATTTTATCTATTGCTGTCAAAGTGTAAACAAACTTTATTTTATATGTGCGCAATTGATTTTGTGAATAAAATTGCTAAAATCTTTTTATAGTCGTGAAAGAAAAGTGGTTCACAATATGTTAAAGTATTTGTCGAAGAGAAATATTAAGGGTTCGGACAATATTTTCATTGAATAATGTTTCCGACAAAGGTTGTCAAATTGACTGACATGTTTATCGTATAGTACAGTCCACTATGAAAATTAGCTGTGGTTTGTTTCAACTACCTATTTTTAAAAAAGTTGTCACTTTCTAAGTGTTGAATTTTATGGAATTGGGAAAGAAGTACCGAGTTTGAAGCGTTCATGAGCAGACATTGCAGTTGAATATTCAAGTTCTGAATTTGATTATTGATGAATAATAAAATAAATCCTACTAGCTCGATTGATAATTTCATTTTATTTATTTAAACCAGGTTACCTATAATAATATTTTTTCGTTAATTTATAAAAATATCAAATTAGCCCGTAATCCTGAATCCTGATACATAAAGTTAGCTTATTAATTTAACACAGGTATGACTGTACTCAGTGTTGCAATATCAAATGCAATTGCCGCGCCTCTATGCCAGGGTTTTTATGTTCCTGGTCAGGCTATATATCAAATATTTAAAACAATTGAAATGTGATGTCACGAAACTTAGGACCCCTTGTCACACCATGTCACACTTTGTCAACCCCCTCCCCCCCTCTTTACGTGTGACGTACTTTATGGATGACCCCTTGGGGTCATTGGACAAAATTCTACGTGCTCACGGACCGGGCTTTATACAGGATGTCGCTTTAAGTATGGATAAAAAAAAGATTGATTCTACGGCTTTTATGCTTAATTTTCTGATTTGATTAATGTGGAAATCGCACGATGCTATAAAATTTCTTATTCTAGCAATACAATAATTTATATTATTTTATGATTTTGGTAAGAATACAATTGATCGTCATAATATTTATACTTTTTTGTAAGTATACAAGCAAGTTTGTGAGAATGGATTCACGTTTGCACTACCAGCAATTTTAGCATGGAGTAGTAACTCCATGCTAAAATTGCTGAACGAATTTTGATGAAATTTCACTTAAGTTATTTATCAGAATTGGAGATATACCACTTTTTTACCGTTTACGGAAAGGAAGTCGTGGTCAAGATGTAGTAAATCAGAAAATTAATAAACTTACCAACGTAAGACGTCTCTTTGTTCACATTTTCGAAGAGAGCGATGCAGACTGGCACCAGAAGGATTCCCCATAAAAATGGAATATACTTCTTGTTGGGTAGCCTGAAAAATAAGTTAGCGCAACATTATGTATATGTTTTGGTAAGTAAAAAAAATACTTAAGCAAGTTTATTAGTGTATTTACCCATAAGTTAGGGTTCAAGCTTTGCTTTTAATTTGGGACTAGGTATGACCGAGTGGGTTAAAATTTCCTAGGATCCATGGAAAACAATACTCAGAGATTATTATAAAAATAAATAAATAAATGTAGATCTATTTCTAAATACTATTGTTATCATCAACTATGTATGTAAAGGTGTACCAGCTTTGTCTGTTTAAAAAAATGTAGTATCCATAGACTAGGATAAACTTTTACGTATTTTATTATTGTTTTCTATTGCACAAAATGATTTTATTGTGCGGGGAGTCTATGGTATAAGATTTTAAACTTTCGCGTTCCATTTCTACTAAAATAGATGTCGCGTTAAGACCCGTGTCTTTTTATTTTAGTCTATGGTATACTTACCAGTCTTATCACCTCTAAATACAATTTGAACAAATAAATCTACTTTTTTGTAAGAAATACAAGGTATACTCACACAAATCTCCAATATTTAGTGTTCATCAGCAGACCAGAGACAATACACATTTGCGTCACAAAAAGCAGCTTCAACCGCATTATCAAAGCCGCCATGACACCATAGACAACCATCTGTGCTATCCCATAGAACACATGCGGTTCTATTTCCAAACTTTTCACAAACGCTATAAAATTGTCTTGATTTTCATCCTCTTTGGGCTTTCGCTTCTTCACTTTATTGTCTGTGGTCGAGTTCTCTATGCCACTGTCTTCATCATCTTGTCCATTCCCACTGTCTTGCTCTTTTTCTTTCTGCTCATTCTCTATTAGAGTATCACAAGCTCTTTGGCACCAGAAATTGACCACATACAGAATATTGTAAATAACGAAAGGAATCAAAAATGATTTTAGCAAACGAACTATAGTAGACCACGGTAGGAAGTCATACACGTCGCTACAAGTATACATTAATGTATGAAAACTTTTGTAGTTACTAAATTTCGAATACAACAGCTCCCATATATGCGTATCTTCTTGCACATCCAAGAACTCACTGATCAACTTTTTGAAGTAAATCGATGAGCATACTATAATGAAGATTCTTAACAAAACCAGCCATGCTTCCACGAAGAAGTCCAGTGTATTTTCGACCTTAATTCTTAAAGAACTGAAGAACAAACAGTATGCGGACACTGATATGAAAAAAGAAACGTATAAGGACGATTTTAGCATGTCGTTCCCTTGTAGTAGCAACACTGCTGTGTGTAAGCCACAGAAGTGAGAATGTAGGAAGATGCAAAATGCTTTCATGTTGATTATTCTAAGTTGTTCCATGATGAAAAATATGGCGATCTGTGTGAGGAACACGAATTGAGAGAATTGCCAGAATAACAGCGCTGTGCAGTTTAAGAAGAATATTGCTACCTGAAAAGAAGAATGGCAGGTTAGTAAAATATCTTAAGACAGCCTTACACTATACAGGGTGGAAACGATAAGTGATCTCACTCGATTATTTCTAAGCTATACAAGATATCGAAAAACTGGTTACTGATCCTGAAAGTGCTTTACGAGCGTTATCAAACGGTAACAACAAATGATTACAGATTTAAATGGATCTATCCGAAAATTAAATGTTTCCAACTTCCATACTAAATGTATGCCAACCACACAATATTGGGAGTGTAATTTTTAAAAATTAAATAATAAACTCAAAATAAACTCGTAATTTGCATTCTTACTTGTTATAATATTATCAAGACGTGAGTGCCATTACTGTGGCTGTACTAAATGTATGGATGCTGGAAACATTGAATTTTCGGATAGATCCAGTTTAAATTGTAACCTACTATAATTGGTACCGTTGGATAGAGCTCGTGAAGCACTTTTGGAATCAGTAACCAGTTTTTAAATCTTGTATAGTTTAGAAATAATCGGGTGAGATCACTTATCGTTTCCACCATGTATTTAGTACAGCCTCACAACACTAGGTTCTAGCGAGATGCGCAGTTAGCTTAATCGCGTTGTATGCATTTACTGACACTATATGTGGCACGAAGCCATAACGAAGGCAGAAACAGAAGAAGAAACTCACTTGCAGCTGAAAAGTGGTCTTCTTCCCGTGATCCCTGATCTGGAAGCTGACCAGCCAAGCCTGAACCAGCAGTAGAGGCCACGCGAAGTTCTCCCTCTCATTGGGGGCCCAGTGAACGCGGGTCAGCTCTGAGTGGTTGGCAAAGTATTGAGTGACAGCCAGGAAACCGCCTAGGATGCTCTCGCTGGAACAAAATAAAGTGGTTTAAAAGTCAGTCTGTCTCTTGTCTTTTTAAGTAGATGAAAAGGGACAGATATATGACTCAAAAATGTTTAACTAAAATGTGTTTTATGGATCTGTGAGGTTATCAGAGGTGAAGACCTGANTGAAAAGACACTCCTCACCTGCAGAACTGTCAATGTTCCAGGTCGTTAATTTGCAGTTTTCCAATGAAGTAGAAATCACCGTAAAATAGCTATAACTTCCTTTTTTTATGCATAATTAGGCAATATTTGACCGCAATCGCACCTGGTGTTAAATGAGAAGCAGTCTCTCATTAAACTGACTTCTGTACCTGATGAGTGTGGCGTGCAGGAACACAACGGCCACCACATCTTACCTTCTCAAGTAGATGGAAAGGGACAGATAAAACTAGGAGACCTGCCACATTTAGAACCTATTCAACTACTGTCTACCATAAGCCACTTGCGCTCAAGGCAGTCTGTCTCGTACCCTCTTAAGTATATGAAAAGAGACAGAACTAGGGGCTTCAAGCTGTGGGTCGAATTGAGTAACTAATCATCTGTCAATTTGGAGAACCGCGTAATTACTGAAAACCTGTCAATGTATTAGGTCAATCTACCCGTCTGTCCATCTGTAAGATTCTCTCTTGCTGCTCCTGAAAAATGACAGCTGTCAAAGTTGTCAAAATTACCTGATGAGAGTGGCGTGCAGGAACACAGCGGCCACAGTGACGCCGGCCAGCCACCATATCGCCTCCAAGTAGAACAGGACCGGCACCCCGAGCCCGGTGCACGAAGCCACTGGAGGCAGGCCTTCGCCCCGGGCCACTGTCAGGCACTCCACGTTGGAGGACGGGTTGAGGCGCGGCTCGTTACGTCTCTTACCCTCTTAAGTAGACGGAAAGGGATAGAACTAGGAGCTTGTATCTGTCTATCTAATGACGTCACTTTCAAGAACTGTTTAACTGCTTGAGAGCGCTCAAGAGGCAGGCTGGCTCTAACTTTCTTGAGTAGATGGAAAGGGACAAAACTAGGTGATTGTAGCTGTGTAACTAATGACGTCACTTTTAGGAAGTGTTCAACTGATGATATACTGGCAGTCAAGAGCGTTCGAGAGGCAGGCTGTCCCTTACCTTCTCAAGTAGATGAAAGGGGAAAGAACTAGGAGGTCTGGAAGCTGGCTGTCTCTTATCTTCTCAAGTAGATGAAAGGGGACAGAAGAACTTGGGATTGGTCATGAGGCAGTCCGTCTCTTACTTTCTCAAGTAGATGAAAGTAGTCAGAAGTAGGAGATGAAAAGGGATAGATTTAGCAGTCTAAATATACCAGTTGGGTGTTTTAGGGAACTGCCATAATATCAAGCTGTCAAACTGATTGCCTAGTTAATCTACATAGCTGAGCTGAGTTGTCAGTCTATCAGGTCAACGGTCGCAGGACTTTATGTAGTTCCATCTGATTAGAGTGGCTTTGAAAGGAGCTGTCAAAATTGACAGCTGTCAAAATTGACAGCTGTGAAATCTGTCAAAATTACCTGATTAATGTGGCGTGCAGGAACACAGCGGCCACAGTGACGCCGGCCAGCCACCATATCGCCTCCAAGTAGAACAGGACCGGCACCCCGAGCCCGGTGCACGAAGCCACTGGAGGCAGGCCTTCGCCCCGGGCCACTGTCAGGCACTCCACGTTGGAGGACGGGTTGAGGCGCGGCTCGTTACGTCTCTTACCCTCTTATGTAGACGGAAAGGGACAGAACTAGGAGCTTGTAACTGTCTATCTAATGACGTCACTTTCAAGAACTGTTCAACTGCTTGAGAGCGCTCGAGAGGCAGGCTGTCTCTTACCTTCTCAAGTAGATGGAAAGGGACAAAACTAGGTGATTGTAGCTGTGTAACTAATGACGTCACTTTGAGGAAGTGTTCAACTGATGATATAGAGATACTGGCAGTCAAGAGCGTTCGAGAGGCAGGCTGTCCCTTACCTTCTCAAGTAGATGAAAGGGGAAAGAACTAGGAGGTCTGGAAGCTGGCTGTCTCTTATCTTCTCAAGTAGATGAAAGGGGACAGAAGAACTTGGGATTGGTCATGAGGCAGTCCGTCTCTTACTTTCTCAAGTAGATGAAAGGAGGCAGAAGTAGGAGATTAAAATGGATAGATCCAGCTGTCTAAATATACCAGTTGGGTGTTTTAGGGTACTGCCATAATATCAAGCTGTCAAACTGATTGCCTAGTTAATCTACATAGCTGAGCTGAGTTGTCAGTCTATCAGGTCGACGGTCGCAGGACTTTATGTAGTTCCATCTGATTAATCTACAATAAGCCACTTACTCTCAAAGAAGGCTGTCTCTTACCTTCTCGAGTAGATGAAAAGAGACGGAACTAGCAGCTTGTAGCTTTCTAACTAATGACCAGTCACGTTCTTAGACATGAAACTGTTCTGGAGTATTGGAGAGATGTCAAGATATAAGACTGTCAACACGAAGAGCTGTCAAACTGGTTGTCTTGTCTATCTAAGTATCTACAGAACAGAACTGTCAATCTACTATCAAGTAGAACCTATCTGTGTAGCACCTGGAATAAAGTGGCGTTGCAGACGAAGCTGTCAACATTGACAGCTGTCAAATTACCTGATGAGAGTGGCGTGCAGGAACACAGCGGCCACAGTGACGCCGGCCAGCCACCATATCGCCTCCAAGTAGAACAGGACCGGCACCCCGAGCCCGGTGCACGAAGCCACTGGGGGCAGGCCTTCGCCCCGGTCCACTGTCAGACACTCCACGTTGGAGGACGGGTTGAGACGCGGCTCGTTACGTCTCTTACCCTCTTAAGTAGATGGAAAGGGACAGAAGAACTTGGCATTGGAAGTCAGTTATTTGCACTCACGAGGCAGGCTGTCTCTTACATTCTAAAGTAGATAAAAAGGGCAGTACTAGGGGTTTAAGAGCCAGTCTATCATTTACCTTCAAGTAGAAGAAAAGAGACAGAAGAAAGATTCGCCCTTAAGATTCAGTCTGTCTCTTACCTTCTCAAGTAGATGAAAGGGGAGAGAACTAGTTTGAAGTCAGCAGAGCTATCAATCTGTTGGATCCTCTACTATCAAACGCAGGACTTTCTGTGCAGTTCCACCTGATTAGTGGCGTTGAGAGGAGCTGTCATAATTGACAGCTGTCAAATCTGTCAAAATTACCTGATGAGAGTGGCGTGCAGGAACACAGCGGCCACAGTGACGCCGGCCAGCCACCATATCGCCTCCAAGTAGAACAGGACCGGCACCCCGAGCCCGGTGCACGAAGCCACTGGAGGCAGGCCTTCGCCCCGGGCCACTGTCAGACACTCCACGTTGGAGGACGTGTTGAGACGCGGCTCGTTACGTCTCTTACCCTCTTATGTAGACGGAAAGGGACAGAACTAGGAGCTTGTAACTGTCTATCTAATGACGTCACTTTCAAGAACTGTTCAACTGCTTGAGAGCGCTCGAGAGGCAGGCTGGCTCTTACCTTCTTGAGTAGATGAAAAGGGACAGAACTAGGTGATTGCAGCTGTGTATCTAATGACGTCACTTTTAGGAATTGCTCAGCTGATAGCGCCAAGTGCGTTCGAGAGGCAAGCTGTCTCTTATCTTCTCAAGTATATGGAAAGGGACAGATAAAACAAGGAGACCTGCCACATTTAGAACCTGTTCAACTACCGTCTACAATAAGCCACTTACTCTCGAGGCAGGCTGTCTCTTACCCTCTTAAGTATATGAAAAGGGACAGAACTAGGGGCTTCAAGTTGTAGGTGGAATTGAGTAACTAATCATCTGTCAATTTGGAGAACCGCGTAATTACTGAAAACCTGTCAATGTATTAGGTCAATCTACCCGTCTGTCCATCTCTCTTGCTGCTCCTGAAAAATGACAGCTGTCAAAGTTGTCAAAATTACCTGATGAGAGTGGCGTGCAGGAACACAGCGGCCACAGTGACGCCGGCCAGCCACCATATCGCCTCCAAGTAGAACAGGACCGGCACCCCGAGCCCGGTGCACGAAGCCACTGGAGGCAGGCCTTCGCCCCGGGCCACTGTCAGGCACTCCACGTTGGAGGACGGGTTGAGGCGCGGCTCGTTACGTCTCTTACCCTCTTAAGTAGACGGAAAGGGACAGAACTAGGAGCTTGTAACTGTCTATCTAATGACGTCATTTTTGAGAACTGTTCAACTGCTTGAGAGCGCTCGAGAGGCAGGCTGGCTCTTACCTTCTTGAGTAGATGAAAAGGGACAGAACTAGGTGATTGCAGCTGTGTATCTAATGACGTCACTTTTAGGAATTGCTCAGCTGATAGCGCCAAGTGCGTTCGAGAGGCAAGCTGTCTCTTATCTTCTCAAGTATATGGAAAGGGACAGATAAAACAAGGAGACCTGCCACATTTAGAACCTGTTCAACTACCGTCTACAATAAGCCACTTACTCTCGAGGCAGGCTGTCTCTTACCCTCTTAAGTATATGAAAAGGGACAGAACTAGGGGCTTCAAGCTGTGGTGGAATTGAGTAACTAATCATCTGTCAATTTGGAGAACCGCGTAATTACTGAAAACCTGTCAATATATTAGGTCAATCTACCCGTCTGTCCATCTGTAAGATTCTCTCTAGATGCTCCTGAAAAATGACAGCTGTCAAATCTGTCAAAATTACCTGATCAGTGTGGCGTGCAGGAACACAGCGGCCACAGTGACGCCGGCCAGCCACCATATCACCTCCAAGTAGAACAGGACCGGCACCCCGAGCCCGGTGCACGAAGCCACTGGAGGCAGGCCTTCGCCCCGGTCCACTGTCAGACACTCCACGTTGGAGGACGTGTTGAGGCGCGGCTCGTTACGTCTCTTACCCTCTTAAGTAGACGGAAAGGGACAGAACTAGGAGCTTGTAACTGTCTATCTAATGACGTCACTTTCAGGAACTGTTCAACTGCTTGAGAGCGCTCGAGAGGCAGGCTGTCTCTTACCTTCTCAAGTAGGTGAAAAGGGACAGAACTAGGGGTTCTAGAGGAATTATGTCTCTTACCCTTCTTGAGTAGATGAAAAGGGACAGAACTAGGAGCTTGTAGTTTCTAACTAATGACCGTCACAGGGACAGAACTTAGGGTTCTAGAGGCAGTGTGTTTCTTGCTACCGGCAGCCATGAGCATTCGAGAGGCTGGCCGTCTCTTACTTTCTCAAGTAGATGGAAAGGGACAGATATAACTAGGAGACCTGCCACATTTAGAACCTGTTTAGCTACTGTCTATAAGTAGATGAAAAAGGACAGAACTAGGAGCTGGTAGCTTTCTAAGCTAACGTTCTTAGGCCTGAGTCTCTTCTAACCCAAGTAGGTATTGGAGAGGTGTGAAGATATAAGGTTGTCAACGTGAAGAGCTATCTTGTCTATCTACAGAGCAGAACTGTCAATCTACCATTTTAAGAACTGTCAATCTACTAGCTACCTGTCAGATTGACAACTTTCAAACAACGCAGGATCTGTCTGTGTTGCTATTCCTGATTAATGGCGTTGAAGGAGCTGTAAAAAATGACAGCTGTCAACATTGACAGTTATTAAATTACCTGATGAGTGTGGCGTGCAGGAACACAGCGGCCACAGTGACGCCGGCCAGCCACCATATCGCCTCCAAGTAGAACAGGACCGGCACCCCGAGCCCGGTGCACGAAGCCACTGGAGGCAGGCCTTCGCCCCGGGCCACTGTCAGACACTCCACGTTGGAGGACGTGTTGAGGCGTGGCTCGAAGTAGCGGTATATCCCTCCGAGGAGGACGTCTCTTACCCTCTTGAGTAGATAGAAAGGGACAGAACTAGGGGTTCTAGAGGCAGTGTGTCTCTTAACCTTCTTGAGTAGATGAAAAGGGTCAGAACTAGGAGCTTGTAACTGTCTATCTAATGACGTCACTTTTGAGAACTGTTCAACTGCTTGAGAGCGCTTAAGAGGCAGGCTGGCTCTTACCTTCTCAAGTAGATGAAAGGGGACAGAACTAGGGGTACTAGAATTTAGAGGCAGGCTGTCTCTTACCTTCTCAAGTAGATGAAAAGGGACAGAACTAGCAGCTTGTAGCTTTCTAACTAATGACCAGTCACGTTCTTAAACGTGAGTCTCATCTATCCCAAATATTGGAGGTGTCAAGATATAAGGTTGTCAACGTGAAGAGCTGTCTTGTCTATCTTCAGAACAGAACTGCCAATCTACCATTTTCAGAGCTGTCTACCTGTCAGGTTTTCAACTGTCAAACGCAGGATCTGTCTGTGTTGCTGTTCCTGATTAGTGGCGTTGAAGCTGTCAAAAATGACAGCTGTCAAAATTGACAGTTGTTTAAATTACCTGATTAATGTGGCGTGCAGGAACACAGCGGCCACAGTGACGCCGGCCAGCCACCATATCGCCTCCAAGTAGAACAGGACCGGCACCCCGAGCCCGGTGCACGAAGCCACTGGAGGCAGGCCTTCGCCCCGGGCCACTGTCAGGCACTCCACGTTGGAGGACGGGTTGAGGCGCGGCTAGTTACGTCTCTTACCCTCTTGAGTAGACGGAAAGGGACAGAAGAACTTGAGATTGGAAGTTAAGCATTCCTAGATTAAGAATCAGTCTGACACTTGCCTTCTCGAGTAGTTGAAAGGGGACAGAACTAGGGGTTCTAGAGGCAGTGTGTTTCTTGCTACCAGCAGCCATGAACGCTCTAGAGGCAGGCTGTCTCTTACTTTCTTAAGTAGACGGAAAGGGACAGAACTAGGAGCTTGTAACTGTCTATCTAATGACGTCACTTTCAAGAACTGTTCAACTGCTTGAGAGCGCTCAAGAGGCAGGCTGGCTCATACCTTCTCTAGTAGGTGAAAAGGGACAGAACTAGGGGTTCTAGAGGAAATATGTCTCTTACCCTTCTTGAGTAGATGAAAAGGGACAGAACTAGGTGATTGCAGCTGTGTAACTAATGACGTCACTTTTAGGAACTGCTCAACTGATAGCAGACCTTTCCCCGCTGCCAGCCACGAGCACTCGAGAGGCTGGCTGTCTCTTAGGTTCTCAAGTAGATGAAAGGGGACAGAAATAGTAGCTCAAGACGCAGTCAGAAGCGCTCGAGAGGCAGGGCTGTCTCTTATCTTCTCAAGTAGATGGAGAGGGACAGGAAAACTTGAGATTGGGCATGAGGCAGTCTGTCTCTTTCTTTCTCAAGTAGATGAAAGTAGTCAGAAGTAGGAGATGAAAAGGGATAGATTTAGCTGTCTAAATGTAACAGCTAGTGTGTTTTGGGGGAATTGTCAATCACATAGCTGAGCTAAGCTGTCAGTCATCAGGTCGTCAATTTGCAGAGCTGTCAACATTGACAGTTATTAAATTACCTGATGAGAGTGGCGTGCAGGAACACAGCGGCCACAGTGACGCCGGCCAGCCACCATATCGCCTCCAAGTAGAACAGGACCGGCACCCCGAGCCCGGTGCACGAAGCCACTGGAGGCAGGCCTTCGCCCCGGGCCACTGTCAGACACTCCACGTTGGAGGACGTGTTGAGACGTGGTTCGAAGTAGCGGTATATGGCTCCTAGGAGTACCTGGACGGTTTATGTTTCTAGTTTAGTTGCTGAGTCAATTGAGATAAAATCACCACATAATTTAAGGTTGTGTTTGGTGTGTGTGTATGTGTGTGCGTGTGTCTGTGTGTGTGTGTATGTGTGTGTGTGTATGTGTGTGCGTGTGTGTGTGTGTGTGCGTGTATTGTATCAAGTAGAGTATTTCAGCAATTTTTCAGTTTCATCAACAGTGTGTCCGTTTACAAGGCTAGAATGGAGTGATTTAGAAAATTTAAGTCTCAAACTCATTGGTTAATGTTGTCAAGGTTCTGAATGTTGTACTTGTATGTGGTACAAACCTCAGGGTGTATATTAAACCGATTCAACGCATTCACATCCTTCGGGAACTCCACAAGCTTATCGTACATCAGCTTAGTGATCCCAGCTACGAACGGTTTCTCCTCCACCACGGTTTTGTAGTACGAGTAGTAGAACCCCATCTCGGTTCGGAAAGACATCTCCCGTTCGAGATCTGAGAGGTACGCAAAGTTGCGATCGTTGTCGAAGAGGGTTGATGCATATTTGTAGTGGATGTAGCCTAGGATTAGTGCTGAAAAGAATAGAAATAATAATTATAATAATAAATCTTTGGACAGTTTCGCACAGCGCCATCTAGTCCCAAAGTTATATGAAGTAAAGGAATATGAGCTTTAAATGCATTATAAATAAGTATTTGTGTAGTCAGTAGTGTAATTTTGTAAAACTTTTTTTATTTAATTAAATAATTGAAGCAAAGAGAAATAAAGCTTTCTGAGTGTCTTCAACATTATGTCCCTAAGATAAGACAATCAAAAATATTACAGTAACAATCAAATTCCCTGTTTTTTATTTATTAAATTTATTTACACTTTTGCACATATAACTGTACAGTGGCAGTTTTTATAACTGCCAACTACTATGGCACAATATGTAGAACTTCTTCATTACAAGGACTATTGCAACCATATTCTATGAAATAAATATTCTTCTACTTATTGAAATTAGCATAGAAAACACAGATCTTAGAGATTTGTCACATGACATTGTTTATCTGTGTAAAGATAAGAAAGTACTAAATTTTTTTTATTCTGAAAAGCATCATTCAGAGTAAAGATGACTTTTACAAGTGGTTACAAATTAAGGATGGATTTTACATAGCTTATGAGTGTGTAGATGAGCTTTAATCTAAATTAAGAACACAAATAATATGCTATTTGGACCTAATATAGCTTATTACAGAGAATTAGCACGCAAAAAATTATACTGTCCAAGTTAGGCAGAGAAAAATGCACACAAAACTTAACAAAATATCTATGTTTACCATTTATGTTATATATTTAAATGAGCTTTGTGCTACGTATAACATATTTTATGCAGTCAGGTTGATTGTAGGCCATATTCAGCATCTTACTATGAAGGTAAAGAGCAAACTTGTTGAGCGATAAGTGTTTCAGTAACATACCAACTTATGTACACGCTACAGGTTTTTTTCAGTTGTTTTTTAGAGCAAATACAGTGTTGTTTTCAATGTTTCGAAGGCAATAAAGCTGAATAGATTTAGAAGCAATAAACAACTCACCGATAGTGAAAAGCAGAGCATTTCTTGGCCAACTTTTCTTCGGCTTCTCAACAACTTTTATTTCGGTATTTTCAGCGTCCACTTTCACTTCAGCGACGGGGTTTTCCATCTCGCCGGATTTAGGAGTTAAATTAAACTAATAAACACACTTGAATTCATTTTAAACAGTGAAATTTTCCGTAAAATTTTCCTAAAATTCGGAAAAACACGGTTTCGCAACGAACGAAATCAAGATTTTTGACGTTTGTTGACAAACTGTCAAGTTAAGTTGTCATGAGGTGTGTTGTGTGTTCCACTATTTGCCATTTTGCTATTTTACAATATTATAAGAAATCTTCGAGCAGAATGGAGCCGACCTTTTGATTGGTATAGAGAGCATGTGGCCATAAATGAGAGGTGATTCCAAATCTAGAATGTTTTTCCCTGTGGTTCCTACCAATTGTGCTCCCAACCAATAAAGACTTAAATAAAAACGAAAACTACATTATGTAATTAAGTTTATAGGTATTCATTCAGTTATTCAGGCAGGCCTCTCTCTCAGCACCAGCACTCTATGCACGTGCCCAAAAGCCTACAAGGCCCTACGATCGAAAAAGGAGCCCCGTGTCTCACCTGCCTTTTAATGTTATTATTTCCTCCTCTTCTAATTAGTTTTTTTTCTTTCTTACTCCCCCTTGATCTGGGGGCACGGCAGTGCCCCCGCCAAGTCGAGCGCGAAGCATCAATATTTACAACGCTGACTATTGTGCTTTGAAAAGGATAAAAGAAATTACAGGATAGAACTCGATTGGTTATTGTTTAATGAAAAATCAGTCTCTCGGTATCATTTTTATTAACATTACGTATTTTAAATTCATTGATTCACAACCTGAGATTATAAAATAATAGGATAAAAGTTTGTCTTAAAATAATAAATGTCAAAGGCGAGGAATTACAATTTACTCATAAATGCTTTATTTAGGTACTAAGCAAGTCTTAAAAAATAAATTAGTACGACCCAGTCAAGTTAATTGCGCACCTGGCGGCCGTGACGTCACATCGACGCTCTGTACCTCTAGTAGGAAAAACTTTCGAGTTCGTTTCGTTGCGTATTCAAAGTGTAATCGAAAAATTTTGTATGAAAAATTAAACAGCGCCCCGGCTATAATATAGGGGGCACGGCGGCTATAATATAGGGGGCGCTGTTTAATTTTTCATACAAAATTTTTCGATGACACTTTGAATACGCAACGAAACGAACTCGAAAGTTTTTCCTACTAGAGGTACTGGTATGAACGGGGCGAACGCGGGGAGATAAAAGGGTGAGTGCGAGGAAGTCGCATTCCAGCGAGGTACGCAGTTAACTCGACGGGATTTTAGTACTAATTTTCTTGATAATTTGCTAAGTTTATTAGCTGCTTCTAAAAATTCAGCAAGTTACGTATTAATAAGACGAGGATTTAGGTACTTATAATGGCACATGATAGGTTTTTGTTCCTGTCTGTCGCTAGAAGTCAAGCCTAGGCGCAGACCGCCGACTGTTAGTTTCCCGATAGTTGGGTCGGGCTGTTGACCAGTATGGAGATGTATGAAAGTGCGCACATTACACCGATTTAGTAGGTATCGGCGATTGTAATCGGCCAGTGTGCGCGCGCAGAGGACCGCCGTACTGATCAAGCTATCGACCGATAGTTGGACGATACTTTAGTTGGAAGCCAGTTGGGAATCGCATTCAACTATTTAGTCGGCCAAATCGAATCGGCGTAGTGTGCACACTCCCATATTACATGCCCATACTGATCAACTGCCCGACGAAAAATCAACGGTGTGCGCCTACTCTAAATGGTGAGCGCAAATGTGGTAAGAGGACTGTCACATTTGCACTCACAGGACGTAGATGGCGCGACTGTAGAGTAAAGTCACGTATAGTTCCAAAGTACTGAACTGTCCTATGCATGACATTGACAGTGGGGCGCCACCGTCAATACCTGATCGCTGGTTCCGATTTTTGCCATATTGGAAACCATATAGTTGAACGTAGGTAGCGCCCCCCTGTCATTGAGTTTGGTGGGACAGTTCAGCGTGGGTCATCTATAAAGTCTTGTCACTCGCCAGTGGTGCCAACTGAGGAACGTCTGTTCAAAAGGGATTTCAGTTTTTTTCGAATCTGTTTATGAATCTCAGATCCCATTGGATGGAAATTCTTAAACCTGCCAGTGCACATTATGCCCTGTGCTCAAGTTTAATAAAAAATTCATCTTTTAAATGTAAAGTATTAGGTAGTTTTAAAATTCTGCTGTAAACTATAGATTCGGTCACCCGCAGTCCCAGTAGCGTTACAGGTGCGTTGCTGGGGTGGATACTACATAAACAATTTTTTTATCTAATTCTTTGTTTTTGAACAGACCCTCCCCAACTGTTAAACTACAACTATTAGCCAAAAATACGTCGAGCGTTAAAGGTATTCCTTTATAAACCGCTCGTGCCGCGAGATCTGAGTGAAGGTAGTCAGCCAGTACGCGTTGCAAAGGTTGTCGTTGTTAGGGGCGGTGGAGACGATCCCCCGGAGGTAGTACCGGATGGTCCCCTTGTCAGGTTCCGGGAAGGCTAATCCACCGCCGCTGTCGCCTTTGCATAGCGCCGTTCCTGAAAAACAAATTTAGGATATTTTGATCAAATCGTCCATTCATTCGTTTCAGCCAAATGACGTCCACTGCTGGACAAAAGGATTTTTACAATGACTGGTTCTGCGCTGTCCGCATCTAAGTGCTATCTGCGATCATCGGTCAACATAGAGTAAGGCGCCCACACTAGATCTCCCGGTCCGTGGTCACTAAGTACTCATAACTTTTGTGCCTTGGGCTAATTTAGTTCGACGAGCTATGTGTCCTTTCCACTATCAGTTTACCAACAGCAGGCTATGTCAATCAATCAAAATACCCGCGGACAGTCAAGTGGCTAGGCACTCTGGGCACGTACCGGGCCCCACGATCGAGGCGCCCCCCCGTCTGTTCTCATAAAATATCTTTTCCCAGATGAGAAGGGCCTCCCTTGATCCTTAATGTGCTCAGGGCCCCTAGTAGGTTATAGACGGCTCTGGTGAATGCTGAGCCTTTGCATAGCGTTCTATGTGAAAGATTGTTGCTGGAGTACATCATAGCGTTCTTCTGAAGGAACACAAGAAAACAGGGTAAATAAAAACTGCTGAATAACTTACCGTTTCTATAACCAGCACAGATCTTATCCCCCGTGATGTACTCCCTGAAGTCCAAAGGGGAGTCCGACTGGCACTCCTGGATGGAGATGTATGGTAGCTCCACCACCTTCAGCACTTGGGAGGCTTCGCCGTTCTCTCCGGTGAGGCCCCACCCGGCTACCTGTAAACAGAACCAGGTACAGAGACTTAGTGAACTGATGATGATGTAAGTAATGAAGAAGCAAATAACTAAGTAAGGGATGAACAAGGGAAGGGACAAAGTTGACCTTCACTGGTTAGTTTTTTATCGGCGGTTAAGCTGTAGATCCTGGCTAAAGCCCGGTCTGTGAGCACGTAGAATTTTGTCCAATGACCCCAAGCTACCCATCCTTATCGCTCGCACGTAACTATATTGCTGTCGCGACAGTGCGACGGGCGCCCGCAGTGAGTGTGCGAGCGCGACAGCAACATAATTACGCGCGAGCTTGGGGTCATTGGACAAAATTCTACGTGCTCACAGACCAGACTATACACAGGAGTTGCAGCGGTGGGAACGAGAGGTGGGAAGGGAATAGTCCAGTAAGCAAGGTAGTAAATGCTGTAAGAATAATGTAAGGAGTTTGTCATACCTTTCCCAAACTGCCCTCATGTAGCTGCCGATTCTCGAACACCACGTTGAAATCCACGCACACCGGCCTGATATGAGGCATGTAGACTATGGTGGTGACCAGCTGGAGGATGGCTATATCGTCCTGGAAGTTGGTGGTGCCTCCCAGGAACCGCTCTGGCATTTTCAGGGTCGCTACCTGTGGGTGATGAAATTATTAATGACCTGGCCCTCTGGATAAAGAACCTAAACCTCTAACCATCATTATTTTTAGCTTTTTTCCGCGATTTCAGCCCGCGTGTTTTCCCATTTTAATTTTGCTCTATCAAAGAACCTCAGGATTTTTCTCAGGATCTCAAACTAAGTAACTATCTTTTTATTAAATTCCATCTAAATCGCTTCAGTGGTAGGTGAAAAGCGTAAAGCGTGAAAAGGGACAGAGTTACTTTTAATTTAATAACTTAACCTATTTGCTTGGATTGTAAGGCCCAGTTGGGGAAAAGTTGTGGAAATAACGAAATCTGATTGGTTCATCCAGACATAATTATCTTCTATCGCATCCTCTCTGCTTTGGTGGAAACTGGAATGTGACTGTCGGAAAATTTTTTTAGTGTGTCGTTCGTTCGTCAAATGACGTCCACAGCTGGACAAAGGCATCCCCCAAGGATTTGCAAAGGATGCGACCGAACCTGCGCTGCCTACATCGAAGTACTTCCCGCGACCTTCACCAGATCGTCATTCCACCTAGTCGGAGGTCTGCCTAGAGTTAATGTTTAATGTTCTTACGTCAGATTTCTGCACTTCCAAATCCCCCGGACTATTCCAGGGTCTGTACAGCTTCCCCATGGCCACAGCGTAGTTGGACGCCGGCTGCGCCTTCGAGGTGTCGTTCCAGAAACAATGGGCGGCTGAAAATTAACAAACATCATTGGCGTATCTAGAATCGTTTTTCAGGGCGGCCCGCCCCCTGGCATGGTGTCATAGCTTATGAGTGAGTACTACCAGAGTAAATACAAATGAGTAGGTCATCTTCATAGAAACGCACGGGCGTGTGTGTGCGTGCGCGCCGCATACGTACGTATATTGGCGCGCTCACATACGTATTTTGGCGCGCTCACATACAAACCGCGCTCGGTGCGTTTCTATGAAGATGACCTACTCATTTGTATTTACTCTGGTACTACTTTCTAACTGAACTGAGTCTGCTGCCCCCAGTATTTGGGCTTCGAATCGGCAGCCAAAATACTGGGGGCACCAGACCATTGGGATGGTATTTCCCGAGACGTATTTTTTGCTCTGACCCGATATCTAGTTGGTATTGTTGACCGAAGATTAGACCAGTAGCATGTACCAGTCATACTAAAGCCCGGTCTGCGAGCACGTAGAATTTTGTCCCATGACCAAAAGCTACCTATCCTTATCGCTCGCGCGTAATTAAGGTAAACGGCTACTAGTTCGTGATAGTACGTAAGTTCGTAAGTTTTTTTTCTAGCTCAAATAATAAGCAAATGGAATATTATTTATAAAAATTCTTCATTACTGCAAAAACTCTATTATTTAAGCTATCTAACAAACCAAGTACCAGCATTGTGGCGCCAAAAATGAGAGTAATACGAAGCTTCAAACTCTCAGAGAGCCATAAACAGCCGTGCGGCTTGCAAAGGTTGCTCTCACCGTAAGGTTAGCGTTCCAACTTCTTAAGCTTATAAAAAGGCGAAGGAACGTCCATTTAAATAAAACTTGTAATAGTGGTTTCATGTGTTCCTTGACAATTGATTTGGCTTAGAAAAAAGTTATATGAAAACGTAGAATTCCTTTAAAATTGCGATTAATTGACTCACGAAATAGCGTACATATTATTTTTCGTGTGTCCCCTATTTCGTGACACTACCGATTCAAGGATATTATGGATAACATTTTGATGCTTGGTTTTTAAATAATTATTTATGATAATTTAAATGTAAGTTATGAAACAAATAATGCATTTATTTAAGTTTCTCGTGACCTTTTTCTCGAAATTGCGGCCGAGTTAGAATATAGAAAAATTTTAGGTGATAGAGCTTATTTTAAGAAATTTATCTGACCTAAGCAGAGATTCTACTTCGGCGTAGAAAAAGAGAAAAATAATAATTTCTTAAATTTAAAAAATAATCATACTATCGTTCCTAACTACTTTTAAATAATTAAAGATGCAATAATATTCGCCATACACCAACCTACCTACCTGCAATGCAAAGAGAAGCTTAGTGTGTACGTTTCTTTAAATAATAATAAAATTGTAGTTTGACCCAGTACAAAATAAATTTTCTAAAATATTTTTTTTTGAATAATCTATAGCTATTTGTCACCTGGGTGTTTTAGTCTAACATTAATAATAAGTTAAACTTTGGATATTAGTGATAAAAACAGAATGTCACTTTTTCGGGTCAAAAAAAACACTGTGCAGTAGACTATACTTATGTAATTTTAAATTTCTTTGAGCAAAAGTGACAATAGCCCAGCGTTGCTGTTCGGAAGGGCTGACTTGAGATCCGAGGAACGCTGGTTCGAATCTCGTTGCTGCTGGACATGCCCTTATAAGAGGTCACCTGTCTTTGTGGATTAATTATCTTAACCTGATATAACGACCTTGGCGCTGACTAGAGATCCCCCACAGATCTGCATTTAAGGGGTTGAAGTCTTCCTGTAGAAGTGTAGATCATACCGGGATAGGATACGCGCCAGGATATTCCATATCGTTATATTTTATCGACTTTATAAATCAAAGTTTAAGCCGAAATGAACCAAATGCCTCGCAACATTGTGTCACATCGCGCGCATCCTAGGCCCAATGGTTTTCATTTTGAGAACCTGTCATTTTTTGGAATGACATAATGTCATTGCTTCGGTCTTTGCCTTCTTGTCTTACCTGATATAACGACCTTCGCGCTGACTAGAGATCCCCCACAGATCTGCATGTACGGGGTCGAAGTCTTTCTGTAGATGCCGGCGTGCCACGGCAACTCCCCTCGCTCGGCTGGCCTGCCTCCGATCACCAGCTCCACACCCTTAGGAGTTACCAGTCCACACTCTGAAAGAGAATGGATGGATGGACTTGAGGATAAATTAATAAGGGTTCTATTGTAGGTTTTTTTTACTTTCCCGTTGTACCTATCTTACTTTATTGTCCACAACTCCAAGAGTAAAAGGCAATCTTAGGAATAAGTATGGCATTTTTCATTCCTGACAACATTGGGGTAAAGCAGAAAATTGATTAAAATGTACATTATTGTGGTGTATTTAGCTTTTGCCCGCGATTTCACCGCGTGAAATTCAGTTAGTCACAGAAAGATCGACTATTATCGTTACTCGACACCGTTTATTTTGCCAATAAAATTGATTAAAATAGAGCATGTTGTTTTGATGTATGAATAATTACTGTACTAGGTTAGTATTCTGTCTTGTAGGTTTCATAAATTTTATGAAAATCCGTTCAGCAGAGTTTGCGTGAAAGTGTAAAATATCTGCAGATGAATATTCTCACTGTCGATCAGATTAGTAACCTAATATCGCATAGCCAATCCAACACGATGAATTTCTTTGATGGATTGTAATTTTTGGATTGGCAAATTTTGATTGGCTTACAAGATTGAGCGTTTAGTTAATTGGTTTAATAGATACTCCTGTCCTAGAAGAAACTTTGAGCTCAAGCTTTCACTATGAAGCATGTTGGCTTTCAGTGTTTTTTTTCTATTATTTAATAAATAGGTATTACCCCCGTATTCACAACGATACTTGCTTAAGTGAAGCCGCAAATCAAACGCACAGCGTTGAATACAGCTCTGGGATTGGTTCGTGTGTCACCCTGTGCGTCCACGCGCACTGTGAGATCTCATAGTAATGTTTGTGAATACGGGCGTTAGTCTGGTCGCCGAGCACGTAGAATTTCGTCCAATAACCCCAAGCTACCCATCCTTATCGCTCACGCGTCATTATATTGCTGTCGCGACTGTGCGACGTGCGCCCGCAGTGAGTGAGCGAGCGCGACAGCAACATAATTACGCGCGAGCGATAAGGATGGGAGCTTGGGGTCATTGGACAAAATTCTACGTGCTCACAGACCGGGCTTTATTATAAACTAGCTGACCCGGCGAACTTTGTTCCGCCTTAATGGCAATAAATAAGCAGACTTTTTTTTTATTTCGAACGGGACAAAAAGTATCCTATGTCCTTCTCCTGGCTCTAAAATACCTCCCTGACAATTTTCAGCTAAATCGGTTCAGCCGTTCTTGAGTTATAAGTGGAGTAACTAACACGACTTTCTTTTATAATTATGTTTACGTATGAGAGAGAGAGATGGAAAGAAGATGTAGAAGAAGGGATTATTGCATTTGATTATTATAAAACGATAGTTTATTGTTTTGGACAATTTTGTCTTTATTTTCACAAGTTTCTTTCTTCTATTGTTCTTTTTACTTCTTCTTTGGCTCTCACCCTCTAATATTTTAACTAGTCTAAATTGTTCTTTTTCCTTCTTCTTCAATCCTCCCTCTCTAAGTAATACTTATCAAGGTCAAAGTAATGTTAATAGGATGGCGGGTAAGGAAAAAATAAAAAAGAGATTTCAGAACAAACAATTTTATTAAAAAAACATCCATCCTGTTAACATCACAATGGTTTACCTTAAAGATGCATAGGAACTATGGAGGAGATAAAAATAAACATTAGGTAGAGAATGAGGGCTATCGTTTTAGCGCTCATCAGTTAGCGCCACTGTAGAGTAAGGTCCAGTCACTTGCTAGTAGCGAAGACAGTGGCACCAACTGATGAGCGCGAAAGTGGTAGGAGGACTATCGCATTTGCACTCATCAAGATGGCGCCACTGTAGAGTAAGGTCCTGTCAATCGCCAGGGGTGCCAACTGTTAAGTATAAAAACGATAGCCCTCATTGGCTAGTTTCCTAAAAAAATAACTTTTTAGTCCGTCAATTAAGTACATTATCAAAAAATATTGGACACGTATATTTTTATTTCTCAAACAACAAGTAAATTGCGAAGTTATGATACGTTGAAATTCCGCGTGATGTCACAAACTTCTAGGCACGCCTTGACGTCACGAGCTTTTTCTTTTGAACTTTGGCGCACGTATCTCTTAAAATTTTCATTAGTGTGAAAAAGTGAAAAATACGTTATTGAGTACTTATTTTTTGATAAGTTAACCGACGGACTAATTCAAAATCTTGCTTTTTTACCTAGGAAAAGTATAGAATTCACCTGTTAACAAAGTATTTGGTTTCTACTGCTGTACTATAGTAGGTATACCTAGCAACAGTCGTGCTACTATACTATAATAATATCACTGAATACATAAACTGGTAGAGGTAAGGTAAACTAGCTACAGTCGTAACCTATAATATAATAAATATCACTGATACATAACCGGTAAAGGTGTGGCAAGGTAAAATATGTAACAAACTGGTATACATTGAAGATTTCCACTGGTCCAATGACTGGCTAGCAGTACATAAAAATTTTCAGCTGATCCATTGATTCAAAACTAGCTAACTACATAAAAATATCTTATTCACAATAATTGCGCCCATTATCGACTATTTACGTGACCAATTCATAGACAATCCATGGCATATTCAACACAATATTCCTATTTTTTACAATCCAATAAAATTCCGATATTGTAATCATCATCATCATCATTATTTCAGCCATAGGACGTCCACTGCTGAACATAGACCTCCCCCAATAACTATCACATCGCACGGTTGGTAGCGGCCTGCATCCAGCGCTTTCCTACTACCTTGATCAGGTCGTCGGTCCACCTTGTGGGTGGACGTCACACGCTGCGTTTTCCGGTACGTGGCCTCCACGTTATTCTATAGTTCTATCGTTGTTCTACGAGGACATTGTAATAAATATGAATAATCCATTACAGAAACTCTATTGTATTCGATCGTTTTTGGCTTATTGGATTGTATTCTGTCACCGTAAAATTGTGAATTCCGTCAGATTACAATCTGACGTCTTTAGATTACTTACAAATCACCTAACCTATCTCATGCGTTATACCTATTATAAACTGACGGATTTCACAATTTCACGTTGACATTATCCATGAGTTTGGCGCGTGTAAAAGTCTCTTTCATATGGCTTTTTTCATCTACCATCTAGCTAGACAGTCCCTTATTAGTCCCTAAAAACAATTCTATCATCAGAATTAACTACCACACTGCTATTATTGATATTAAAATTGACTGTAGGCGTCTTAGCTACATTATTTGATGGCCCTATCCTCCAATCGCCTTCATCTAAATCGTAATCTACATTTTCAGCCGGTGTAACAGGAGTATTATTGGCTGTAGCGTACTGAAACTTGCTGACGTGAATTTCGACTTTATCCTTAATAAGAATAGTGATATTAGTCCCATTTTTGGTCAAACCTGGGAGGCAGCGAGCGACGTAGTCCCAGCTGCCGTCAATGCAATGCATGTCGGACAGGACACCAGAATAATAGTAGTTGGGGCTTCGGCATTCGGGGCGGACGATGGTGCCATCTGGTTCGTAGTCTTCGCACTCCCTGTAGCCTTCAGCGGCGCCTGTGAGGCGGCATCGGTAGTCCACACTCGGGTCTTTGTTGAGGCGGCAGAAGCCTGGGGAGATGATTGTTTATTTTTACTTTATTGTACGAAGAAAGTACCTTTAGCGGCGGGTCTATTGCCTTTAGTGTTTGTTCTCTGACGAGTTATTTAAAAACTGTGTAAAATAGGCGGTTATTATAGCCATTTGGAACTTTTATTAAAACTAACTTATTTCTGAGTCAAAAAAATAAAAAAAAATAGTACCAAACACAGTACCTTGGGGTACACCCAAAATAACTATCAATTGGCATTTTCAAACGATACTTACGCACGCAATCCGTAACTTCATCCGACCAGAGGCCGTACAGGCATATTCTGTCTCTTTTCTTGCTGACGAGACCGTATCCCGGGTAACATGTGATGTTCAGGCCAATGGTGTCAAACGCTTGTCCCGGGGCAGCGTTGGGAACTCCGTTTACTACGTAAGTACCGTGGGCCGGGTACGGTGGCAGTACACAGGCACCTCCTGTTACTGGCCTGAAATATTACATAGTTACTCTTTATTGTCTAAAAAGTTATGAGGTTCCGAAAGTAAAATTTTGAGTAACAGCCGTGTTAGGTTTAGTAGGGCCTTTTCCGCACTTATCCATTTACTAGTAAAAAGTTAAGCAAACGTTAAACTCACTTACAACAACTGTTCAACGAGCGTCTAACTTTTATTAGTACCTAAGGGAGTTAGCTATACTATTAGGCCATTTTTGAAATTTCATCATTAACATCAGCCTTTGCAATTCCTTGCTTTTTCTTGCAGGACTCTAGCTATCTTTTTGTCGTAGGTACACTCTTTAATAACAGTAACCTAATATTAAAACTTAATACAGAGATATTACTTACTTCTTGGTCACCGGAGGTGCTACAGTGACTGTGGTAGTGCGGTTACACAGCTCATCAGATTCGTCTGAGTTATCCGCACATTCTTGTATCTGAAACGTATCATCATCATCATCATGTGATTTAATTTCTACTGCAGGAGCGAGGAGTAGGAAAATCTATAATAGCTAGTTTTTCTGTGGTGAAGGATTCTAGTGAAGAATCTTTGGCCTGATCATCACTCGCCCTCAGATAATTTTTATGAGTGCTATTGATAAGTATCTGATCCGGAGGATGCAGATGCGATCAATGTGTGAGTTTACCCAGAAGATGCAGGCCAAGAGATCCACTTTAGGGTTAAAAATATAAGTAGTGAAGTAACTAAATAGTTGAACAGTCTACTAACCCCGTTGCAGTCTGAGCCCATGTCAACACAAGCTCCATAGGCACACTGGAACAGGTACGCTGGACAGACGTTCCCGGCACAGGACCTGACGGTTTCGTCCGAGCCATCAGGGCAGTCTGCGACGCCATCGCAATGGAGGGAGGCGGATATGGTGGTGCCGTCCAGGCATTTGAATTTACCCCTGGAATAAGAGATAAAATTGTGATTAAACAACTGCACACAGTAAGATTTTATGAATGGTACTGACAATGCCACTCTTGAAGCGGTGTTTTGGGTTTTGGTTTGTTGTCGAAATGACAAGAAGAAGAATTTATAAGGATTTTTTGGTAGATGCAGGGCTGTGATTGTTTGGTCTTCATGTTCTTCAAATTGTCACAGTTGGGAATTGAAGCGACAACTTTTTGTTAGCCAGATGAGTGCTCTGAATTCCTAAGCTACGGAGACATTGAGTACCCGTGAAAACGTTCAAGTGTATTTGTTGTCCCCCGGCGTAGTCAGAGCAGTGAAGGTCATGGTTTCAATGGTACCTAAGGCAATGCGATTTTTTCAAAAATATTAGTTCAGATAGCTTGTAGAACCGAAGATCGTTGAGGCACTTAAGTTCTCAAGTGGCAATCAATGGACCGGTCGACGTACCTAGTGGATGCAGACCTCACACTCAGTGGACTGACGATCTGGTCAAGGTCACGGACGAACGTCTTTTGGTTGAAACGAATTAATTCTAGAAGGTGAACGTCGCGAGAAGAACCTGGATGCGGGCAGCGCAGGACCATTCATTGTGGAAATTCTTGGGCGAGGCCTTTGTCCAGCAGCAGAAGCCTTTTGGACGAAACGAAGTAGTTCTAGAAGGAATCTTTCAGCTCACCTGACTTCGCTAGTCTCGTTGCGGCACCTGGGCAGCAGTTCATCAGAATTATCAGCACACTCCTGGATCCCATTGCACGGTGCTGTACCATCGACACACGCGCCGTAAGTACAGCGAAACCAGTTGGATTGGCAGCTGCGAAAAGTTACACATAAATTATAGTTGAAGGAGTGACGTCAGCAGAAGGAAGCAGGAAGGCGCTGGATGCTGGCCGCTACCAACCGGTCATTATGGAAATTATTCTGGGAGGCCTATGTTCAGCAGTGGACATTCAAGGGCTGAAATAATGACGATGATGATGAGTGACGTTAATATTATTATTATTTAGATAGGCAGTTGGTTTTGTGAAGAAATCTTTTTAGTGTATTAGATACATAATCAGGCCAAGCTATAATAGGGTTTATAGCTTGTCTTATACCTATAGTAGGTATATCTTATACTTAGCAGTATAGACACACAGGTGAACATGGTGTGGGACGAATCCCACTCTTTCCCACCACTGCAACTCTATAGCCAGGATCTGCAGCTTGACCTCTGAAACCTAACCAGTGAAGGTGGAGTAGAAGAATCTTGGAACCCACTATGAGCTGAACATGGTCTGTTATTGTTATGCAAAATACAACTTTATGCCCTTAACTTACTGGCTCTTCCTGCACAAAGCGTGTGTCTCATCGCTGCCATCAGGGCAGTCTTTGACGCCGTCACATTTTCCATCGAAGCCGATGCAGGTGCCGTCGCGGCATTGCCATTGGGACTTGCTGGAATATACAGAATATCCAAGGTTTAGTTTATGTATAACTGTCTACTTAGTGAGGGTTCAATACTGTAGGATCCCGCGAAACTGGATTGTCCTGTGTACAAGTTACAACACATTAGTTTTAAATTCGAATTGCAAATTCTAATTGATTGGTTTTTGCGGGACACGAGATTATCCGTGGTACTATACTCGGCGCAAAGATTGTGTAGGGGAACCTGTTGTACTTAGGCCAGTTTTTCGAATTTTGATTTTTTGAAAAATAATGGTGCTAGTTAAACTTGTCTAGTGCGCTTATATGTAAAGAACATTTAATTAACTACATAATTCATTCATAAAATTGTGTATAATTTTAAAAATTTGGGCATACTAGCTGCTAGAAAAAAAAAGGGAAAACTGTCCTAGGTACAACAAACCAGGTGTACCTTGGACCATGTACGTTGTACCTATTCAAATTCAAATAAATGCTTATATTAGCTTCAATTTGTTTATTTTCTGTTGAATTATTATTTGATGTATATTTATTGTTGAATTATTACAGTTATTAGCAACAAAATCTAAGTAAAAGTATTTTTTTAAAAGGATCCTCACACACCTTTTTTGTACTAATTATTTTTCACAATATTTTGGCAACAAATCACGTAATTTTAAGCTGGCTCTCCAGCCTGTGTTTAGCCTTACACAATCAACAAAAATATGACAACATTCAACATTTTTTGTAGTAAATTTTGTTGAAATTTGACATGTTTTGTCGTGTAGGACAAAACACGCGATGAAGTGGCTTTAACTTGCAATCAATTTTTTTTTCTTTCTTATCATTTAACATAAATTCTAGCAAAATATCCATTAAAACCGCTTTATCAACAAAAAATAATCTTAAAAAAGTCATATGAAGATACAATAAACATAAATTTAAAAAACATTAGAAATTACAAAAAAATATATCAAAAACAGACTTTCAATTGCTATTTTGAGGTCTTCGCGGCATTGTATCTATAAGGGTCAATTTCCCAAACACATTTTTTGAGCGGCGTAGCTGAAAATCATATGTTTTTTATGACATAGAAATTTGATTTTTTTTTACACGAAAATATACAGAGGTTCCATTTTGAGGACAACATTATTAATTAGTATTTTCTTTTACAAATTCGACAAAAAATAATTGAACTAAGCGTTTCTAATTTTGGTGCAGTGTCCACATCCTTAATTTCTTACAATATGTATTTTTTTAGCCGAAGATCAANTTTCTAATTTTGGTGCTTTAATATAAATTTTGGTGTTCTCTTAATTTTGGTGTAAGGAAAATCTAAAAAACTACTGGACAAAATTTAATGTCTTAATCATTTTAGAAACAGTATAAGTTTCCAATAAATTTGATCTATAATTAAAGAATAAAAATACACAAATAACAATTTTCACCAAAATTAGGCAAAAATATGCACTTGTTGAAATTCACCCATAACGATATAATATTTTTTTTATTGCAACAAAATTCTCATTAAAACGTAATGAAAGCAGTGACCAAGGTACATCGCTAGTTGGGTGGTCAAGGTACAACATTGCGACTACTTCACTTAATAAGCTTTATAAACCCACTTCCATTTGAGATTAGGATCTGAAACTCATATCGTCCAGTAGCTAGATACACTAAGATTATAAGTATTCTAACTATAACTGTTTTGTCAAACATGCAACATTTTTAATAAATTGACATGAAGTAAACCTCCAAGAACTCACTGTGTCAGTGTAAAATAATGAATTACCATTTTTTCTTGTACTTGCACGGCGTCGGCGAATCTTAGCTAACTTCACGATAATGTTGACAAATAACGTATCTAATACCCTAGACAACTGTTCATAAAACCGCATAATTTAAAAAATATATACAATTGTTTTAGGTACAACTCTGTCCAAGGTTCAACAGGTTCCCCTAATAATAAGACAGTGCATGTATAGGTTTTCTCTCGCACTCACACTGGTTATGGGTGACGTCACACAGAGGCAGGCATAGCATTGTTTATTATTAAGTAATCTATATAAAAATGAAACCCGTTTTCCGTTGTCACGACATAACATGAAAACGGCTTGACCGATTTGGCTGATTATTTTTGTAGTTTTCTAATACTCTGCACAAGGTTTTTACGGAAAAAATATAAAGAAAATCTCTACGCTAAGGCGGTACGAAGTTCGCCGGGTCAGCTAGTAATTAATAAAATATTGGCGAGTGTGCAATGTGCATCTCTGTTTCAACAATTTATTAACTTATGGCCTCGCCTGCCATGAGTCTTTGCGTCGAGTAGGTAATATTGTAAGAACCCTCTGATTTCGACATCAAGCTTTCTTTCGGTGGGGTAAAAAATTTGCATTATAATGAAACTACTGATACCCATAAAGTAGTCCCAATCGATTCTGGGTTTTTTTGGACCATCTTGTTTTAAATAATACAAGTATCTTCTTTAGCTTACCTACAGCGCGACGTGGCTTGCCTCTTCCACCGGTGCAATACTCCGTCTGACAGCATGGAATTACTGGAACGAAAGACAAAACATTACTGAACTACGCACTTACATTCAGTACATTAATAAAAACGCCGCAAGTGGAACTGGATTAGCCACACTCTCCGAAGGGATCCCGATCACACCTCTACGCAGGCTCTGCATTGGGACCCCCAAGGAAAACACAAACTCGGCCCAGCGAAAGCAAACTTGGCGGCGCACTGTAGCTGACGAGGCGAAGAAAATCGGCAAAACTTGGAGCGAGATTAAACGCGAAGCTCAAGACCGAACGCGATGGAGGACTGTTGTGGACGCCCTCTGCCCCGTCTAGGGGACATAGGACATTAAGTCAAGTCATAGTTTTGCGTGAAAGTGAAAACAAATATCCATTCATCCAATATCACATGCTTCAAATTATAATAAGTAACAAAAACTCACGATCCTACACCGCCGCAGCGTTCCTCATCGCTGCTGTCCATGCAGTCTCGTCGGCCATCGCAGACCGACATCAGGCCGATGCAGCTGCCGTCGCCACATTTGAACTCGGAGGCGCTGGAAGGAAACAATCATCATCGTCGTCATCATCATCATCATCATCATCATCATCATTATCGTCAGACCGTTTTGTTTCCACTGCAGGGGCACGAAAACTCAAGTCGCTGACATAGCCGGCGGATTAGCAAGCTCAAGTGGCAATGGGCAGGACAGGTACGCAGAACTGACGGCCGATGGGGCAGCAAGGTTCTGGGGTGGAGGCCGCGTACTAGAAAACGCAGCGTATGATGTCCACTCATAAGGTGGACAGACAACCTCATAGGTTGCAAGAAGGCGCTGGACGCAGGCCGCTACCAACCGGTCAACAAATCATTGGGGGAGGCCTATGTTCAGCAGCGGGCGTCCTATGGCTGAAATGATGATGACAGGAGCACGACCTACTCAATTAAATTGTTGAATCTCCGTATCGTGTTCACTATCTTTCGAGTGCATGTCATAATTTTATTTTATTTTATTTTTCTTTACCCAGAAAACTACAGCTCTTTATAATAATAATACAAACAGGTATTTTTGTTCTTTGAGCTATAATGATAATGAAAACTTACTGTATGTTTTGTTTAGTTACTCAGTCGTATACTGTATCGCAATTTGTGAATAAATAAATTACTTATCAGAGGCAAATAGAGGAGGATATACAACTGTGTAACAAACAACCCGGTCGGGTAACTGCGCACCCGGCAGTCGTGACGTCACGTCGACGCTCTGGCACAGACAGGGCGAACGCGGGGAGGTGTGCGGGTGAGTGCGAGGGGAGTCGAATTCCAGCGAGGTGCGCAGTGAACTCGGTTGTAGTTTTCTCTGTGCTGTGTAAGCTCACCTGCATGAGTTAGTCGATTCAGTCACTACAGCAGAGGTGACGGTAGTCGCTGCAAAGAAAAAGAAAAACACATCAAACACCTACTAAAAATTAATTCATCTTTGAGTTTGTTCGCGTTTTCATCCCGCTGAACTTTACTTTACTTTACTAATTTTGATGATTTTTTTGTATACAGCCCGTTCGCGCTAAGTTTTCCGGTCCGTGGAATGCGCGTCCCCTCTCCCAATCGCGATTAAACGCAATAATATTGGTGGTGAACGATATGGCTGGATAGATAAATAATCCAATTTTACTTTGAGAATTGAAATAGTGTTTCGGAATACATTTCACGAGTACGTTTTTGATCAAGTAAATAAGTTATGTGCTTTCTGATGCAATTCATGATAAAAGATGAGGAGCCATTGACACAACAATTAAATAACACAACAATTGACGTGTAATTGTGACTTACTCTGGGGGAATACAGTCAAGGGCATTCTGATAGCAATGCGTAACTTAATGATACGAATATAAGGAAAACTGAATTGAATCTTGATGTATGGCATCGTTACTTATTGATAGAGCAATTAAAGCAACATATTATAAATGTATACAAAGTATGTAGTATCAATCAACACGGGACTATCCCCACCTCTCTTACCCACCGCTGCAACTCCTGTGTAGCCAGGATCTACAGCTTGACCGCCAATAAAACCCAGCCAGTGAGGGTCAAGTTTGTCCCGGGGGTAAGTTAACTGTCATTGGACCGCAACGAAATTAATCAGAAGAACATACTAGGAGGAATTCGAAGTTAAGGTTCGGCTTCCTTCCAGGGCAAAGCGGATGACAGGTGACAAAACACCCTTCCCCCTAGGCTAGATTTTAGGTCAGATTGTTTGACTTGGTTCCTTCAAAGTGACTGAAGCGCTTTAGGCAAATTCCATTTTCTGCGAGATTTCCATGGGTACGCCAATGACCCCAATCTTTTCGATCTGAGACAGGTACCAAACCACAGAGCCGGTAAAAACGGACAGGTAAACATTGTGAATCCCCAATAGAGAGTTACCGGTTAATTCAACAATCCTCACGTATGACTGTGGTTAAAACTAACAATGTGAGTTGCAGGCGGGCTTTACCCGAATTCCTTGAAATATCATCGCAATTCTTGGAGAAGATAATGAGAATTATTTGTCACACCGTTATCTATTGTTGTTGAATAGTCGAGCAATGTGACCTCAAGAAAGTTAGTATGCTTTAGCAAGATCAAGGGTTCGATCTTTGCTCAATACAAGTGTTTATAAAACCGTTTTTTTGTTCTGGATTCTTGGGTAATACGTATTAATTGGGATTAATAATCATCATCAGGTCATTTAGTCTCCACTGCAGGAGCACCCACCCTCTAATTTACCAGATGCAAATGGAGGATTTGGCCTACACTCCCCACGCTGGCCAGACGGGTTGGGGAGGCCTGATGTTCGCATATTTTGTCCTATAGTGTGATGTGTAGTGAATCCATTCTTACAAAAGCATAAGGATATGACCTATTTTAGCTTGATGGAGGGGTTAATAGGATTTGACCGCAATCGCATCTGCTGTTAAGTGAGATGTTGTCAGCCGGACAGGCCGGACAAGACCGTAAAAAGCCAAATATGTCCGGCTAAAGCCGGACGCCTGGCAACCCTAGATGTGTAGTGAATCGATTCTTAAATATCTATAGATAGGGATATTTGACTGCAATCGCTCCTGCTTTTATGTGAGATGTTGTCTAGGATGGTAGGTACCACCACAGATCACAGAAACTAAAGGGAGATGTGGCAAAGGGGCGGGGCCGGTGTCGCAGAAATAATTATGCCCAAAAACAGAACACATTGCTCGTAACAGAAATGATGACAGCAGCGACGTCATAATGTAAACAGTTTACATTGCTTAGTACTACCTGTGGTACTACTAAAGATTACTTAATCGAAAGTTGAGTAGGTACTGACACCGCAGTGGATAATGAGCACACATTTTGATTACTTTGTGTGTGTGAATTTCTAATGCAACACTGAGTTTCGAACTCAGCGCATTAGTTAATTGGCATCTCTCTATATCTCTATGGTAGGTACATTCTGCCCTGTAAGTGCTTATTCACTCTCGCCTTGATAAGGCCGGATTTAGTGTTTTGGAAAGACGATTTAGGTAGGTCGGTAAGGTTTTATACCTTCAACAATATCTTTGCTTTGTGGTCAATTAATTATTTTTAAATCCATCCATATAACTTCTCATCTTTCTCGATTACAACACAAGATAATCGGCTAAACCATTATAGGTGTTATTCAAAATTTTAAGTCCCTATTGAGCTCAAAATAAGGATCAAAATCGTTAAGATTTTGGTCATTTACGAATTATTTAGTTAACGATAAAAACTAACTGTGAAGACCGGTCTGCGGTTTTGATATTTGACTAGCTTGTAATTACAATATGACGTCAATATACAGGTCTGCCGAAAAATTAATTTGACTAAAAGAGTACTAAATTTTGAACTCCTCCTAAATTCTTGTGATAAAATTAAATATTCGTTATGGGATTTTATCGCGTTCCATTTCAACTAAAACAACGTCAAGCCATGAGTACCTATGTAAGTCATGTAAAAATAACGCGTTGAGACCCGGTGTTTCTCTTATTCCTTTCGTTATGGGTTCCAAGACACAGGACTATTCCCACCTCTCGTTTCCACCGCTGCAACTCCTGTGTAGCCAGGATCTACAGCTTGACCGCCAATTACCCAACCAGTGAATGTCAAGTTTGTCCGGGGGAAAGTTAAGCTGTCATTGGACTTGCAAAGAAATTAATCAGAAGAACATAGGAGGAGTTCGAAGTTAAGGTTCGACTTCCCTCCAGTGCAAAGCGGATGACAGGTGACAAAACAAACTTTCCACTACTAAATATTTCCATAAGTAGTAAGTAGGATGTTATGTACGATTCTACACCATTATTTGTCATGAATGCGTCACAGTTAACTGGTTAACAAAGGTTTGGCTTTAACTGAGCCATTACAGAAAGTGGGCAAATCAGTTAATTTTACAGTTAGTTGTGTGAACAACTCGAAGCGGATTTTAAAATTGCTTTTTGCATGAAGTTTTCAAGTTAGGTGATTTGTTTAAAACTTTTTTGATTTACTTTAATACTTTACGTGACAAAAAATCTAACTAGGTTTTTTTTTTGTGCAGAACAAGGCAGGTATTTGACCGCAATCGCACCTGATGTCAAGTGAGATGCAGTCTAGTCTAGTCTACATAATTATCTGCCCTGTAAAAGTGCCTATTCCATCTTGCATTGAAAAGGCCCGGATAGTGTTTGGGAAAGATAGCAGTAGGTAGTGAGTAAAATAGTCCCATAAGTAGGCACTTTCCAACGCCTAGTTGTAGTATGGTGAGTCATCATCATCACCATCATCATTTCAGCCACCTAGGACGTCCACTGCTGAACATAGGCCTCCCCCAATGACTTCCACATCGCACGGTTGGTAGCGGCCTGCATCCAGCGCCTTCCTGCTACCTTTATCAGGTCGTGTCAGTATGGTGAATGTTGATAGGTATTATGGTGGGTACCTGTTAACAGGCAAGGCAGTTTCAAATTCTGTATAGACGTCTAACCTGCATGCATGACGAATAAAAAATGGCTACCCAGCAACCCAAGAGTTTTTTGCGATCTAAAATCCGTGCGGTTAAATTAATTTTCTATTGTTTTCACGCAAAAACGAACATCGAAAAATACATTTAATTCAATCTAATCTTTGAAGGTCACATATTATTATAGTCTAGCGATTAACTCAGTGTCACTCAGCCTGAGGTAAGGGAGCGGCACTTGAGGGCGATTTACGCCCGTATTCACAAACGATGCTTGCTTAAGTGAAGCAGAAAATCGAACGCACAGCGTTGAATAGAGCTCTGTGATTGGTTCGTGTGTCACCCTGTGCTTCCACGCGCACTGTGAGACCTCATAGTAATGTTTGTGAATACGGGGATTAGGGACGGTCAAACGTCAGTGAGATTTCAGATTTGTATGCCCGGTCACATCATAAATGTTATCTTAGGCGCAGACCATCGATTTTTCGTCGGCCGATAGTTTAGTCGGGGAGTTGATTTGGCCGATTCTTCATACAAATAAGACTAGGCGCAGACCACCGATTTTTAGTTGGCCGATAGTTGTGCCCGATTTTAAATTGTATGAAGAATCGCCCAAATCAAATCGGTGTAACGTGCGCACTCCCATACATGCCCATACTGATCAACTGCCCGCCTAAACTATCGGCCGACGAAAAATCGTTGGTCTGCGCCTAGGCTTAAAATCGGGCACCACTATCGGCCAACTAAAAATCGGTGATCTGAGCCCAGTCTTAATGGGTAATATTATGGTTCTCAAAACCAAGGCGTGGCCAAAATAAAAGAAGAAGAAGAAAATAAAATTATAATAAAAATAAACTTTTTTAAAAACAAGCTTTTATTCTGAATTTCGAAAGTTTGTATCGCGCATGGAATTTATTCCTCTTTTTCTCTGTTTGCGCTACAAGCTTTCGAAATTCAGAATAAAAGCTTGTTTTTAAAAAAGTTTATTTTTATTATAATTTTATTTTACACTTTTTAGTTATATCTTAATCTCAGGACCCTGGACGTCATCTAACACTAAAGTGCTCGAAAAGACAAATCCAACGAACCCAAACTCGATGAGTTTCCGCCGTTTTGTTTAGGAGTTCCTATGGCCACCTCCCGACTCCATCATCAGACCAGCTCAATGGTACCATAATATTGCATTGTCATCGGACTTACACATGTATGCAAAATTTCAGCTCAATAGGAAACCGGGAAGTGGGTCAATTTTAAGTTGCAAGATTTGACGACAGACACCAGACATGTGAAAGTAATAAAAAGCTTGTAAAAACACCTCTCCCGTGCCGCTCTCATACTTCTGGCGCTGACTGAGTTTTAGCTCTAGACCTTTAATAATATTATCGCGGTTTTGTTTCTTTTAATATAAAAGTTATAAGTTGCCTTGAACTTGAGTTTATCTGAAGATACGCGTTTGTTTAATGACAAAAAGTCAATAAATTGATGACTTCATAATTTAATTTGCGTTAACACTTTTTATTGAACTAGCTTTCCGCCCCGCAGCTTCGCCCGCGTGTAAAAGACAATGCCGGAAATTGGCGTCTTTTTTTTTTCGCGCGGCCATCGACCAAACTTTGTTTTTTGATTACAAAATAGTGTAATAAATCAAACTTACTATGACATGTATACCTCTAAACTCAGTCTGAACTGAGTTATGAGCATCAGAAGTTTGATGATTTTCATACTAGATTTGCTGTTTGGGCGCAAGTTAAGGCAAGTTTTGTAAGAAATTGCAACAAAATAATGACATTGTATGTGTAAACAAATAATACCATCCATTAAAGGCTCCAGACATCAGTATGCAGCAGAATCAGCGCAATAAAAAAATAGCGCAATATTTTGTTGCAATTTCTTACAAAACTTGCGCGCAAAAAGCAAATCTAGTATGAAAATAATTAAACTTCTAATGCTTGTAACTCAGTTCAGACTGAGTTTAGAGGTATACATGCCGTAGTAAGTTTGGTTTAAAACACTATTTTGAAATCAAAAAACACAGTTTGGTCGATGGCCGCGCGAAAAAAAAAAGACGCCACCTTCCATACAAAATCTGGCATTGCCATTTGTCTGTCACAGAAAAACTATATCACGCGCGTCCCTGTTTCAAAAACCAGGACAAAAACTATGCTATTTCCTTTCCCGGGACTCAAACTATCTCTATGATAAATTAATCAAAATCGGTTCTGTGGTTTATGTTTATCGGTTGTCTGGACAGACAGACAGAGTTACTTTCGCATTTATAATATTACTATAGAAGTATAGTAGATATTAGTATTGCTTTTTCCCGCGTCTTGTGGCATGCGGCATGTGTATTTATAACTCATTGATGCGACGTATTCCACTATGAGCACCCGCCCAAATAGCACCTGCACAAATAGCACCTGGCCTATTCCACTTAGAGCACCTTTCGATATTTTGGGTTGGTGCTCTAAGTGGAATTTAATTAGTTTTTACGACGTATTCTATTTAGAGCACCTACAACACCGTAGCCTAGTGCTGGCTGGAATCCATTATGCATAACCAGAATTCTAGCACAAAAAAATAAATAAAACGATTCCAAAAAGTCGGTTTGAATTTTTCAAATCGCGAAATAGATGACGGAGTTCTGAGGCAATAAACACAAAAAACAAAAATTAATTGAGATCCTCCTTTTTTTAAAGTTGGCTAAAACTGCGCCTTCTGACAAGGTCAGGTAAAGTGTTAACATCCTAATAACAACAAAAACAATTAAGAGCTTAAGCTCTTAAAAGTGTACAAATTGAGAATAAGTTATTTAATTTTATCAAAATTGGTACAGCTGTTTAGATGTAAAGTAACAAACTGTTTTCGTATTAATATACATAGTTAGTGCAGATGTAATCGAAGATAAACAAAAGTTCAATTAAGTGGAGTCTACTTAGATACGAGTAAGTAGGTATTGAGAATTTATAAAAACAATTTTATAACAAGCTCCAGTATCATTCACACAAGCAGCATAATAAAAAAATAAATATTGTAGCTACACTTTATAAATAAAACTGTTTTATCGATGTCATGCGAGAGAAAAATAAATATTTTTTATTCCTGTTGTATTCTTAACACAGCCGGGTATAAACGTAGCTTAGGCGCTTAATTTAAGAGCAAATTAATATATTTCTTGTATGTTTACTTACTTAATTCTTAACTAAATAATATTAATTAAAAAATACCAGTTAGTCTACCCGCCATTATTTCCGCATTAAAACAAAAAACTCACCAAAAAACGTAATAATAATCGCACTCAACATTGTCACTAATTTTAAAACTAAACATTCACTCAAGGTCACTAAAATATTAAACTAAAAACTAACTACGATATGCACATCTCGGTCAATCTAAAACTAATTTTGTTGTGTTTATAAAATTGTTTTTATCAATACAGACGCGGGCGTATCGGAAAACCCGGGTCGAATGACTGGGTTGCCAGGTAGGTGGTGGAGTTTTCCTCAATTAACAACACAATGTTGGAAGTGTAAAGTTGTTTTTAATTGAGTGTCGAATTTGCGGTCTGAGGTTAATCTTTTTTGTGATAACTTTTAATAACTTTGATTGACGTAGTTATTTGTGACTGCAGGGAAGTCGAACCTTAACTTCGAACTCCTATGTTCTGATTAATTTAGTTGCAGGTCCAATGACAGTTTAACTTTCCGTCTGGACAAACTTGATCTTCACTGGTTGGGTTATTGGCGGTCAAGCTGTAGTTCCTGGCTACACAGGAGTTGCAGCGGTGGGAATAGTGGTAGTAATTAACCTTTACTATAATTAATTTTCTACCTCTCTTACCTGATGAAAAGCGATAATCATGCCGAAGGTGGGATCGAGGTTCGCCCAGAATCTTCAACCATATAGGAACATGGCTATCTTACCTCCAACTGCCGGAACACAACAAAACACTGTTGTTATGGCGGCAAACTTAAGATTAGGTAAGATTGGTTGGAACCAGTCGGCTACTTTAGTGATTATGTATGATACTAGCTGAAACCCATATTCGACATAGTATTTAGCTTTGCATAGTTTGAACCGGGTTTTCCCCAAAAAAGTGGTAAATCCTTTCCACATGGCAACACCTAGGTAAAGGCCTCAGACGGGTTATTTGAGGTTACGTACGAGTTACATACCTACTGCTATACTACGTAAATAGCGCACTATGTTTATGTCAAGTAACTACATATATCCGGATTTCTAAGGAATTTGGTAAAAACCATTAATACATTTACTTTTCCACTTTGCATGATTTGCATCCCGTGTTTCCGTCCTTATTTTGATACTTAGCTATTTAAGTGAATATTTTACTTAGGTAAACCTATGGATTAGTGGTTAGAGAGTTGAAATTTGGCTGTGAAGGTCCCGGGTTCGATTTCCAGGTAGGACACAATTTTAAGAACTTAAGAGACACTCTTCTTCGTCCTGAGTTCAACTCCATTCATAATTATAATTATTTCTAATAAAAGTATACTGTTAAACATTGTTGTTATGAAGACAGACTTAGGTAAGATGGTGGTAGCCAAGCAGATAATTTTGCCTCCACTGAGAATCGAACCCGGGATCTCTGGATTTGAAACAAGTGATCCGCACGCGTGTCGAAATCCGCATCACAGGAAAAAGCGAGCGTATCTTCACCTTAAATGTGCCTTAAAGGCCGGCAACGCACCTGTAACGCCCCTGGGACTACGGGTGTCTTTAAGCGACGGTAATCACTTACCATCAGGTGATCCGTCTGCTAGTTTGCCTCCTGTCACATAAAAAAGGCGCTGTGAAGAATCTCTGGTCCAGTTAAGGTCATTAACCGTATAGTTAAGCAGGTAGGTAGTAGGTACTGGGGAATACCCAGCGGCTATCAGTCGTGAAGTAAGCCGTAACTTTTATAATCACTTCGTCATAGGCTATTGAGAAAGAAAGCAAATTACGTTTATTTGGTATGTCTAGAAATATTCTAATCGTAAAAATTATAAAATGAATATGTAGTGTGGGTAGGTACTCGATGGACTGACGACCTAAAGGTTACGGAAATAGATTTAAACGGAAAGCGCCTGGACCCGGGCAGTGCAGGACTAGTCGTAGGAAATCCTCAAAGACAAAGATTTTTTTCTTTTTCAAAGTTGGTACCTCTACTGTATCATTATTTAAAAGCAAGGAACTATGCCAATAGCTAGTGTTTATTTCTGCTTAGGTATAAAAAGTGTTTTAATTTATATAACCCTTTATAGTAAACAAATCCTTTCACTATGATTTACACATAATTTTATTGCATTAAAGATTTGCAATTATATTCACATCTAATATAAAGTGAACTGACAGAACAAATACGGCAACTTTTGCCATAAATGAGAAATTGCTAAGGATATTGTTGTAGTGGAGCGACTTTCAACAAGAGACTGGGAAGAAAGTTAGAAGGGGGATTTAGGGAAAATTTAAGGATTTTGTAGATGAGTGAGGGGGCAGGAGACTTCGTACCAGAAGTTTCAGGTGAAGGGGCATGAGGGGGTTGAAAAGGGGGCTGGAGAGGTAAGGGTGGTGAAGCGACTTCCAAAGGGAGATTGAGAAGAAAGTTAGATGGGGGAAGGTGATGGGAGGGTGGGGTTGCAAAACACAAAACGCAGGGGTTTTACATGCAGGAACTTGTCACTCAATATAAGAAGGTTGAGGCAAGTCATTTATTCCCAAGAAAACCTTGATTTCGAAATTCGGCACTAAAGAAGACTACGTGACACGGTCCATATTCAAAAGAAACCCTCTAAAGTAAACAATCGCGCATCTGTAAATTGCGACTCTCCAAAAACAGCATTTTCAATCCAAGATGGCGGCGCTGCAATATTTTTGGCAACTGTCAAAATTGGAGCACGAAAACCACAGATATGGATTAGAGTAGATACAGCAAGTTGATCGTCAAAGCGTGCCATTCCGATATGTCCAAATGGACATACATGGTCGAGTGATGTTCATGTAATCCGATTACAACAATCGGTTACGATGATTTTACGAGGACAGTAGTACGAACACGGGAGAAAGAAGAAATTATTTACGGATTGAGAATTGTAATTAACAGCACAAGTAACAAATAATTAATTAGAATAAAGTAGCAGTAGAAGAAGTATAAAGTAGCATTGTTTTTAATACATATCCTGCGATGTACTCTTAAGAGTTAAAACCATGGTCCCTGTATGTGGTGCACTCATACCGATCCCAAGGAACCGTACTTACTCATAACAATAAGACACACACTGATGCATGTATTCATGCACTTGACAAATTTATGTTTTGAAACGCTGGTAGGGTAAAAAAAAAACGAGATTTGACGATTTGTAAGAATTAATTTATTTTAAAAAGGTAAATAAAGATGTTTTTGGTTTTGCATTTAACAAATTATCAGTTTTATCGGAATTAATTAATTTTCGAATCGAGTCGCACGATATCATTCGATGACTTTGCAAATGCAGTACGATGATACGATTACTTTTACGTTGCGGCAATCCCTAAAATTCGCTAAAATGACACTAATGACGTTTAAAAAGTGGCACGCTCGGCTTCATACAATTTTTGACACATGCTGCATCTATCCATATCTGTGACGAAAACCCTCAGTGTGATAAATCTCAATCAATCTCTGTGTAAAATAATCTTTAAATAATTTATTAGCAATGAAAATGTCAGGCAAATGGTGTTATAAAGTGTTTTATTCCCAAGAAAACCCGCTCAATCTGAATCGGTTGTAGAAAGCGGATTCGAACACTTTCCTCCCTTTGACCGGGCCACCAGCGCCCGCGACCACCACGAAAGGCATGAGGTGGTCAGCGTGGCTCTCGGGGTGCGCTCGCAAACCACCTGGAGCACTCGCACAGGATACCAGCCCTTCCCTGGACTGCTCGTCGTAATAGTCCTGAATTATGAGACTCAGTGAATCCAGTCCCCATGGAAAAGTTGCAAAGTGTGTTTTAACTCCGAATTCACTACATGGAACGAAGAAACTAACATACAGAAAAACGCCAGAGTGAAGCGATTTCGAAATTCGGCTCTAAAGGTAGCCTTTCGATCTAAGCGTCACAGACGCAGCGTCTTTAGCTTTGGTCTTGTGCCACCAACGCCGCGTCACTAACTCGCTTCGAAAGGCTACCTTAAAGAAAACTACGTGACACTGGTGACACTGTCTATATTGAAAATCGCGCATCTGTAAATTGCGACTCTCCAAAAACAGCATTTTCAATCTAAGATGGCGACGTGGCAATATTTTTGCCAACTGTCAAAATTGGAGCACGAAAAACCTCAGTGTAATAAATCTCAATCAATCTCTCTGTGTAAAACAATCTTTAATGAATAATATTAGCAATGAAATGTCAGGCAAATGGTGTAATAAAGTGTTTTATTCCCAAGAAAACCCGCTCAATCTGAATCGGTTGTAGAAAGCGGATTCGAACACTTTCCTCCCTTTGACCGGGCCGCCAGCACCCGCGACCACCACGAGAGGCATGAGGTGGTCAGCGTGGCTCTCGGGGTGCGCTTGCAGACCACCTGGAGCAGTCTTCCAGGATATTAACCGTTCCCGGGTCTGCTCGTCACCTGTGCAAACCTGGAACAGAAACGATTGATTAAATAAAAGTTAAAGGTCACTTACTGACTCACTCATCACGAAATCTCAGAAACTACAAGTGCTAGGAGTTTCAAATTTTGCATGGGGGCTCCTTTTAAAACGTAGGTGCTCACTAAGATGGGATTGTGCAAAATTCAATCCCTAAGGGGGTAAAACGGGGTCAACGTGTACGAAGTTATGGGCGGCCGCTAGTATTAAATTAACAGTCGCTTTTCATTGGAGAGAAGTCGAATCTTACTTCGAACTCCTCCTATGTTCTGCTGATTAATTTCGTTGCGGGTCCAATGATAGATAACTTTCCCACAGGACAAACTTGACCTTCACTGGTTGGGTTTTTATCGACCACAAAATAAAGACTTCACTTTTCTTATGCTCCGATTGCAACCGTCACAAAGTTTATAAATACTTCTGTAAATATTATTATCTTATCAAATAGGTAGTTACCACAATAATTATACACAATGATGATAAGGATAATATGATGCAAAAAGTAACAAACCTTATTTAGAAAGTCATCGAATTCCTGATTCTCTATTTCCAACTCCTCTGCCGTATCAACTTCTCTAAACCTCTTCATATTATGATAAGATAAACCTGAACCAAAAATGGCGACACCATCTTTACGAAACTGTCCCAATATTTTTCCATATTCGTAATGCTGCTTCGCGTCCTGGTTTTTCAATATAGACACTTGTACTATTGGTATATCAGCCTCAGGACGAACCAGCATCATAGGAACAAAAACTCCGTGGTCCCAACCTCTTTTGTCGTCCAGCCTGCAGTCTATGCCTTCTTTTGACAGCGCGTCAAAAATTTTTCGCGCCAAAACCGGGTCGCCGCGTCCGCCATATTTGTATTTGTACGTCTCAGGCGGGAAGTTGTAGTAGTCAAACAACAAATCTGGGTTTTCTCCGGACGATATTGACACGATATCTTCTTCCCAATGGGCCGTGACTACAATTATTGCTTTCAGTAGGTTTAAATTCACGTAATTTTTTACTTCACGTAAAGATTTTGCGATGTCTAGGTTATTTTTTTGGCCCATAACTGGGTAGGGCCCGCCGCCATGATTTAAAAATACTGAAGGCGCGAGATACGAGGAATCGTTCGCCATTGCCGGCTGTTCACAATTGCTGTATATTTTGATAACTGAGTTATTATCACTATACCTAAATGACTGTTAAACGAGTCAACATTTACACAGCTTAGTGCGGTTCAAAGAACATCGATAATTAATTATTAAGATAAATAAAGTAACGGGGCGATGCAGCGATGCATGTAGTACATACATATTCGTACTTTGTTTTTTTAATTGTATTATTAATAAAGCTTACTTTACTTACTTTACCTATATTGTTGTTATTCGTTTTGGTAAAAAAAAAATGTAGAATAATAAAGATTATTTACAAACATTACTATGAGGTCTCACAGTGCGCGTGGATGCACAGGGTGACACACAAACCAATCTTAGAGCTCTATTCAACGCTGTGCGTTCGATTGCTGCTTCACTTAAGCAAGCATCGTTTGTGAGTACGGGCGTTAGTTTCTCTGCTTGATTTGTGATTGACTGGTAGAGAATGCCACCCATTAAGCTCGCCACTGTATGTCACTTTTAAGTGAAAAAGTTTAAATAAATACCTAAATATCGATATACATATTATTCTCGATATTTCACCATCCCAAGAGTCACGTTGCACTCTGATAAAATATTGTTTTTCCTTTTACAGTTTGTAACCGTCATAATTAGTTGACAGTAATTAAGTAATTAAATATGTAAACAATATTTTAAAGACCATAATGTCCAAAATTCATTAAAATACAGGGTGTTGATTTCAATCCTCGCCGTGGGTGAATATCCCAAACACGTTTTTTACGCGGCGGAGCTGAGAATCGATGGGAGAAATGTAACTAGAGCGATGATTTTTTTTCTGTATATAGTTTATACATCGTTTTACATGATAGCAAAGTCTTCAGGACAATAGGCAGTTATTTTATGTACTAAAAAAATTTTCAAAGACCCAAAATCTAATAGCGGTGGCGCGTCCTAACTCTATTTCTACTCATAAATGGTGTTATTCCTTCTTTCTCGGGGATTCTAGTAATTTAAAAATAGTATAGCCATAAAATACATTAAATAAGACTTCCAAATGATATGAAAGAAATGTGATATTTCATATTTTAAGTGTTTAAAATAGCCTTTCAAAACTGTCCCACGAAAAAAAGCAATTACAGTGGCTCAATTTCGACACTCTCTTACTTCTCCAAAGAAGCTTTGAGAGACGTAGAGTTCTTCTTCCCTGCATCACTCAACTGTGTCCTCCTGATCGGGCTATAAAGACTTGCGACTTGTGGTATTGTTTTTCCAGCAGACCCGTAAATATTTGTATCAGCGGCACAGGAATACAAAATTTTTCAATTTCGCTGGCAAGTGTATGAGTGAAAGCTACTTACTTAGATGCTAAACGATTCTTTAACATGATTAAAGTTTGGTGTTTTGTTGTATCTGCATACAGAAATTATTGATCAGAATTATAGTTTTCTTTATAATTTGAATTTTGTAACAGTTTTTCAATTCCGGTGGCGCAATTTCGGTGGCTCCGGTGGCGAATCTATTGCCGGAATTGGTCTTATTGGCTCTGGAGCATTGTACCTAGGTCTACTAAGGTCTCAGTCATAACTACAATATCGTCAGTGAATCGAAGTTGTGTGATGTACTCGCCGTATCTTGATACTGAGCTCGGTCTAGCTCAGAAGCTTGAAAACCTCTAAGTGCCCTCCCGGGACTAGAGTTGGTTTCTGGGTTTGAGGGTCATGTATGATGTCTTTGTGATGACTCTAGAATAACGGGGCTGTTGGCGGCTAGAGCCAGAAAGTTTTGGATTTGTTCTCTATGGAGGGATTTTGCCGTTATCACCATGCTTAACAGGCTGGTTGGTAGTTCCAGTATGGTAGTATAATACCCGGAAAGATGCTGCAGCCCACCCTCCAGTATTTTGATTCCTTAGTCGGCTATTACGACTCACGTGGGAAGATTTGATGCTTTTTTAGGGTCACAACACAGGCCTGAATATTGTTTTTAATTATAAACATCTTTACTGGATAATAATACTTAATTGATTACAAATAAATAAGTAATTTGAGACAATCATCCGTAACATTCCGAAGTCCGCTGTATAAATAAATTTCGGTGGATTGGTTCTTAATTCCGGTGGCTCAAATACAATTTCGGTGGCTCTTGATAATTTCAAATTGACATATCTCGAGAAGTATTAATAATATTTTGATCTCTACCATATCATTGAATAATACAAGTTATTTACTATTATTTCTGCCACAAAAAAGTTTTGGAAAGTGGAAATTAAAATTCGCCACCGGAATTAGGCAAAAAACGAGTTTATTGATATTCACCCCCATATTTATTTAGGTGATCTATTATGACTTATTAAAGGTATTGTCAAAAAAAAAAAAATACAAACGAAAGTAGAATTTTTTGCCGTGGAATACTGAAGTTCTTTGGTCACGTCTCTAGAAATGAGAACTCGATGGAGAGACTGGTAGTTCAGGGCCAGGTGGAAGGCAGGAGAGCACGCGGTCGATCGCCAACCCGCCGGATAGACGCCATCACAAAGGCCATTGAGTCCACCATGGTCCAGTGTACTCGCGACGCCTCTAACCGTCAGAAATGGAAGCACATCGCCAGGAGAGCTACCCTCGGAGATGACATCACCCCACCATGTAGTTCGTCAGCGCAACCACGACCACTCTGACAAGAGTGCCCGATTAAGAAGATAAGCCTCATAAACAACTCCTTAAATATGGCGAGGATTGAAATCAACACCCTGTATTAGAGGTGGGCGCCGATATATAATTGGCCGGCGGCGGCGCGCCGACTTTTTGACTTCGGCGGCGGCGGCGTCGGCGGCGTGACCTTGTTTGACCTTTATTAATTAGGTATTTTTTTTAATCTGCTTTTTTAGTATGTGTCGTCAAGACTAATCAGGTGATTTGCAGTTGGTTGGGGTTTGACAAGGTAGTGCTACTTGAGCAGTGGTTTACCCTAATAAATCAGCTCTCTTGATCATAGATACTTTGATATTTGGATAGCAGGTTTGGCTGAGATCAGAGGTAGAATTGTGTAAAGCAATCGTAATCATTTGACAGTTCATAACGTACGATAAAGTCAGTTAAACAAAGAGTATGACAGAATAATCGTACGTTATGAATAGGGATGTTTCCTGGGTCAAAAAGCAAGAGTNCATCACTGGCTAGGAATATGCCTCCCACCATGCTGGTTAAAGAGGAGAGCCAGCCTCCGCCGCCGCCGCCTTGCAAGCCGCCGAACGCAGACATCACGAAATCATTCAATGTTGCAGTTATAACTTGGCCATACCTGATAACAATGGAAGAATAAATAAATTAACACTCAGAAATGCATAAAATAATCTAATATTAAGTAATAGTTACATTTGAACTTAATTTGTAAACAGTCCTTTTTTATCTTTTCAACAGTCAAATTAGTTTCTCCTAATATTATAATGAATATTGATAACTGATAATTACCCATTCAAAGCCAGTTCATCATCAAGAATTGATAGTTTTACTACATATGGGTTGGCAGACTCCTGTTTTTTGTAGTTCACCAAAAACATTAACAGAATCACAACATCATAGCCTGAAATTGAAAAAGAATTAAAGATAAGTACAATAATTAAACAAAGCAGTTTTCTCATAGTTAAATAAATAAATAATGAACATTATTTGTGCTCACCATGTTGTTGTCTTTCAGTCGATGTGCAAAGTAATTGGATTAATGGCTCAAATAAGGAATTTTGCATTAAATAATCAACCAAGACATTGTCATCAATGTTGTCAAGCCCAGTGGCTATTATCAGCAATAACTTCAATACCATTGATTTCAAGCTCTCAGGCACATCACCTGGAAAATGCATAAGATTTTTCATTATGAGAATATCTAAATATACACATTTTCACCCTCCTAATAGAAGTTTCAATAACAGAGTTTTGATCATACTTCCCTTTATTGTACTCCCTAAACTTACTATCAAGTTTCTCTACACCTCTCTTTAAATACCACATAATTAGGATAGAATGGGAACCCATACATTCCCTTAGTTTCCACAAATTTATCAAGATAATAATCACTTATGAAATCATTCAAACAGCAACAGAAGCAATACCATTTTATACCTGACAATATAGTACTGCAGTGTTCAAATAACTTCTGCATTTTCATATCAGCATTCTCTGTTCCTATAAGTAGGGTTTTAATGTTTACATTGGAGTCTTGACTTGCCCTTTGGTACATAGTAATGAGGAGTGCACTCAATGTTTGAAGGGCATAAACAAGCCTGCAAAAAATTTAATTGACAAATTATTTATGCAGATAGTCTAGTTTGAAAAGTGTATTCATTAACTAATTGGACATGTACCTTATATGGTGTTCTTGTCCTAGCATTTCTATACACTGTGTGACTAATAAATTAATACTATCTTTCATATTGTTGAGCTGTTCCACTGATAACTTGTGGATTTCAGCTTCAAGTTGAGGGATCTTTGGTTTGAGGAGGAAAAATTCATCCCAGAAAGTGGGGTTATCACTGGTCAGGTCTTCGCCTCTAAAAAACGACTCGTATATCTGTACCACTTTCTCCTTCAAATGTCTCTTTGATCCAGAACCACTACGCTTTCTTGTAGCCATTGTAGATTTCAGTAAAACCTGCGTGCTTCTACGTGCTTCTAAAATGTGTTATTATTTTTACGATCTCAAGATAGATTCCAGGATATCTTCTTTAAAAGTAACTCTCAGAGGATTTTCCTGCTACAAGTTAAGAAATACTTAAATATACAACCAGTTAATAAAACGTAAAACATCTAATTAAAAGCTTGATAGCATTAATTTAATTTAAAAAATAAAATACACAACTTGCGACAAGAAACAATTTTCACTTTTTTGACGCAAGACAAGACGTCGAAGCATGACACGCATGACATTATTTTTTTATATTTTATTTTACGGCTCTGGGTCACTTGACATTGGTAGATAAAAACAAATAAACTTATTGGATATTTATCGATATTTAGATAAAAGCGAATGCACATCCCTAGCAAATGAATGAGTCAGTCTTTTGTTGTTGAATGAATGAATGACTTATAAGCTCAGAGCCCCGATTACGGTAACTTTTATAGCGTCTACAATCCAGACGCGTTTCTGATTCTGCGATACGATTGGTCAAAACAACTGACGTACGCTGTTGAACGACCAATCGTATCGCAGAATCGAGAAGCGTGTCTGGATTGTTGACGTTAAAAAATACCGTAATCGGGGCTCTGTCTTGTCTATGCTCAGCTGTCAGTTTGTCAGTCACTCATTCATTCATAATTCGTTCACCTTCCTTCTTTCTTTCAATGTTCATTTTTCATTTCATTTTAGGGGTGTCCACTTTGAAAAAACATCGATGTTTTTTTCGATTCGATATATCGAAACTGTACATCGATTTCTTTCGATGTATTGGAAGAAAACATCGATGTTTTGTATAAATCGAGTACTTTTTTAAGATTTTTTATAATCCACTAATTTAAGCATTGTATTATTAAAAAAAACCGGCCAAGTGCGAGTCGGACTCGCGCACCGAGGGTTCCGTACCATTGATTTATGAAATTAAAATTATTATTTTTTGTTTAAGTTATTAGTATGAAAGATTACGCGGTAATTAATAAGCGGTTTACGATTTACGAGGTATTAAAAAAAAACTACTTTCTAGATCTCGTTCAAAACAATTTTCGTAGGTAGTTTTTATAGTAATGTACATCATATGTTTATTTTAGATTTTTCATTTTCTTATTTTAGAAGTTAGAGGACTACTGCAACTTTTTTCCACTTTGGAAGCGTCTGTCACGCAAAATATTCGGTTTAGAAAAAAAGTATTTTAGAAACCTCGATATCATTTTTGAAGACCTATCCATAGATAGATACCCCACACGTATGTTTGATGAAAAAAAATTTTTTGCTCTTATAGTTTCGGAAAACAATGGCTGTGACATACGGACGGACAGACGGACGGACGGACGGACAGACAGACAGACAGACATTACGAATCTATAAGGGTTCCGTTTTTTGCCATTTGGCTACGGAACCCTTAAACAGTAAAAGCCATACATGAGAAACAGTAAAAGCCATACATGAGAAAAATCTTGTTACATATTGAAATTCGTCAAAAATTCAAAGTTTATGGAAGAACATTGAATAATATTACAAAATTTATTCATACAAAGTAGATTTTGAAATTTTTCAAAAAAAAACTTCCTAATGTGGTTAAGATTTTTAATTCAATTTTGAAATAAAAGTCACAAAAATATTTATGAAAAAGAGTATAGCAGAAAATATAACGATGCTTGAAGAAGCTTTGTGTGGATAATTTTTGTATTATTCCATTTTCTTCCCTAAACTTTGAATTTTTGACGAATTTCAATATCTAATTACTACATGGTGATGTATCATTGTAAAGAAGAGAAACTAGAGATGTTTTTAAGATCATTGGCAATCTATTATCACCTTAAATTTTTTTTTATCGAATTCTAAGTAGAATTTTTTATCGTGGTTTGTACTTTTGTTAAACTTTGGCGGTTCTTAACTACCTATTCAAAAACAACAGTTTATTTAAACGTTTGCCTTTCAGCCTATTTCTTTGTTGATTGACACAAACTCACCAACCGACACGCGTGGCGCGACATTGACATAACAGTTTTTTTTTATTGTCAGAGACACTACCATGAAGCTAAAGATAAAAATGGAGGGCAGAGTTGGAACAAAAACTTGAGTCAAATACCTACTTATATCTATCTCGCTCTCTGCGGCCCTACCTCTCTTTTTAGTGTGAACTGTAGTATTGCTATCTTCTGATTTAAATCAATTCCTGGGTAATCGGTACCATGTGGCAACATCGGCCCAATCCGGCCCATCATGGCGGTTGTTTACTATTTTGTTTATTAAGCAGTTAATTTCGTTTGAGATTGTTTACAGGAAATAATCATTGTTTTATCACAAGAATTGGTGCAAAATTTTGTAGTGCGTGGTTGCGGTAGTACGTGGTGTCCTGGAAGTGACATAAGATTCCACGCGTAAGTGTTTATTTCGTGATTTCCGACAGTGGATCATTGTTAAACATTTTTCACATTTTTTACAGTAATTTCTTCCTAAAACGTTTTACCAGTAGGTAATTACACTTATCATTTTTAATGATACCTATGTCAAGAAATAAAGATTTTACATTGGTTTCATTGAATTTGAGCAATTTTATATTTTTTGTTTAAATAAACAAATAAATTTCTAAATAGAAAGAGCGAGTCTGCCCACAGAGAGCGAGATAGTGATACTTAGTTTGTGCTTCAAGTAGGTATTCGGAGTGTGGCCTCCATTTTTATCTGTAGCTTCATGGACACTACTCACTGCACTCGTACGCAGTGTTGCCAACATTTTTAAAATACAAGTTGGGTTGTCCGTGTAAGTAAAATTTTAGTGGTCAGACTTGAGTTTTATGAAATTTTAATTGGTTATCATCGATTCGATGTTTTAACACTGAAAACTTAAAAACATCGATACATCGAGTATTTCAATAGCTTTTCAAAACATCGGATCCATTCGATGTATCGCATTGTAAACATCGATGTTTTCAATACATCGATGTATATCGAATATCCCTATTTCATTTCACAGATGAGACAGGGATTTCATTTCTCGATTGCCTTCCGTGCAGACAGGTCAAATATTTTGTTCTTGGTGAAAACGTGTTATTTTGTTAGCGATTCGTGAAAATGAAGTCCAAAAGAAAACATCAGTCGACTTCGGAAGATTCAGAACTATCGGATGGTAGTGAACAATCCAGTAGTTCGTCTGCAAGCGATAGTGAAGAATCCTCTGTATCGGAGCATCGGTACAAGAAAAAAAAGAAGCGTGCTGATTCGTCGGAATCCGATAGCGACTCTGATGATCAAAAGCGTTCGAAGAAACGCAAGCACAAGAAAAAGAAGAAGAAACATGGAAAAAAGAAGAAGCGTGCGAATTCTGTTGAAGTCAGTGATTCAGGCGAAGACGTATCGTCAGTGAGTGAAGGAGAGATTTCTCCGAAGAAAAAGCGCAAACATAAATACAAACACAGCAAACGCGCACGTAGCTCGTCGGGCAGTGATATAGGTTAGCAATTTTACTAAATAGAAATTGTGTGGTATTTTTTTGTTTAGTGGAATGTGAGAATTAATTGGTGTTTTTTGGATTTTTAGAAGAAGTCCGTGTGGAACGACGTTTGCACAGTGTTGTGAAGGAACGTAGAGCACCCTCGGAAGACGGCAGTCAACCTCAACGCACATATTACCAGTAAGTTTTAATCAAATTCACTTTTAGTAATCACTAGTTTTCCAGCAACTGTTTGATCAAAATAACTAGTAGATAACGATATGCACTACCTACTGCATTCATATTAGATTCTTCTGATCACAAATTTTATATTCATGGGAATGAGATGTGATACTAAAATTGTTTGGTCTAGAAGATTTTCTATAGGGTAGGAAAATGGTATTAAATTTTTTCTATTTTAAAACCACAATTTTTAATAAATGAATAAATTTTTCTTGTTAGTCCCATCTTTCAATATCTCAGCTACAACAATAAAATTATGATAAATCTTCACTCTGGTTTATTACCTAGTATATTTAGTATTTATTGCAACTAAAGAGTAGTTCTTATCTATATATTAAATATATTTCTGTAGGAAAGAGTACCGACATTCACAATCGGGTGAAGATTATGAGAGGGAACGTGAAGTGCAGCGCTTCTATCGGGGCTCTAGTAAGGAGCGTAGACTTCATTATGAGGAACAATTCGAGTATGGACGGGAACGCAATGACAGGTTATTTATTACTCTTGCTAAAAATACTCATTCTGTGTTAGCCATCGATGAGATTCAGAGTTGTAGATCCTTTCATCATTATCATGAAACTAACCTGGCCTTGTCAAACTATATTATCATACGGGGGGGGAAATTAGAATATGTCCTTATGGCAATAAGAGTTTTGATATGTTTTGCAGATATGCATCATATCATCAAGAAAAATATGAACATAAGAATAGGGAGAAATATGGCCAAAGCTCACAATACCATGATCAAAATGAAGAATATAATCGAAGGCAACAAGAATTTGAGGGCTATAAAAGGTACATTGTAGTAAAATTTATTTTAGAAAATTTAAAATTTAGTTTCGTATGGCTATTTTAAAACATTTATTTTACATCTTTTTACTTGGTCATTACTAATTGTTTGATGTTTTTTTAGGCCACAAAGATATGAAGATCACCGAAGCCAAGATAACTATCATAGAAAACACAGAGAAGAAAACAACCATCATGCTAGAGGGGAGGACACTAGAGGTTTGTAATTGCATTAAATGTTTCCATTGTGTAAATTTATATTGTTATCAACAGCATACATTATTTATACATTTCTACGTAATGTAGAATTTAATTTAAGAGATAGGACTAATTTAAATTTAAATTAGTCTTATCTCATTACATGCAGCTAACTTTAATTATTTAGAATTTACTTACAGCTATACAAAATGAGAAATTGGTGCGCAATTAATAAAGAATATATTTTTCAGGTTATAATCGGTACAATCAATATGAAGAAAGACTACAAAAGCGACGGGAATATGATGATGGCAGAGAATTTAGAGAAAGGTGCGTGTTTTAAAAACTTGTTACTTCTTTATTTATTTGGGTCAGATCAGTTCATTATTCACTAACAACTTTCTTTGTTGTATTCATTAGACGTGGGCAACCTGATCCGGAACACTACCGACAAAGAGAATATCAAGACAAGAGAGAAAAGTACCAAGAATATTCAGGAGAACGGTGAGTGGACATTAAGTCTTCCATTTATTGTTTATTATTGTATTGCAGTCTGTCTATTTTATTATTGATGTTAATGTCTCACCCAGATAAGTTCATTTTTGAAGTTTACTATTTACGGTTTCCTAATTTATTGGCACAGACTAAGGTATAATAATAAAATTGTCTTTTATATCAACTTTAAATAATGCTAAGGAGTATGTAAAGATAGTGATTATTTGAACAGAGTCGGTTCAAATGAATAATAAGTATTTGTTTTAACTCTGCATGTGTGTGTGATCCTGCAGAAACTGATTGTAAGTTTACCTCGAAGTTAAATGACTGTATTTGTTTTTACAGAATATCTACAGAAAATTATAATGAGTTTGATCAGAATATGCAGCTTTTGCAAAGATATTTCAGTGTTTGCACCTTAGATACTTACTCTAGATGTGTGTGAGAGATTCAGGTGTTAAGATTTATCAGACACTGATTATAATACGGATTTCTTGAGAATTATGTCAGAAGCATCTCGATGACAACTTATTTTTTGTTAGTTTCTATAAACACCTTGATTACGACACATTGATTAAATTTATCTGCCTAAACTTGTACCCATGACGTTATACTCGTACTTTCACATAAGCCTTTTTTATGGTTCTCTAACTACTCATTAATTGGGAGATTCTCCACATAAAAGTGGTTTACTACATTTGCTTATCATGAAGAAAAACGCTTACAGAATAGTTTCATCCCAGAAGGAAGAAGACAAATGATTCATTTGCCATCCTCACGAATGGTGGAATTGATATATTAATCAAATATTGGAAGTTGAGCTACAAGTAAAAACTATAATGAACTCGAAAGTTTCGAACAAAATAAGATATTCAACCAATTATGAAATCAAAATGTATTATGAGAAGCAAGTATTTATGAAAAATTATGGAATTGCTACTGCTTTCTCCGTTGAAACTGCAAACATAAAACAAGATGTTACCACAAAATGTTTTTAAAACAACAACGCAGAACTATTGAAACTTATAGTTGGAAATAGAATGGTGAAACAAGTCCATGAATAGAAATCTCGAAAGAAACTATGAATGGGAATCTGAAATGCCTTTTAGAAGCATTTATTGCCTTGGCAATATGCTACAGATAATCAATCAAGAAATAATGATGTGCAACATCAACACAGATTTGTACAGAAGGTGGCTGAAGAGATAGAGAAAAAACTGAAAGAACATATAGAAGATAAAGGCCATTAGAAGAAAAAATAACCTTCACTCCGTATCATAAACAAATGGTTATTATTACTTGTTATTACTATTATTGCACAAGGTAGTAATAATGTTAACTGAGATATCCACGACTGGATGAATTCTAGTAGGTATAACCTCGTCAGATCAGCATTTAGACCAAAATATGGTAAGTTAACGATTTCCAGGAGTGTCAGAGTAAATTGGTTCTTCATCTTGGAGATGTGTCGATGGATGTTGTTCAATACAAACAATAGTTGATAATATGGGCAGAGGTCGTAACACAGATTTGATACTGTATTAATCAAGTCAATTGCTTCCAAGCTATTATTTTACAAGGTTGCAATGTTAAACAGCTATAAAATGTCTGTGATAAGGCTTCAAAATCCCAAATAAAAGCAGAATGTTTAAACGTTAAACTGAGTTTCTTTTATTTTTAATTGCTTGCGTTTTATGTTCATGAAACATTTATCAGGTTCGGTGGACATTGCAGTGTGTTTCAACCAGCCCGATTTATGCAAAAAGAGGATTGCCCGTTGGATGTTGAATTTAATGTGGTGCTGTTAATGTTGCAGAGCGCGCGAGGAACCGATGCGCCGAGACCGCCCACCACGACCAGAGAAATCTCACCCACCGCAAGAAAGGTATGTATTTTGCATTCAAGCTGGGGTTTTGGAAATATACGTTGAACTTCTAGTAAGGAATAGTTGGCATTGATCCACTTGTTCTCAACGAGTCACAGCACAAAACTAATAACCCTGTTACTCGTTGGGAAAAAAAATCTCATCCAGTCACACCCCTACTCATTAAACCTGTATTTTGTTAAGTTTTAGATTACTCCATTATTTTGATTATTATGTATTTTGTACATTGTTTCTTTATTATGAAAGCTCTTCTATCGTAATATTAAAGGTATTTAACGTTTGTGATCAGTACCAGTGTGAAGAATTTTTTCTCAACGAGTAACAGGGTTATTCGTTTGGGTGAGACTCGTTGGGAACAAGTGCATTTTTCGGATCTATTAAGTTTTGTTTTCCAATTAAGTATTTATACAGGGTGGAAACGATAAGTGATCTCATTCTATTATTTCTAAACTATACAAGGTATTGAAAAACTGGCTACTGATCCTGAAAGTGCTTCACGAGCTCTATCCAACGGTACCAATAATAGGTTACAGAATTAACTGGATCATCCTAAAATTAAATTTTTTCAGCCTCCATACTAAATATGTATGCGAGCCAAACATTATTAGAAGTATTTTTTTTTATTAAATAATAAACACTTCAAATGAACTCGTAAATTGTATTCTTATTTAAAATTATTCTTGGAAAACATTGGTTTAGCCTTTACTTGTTATAATATTATCAAGACATGAGTGCCATGACTGTGGCTGTACTAAATGTATGGAAGCTAGAAACATTGAATTTTAGGATAGATCCAGTTTATTCTGTAACCTATTATTGGTACCGTTTGAAAGAGCTCGTGAAGCACTTTCAGAATCAGTAATCAGTTTTTCGATATCTTGTATAGTTTAGAAATAATCGAGTGAGATCACTTAACGTTTCCACCTTGTATATAGTATTTACGGTTTCCTAAACTATAATAATAAAATTGTCCTTTATCAGGGAGCGTTCCGGGTCTCGTAGCGCCGAGGGCCGCTTCCGGGACAAGCGACGGGAGGGCCGAGAGGAGCGCGCGCCGAGCCAGCGCTCCCGCGACGAGAGGAGAGAGCGCCCGAGAGAGGAGGAACGGGAACGATCCGCGCCGAAACCAGACGCTAAGCAGAAGGAACGCAAATCTAGGTAACTATCGAAACCAATACGCGACTATACCACCTTTTCCATGACAAATTCTGTGTAAATTGTATTTTATTTATCTCTGATATACATAAAATTAAAAAAAACTCGAATCACTGAAGGGCTAGAGTCCCAAAACCAATACAAGATCATTCTCATTTCACATTTCGATCCCTCTACGACAACTTGTGCAGGGCCGTATTTAACCAAGGGGCCCTGGGCATTTAAGGGGGCTCTTTTCCTCTTTTCAATTAAAAAAAGAAGAGAAATTGCAGAACTATAAAACTAAATCCAGAGGTAGGAAAGAGGAACCTGCTCCTTTGTAGCCAAAATCTACCAATAAATACTCCAATCAGTGAAGTTACTAATATTGCGGTAGCAGTGGTTTGAAACCACACAAATGTTAATGACATTGGTAATTACAGGTTTGCTGATAATGAGGACAACAAAGAATACAGTTGGGGCAAGACCGATGCGAAGAAAGAAGGCGACAAAAATTCCGGAGAGAAGGAGAAACCGAACTTCGGTCTTTCTGGCAAACTGACGGCCGACCAGAACACTGTCAACGGTGTGGTCATTAAGTACACTCAGCCTGAAGACGCCAAACAGCCGAAGAGAAGATGGAGGTAAAAGATTTGTTAATGATTTTTAAATTGATTTACTTTCAATGAGTTTTTAATTGCATTTTTATGATCTAAGATAGAGCTAAGATACCTTGCGATAGGATAATAGTGTTTTAATTGACTCTCTTTTAATGACTTTTTATGACCGAAGATATAGCTAAGTTACCTATTTCCTTGATTTGGCATTCCGAAAATGACGATCTTACAGATTAACAAAGAGATAACTGATTTTAAAGATCAACCATCAGTCTTTATCTGATATCAGATTGGATTGAATTGGTGATCATTCAGATAACTAAACGATCCTACGAGGGTCTCTCTTCTGTCTTGTCTCGTGCCTACAACAAATGTTTCTTTCGTCAGGTTCTACCCGTTCAAGGGCGACAAAGCGCTGCCGATCCTGTACATCCACCGGCAGTCGGCGTTCCTGCTGGGCCGCGACAAGAAGGTGGCGGACATCCCGCTGGAGCACCCGTCCGTCAGCAAGCAGCACGCCGCGCTGCAGTACCGCGCCACGCCCTTCACGCGCGCCGACGGCTCGCAGGGCCGCCGCGTGCGCCCCTACATCATCGACCTGGGTACGGCCCTGTTGCACTACTTGTTTTATAGTCTTTTTCACGTAAGATGATCCGTATGACGTTTCGAGTTTGAAAGTTATAGAGATGTCACATAACTAAACCATAGCGATTTATCTATCGATTTTTTTCTAAGAGTTAGTAAAACCTACTTTTAGATAAATATTTTGTATAGGTGTGATTTAACAAAAAACATGTTTTTTTTAATTACAAATATTTTTGTAAAAAAATTTAATTGATAATAATCAAATTCCATGGACTTCGTGTTCAAAAATACGATTCCTAAAAAGTACTGGTTCTATTTCTTTAAATTAAAAACTATTAATTTATTTTCAATACGTTTATTAAAGTCAACAATCGAAAATATAGTTGATTTTTGTGATGTTTTTAATAACTAAGTATTCACTGCAATCGATTAATGAAACTATTTTGTAATCGATTTTGTTATACAACAAATACCCCAGCACTAAATCTATTCCGTTTCACACATTGCATACATTAAATAAAGAATATTTTTACATCGTATTTAATTAAAATATAATCAATAGACTCAGATTTTACTATATATTTCAAGACGAGTAGTTAATTTTTTTTATTATATTGCTAATAAAATACAAATATTTTTTCAAAAATATTCTGCAATATGTAGTATGCGTAATATGGATAACCTTGAAGTGTCATACGGATCATCTTAGGTGAAAAAGACTATAGGCCTCATTTCCACCAAAGCGGAACAGAGGAATAACCAATCAGATTTTATTATTTCCACTTCTCGTCTTCGCTCCGCACAGCTCGTTCCGCGCCGCGCTCCGCCGATGTCAAATTTATTAGAAAAATTTGACGGCCCGACACTTCTTCGCTCCGCTCCGCCTTGGAAACTGGGTGTCACGCCCGTATTCACAAACATTACTATGAGATCTCACAGTGCGCGTGCACGCACAGGGTGATACACGAACCAATCATGGAGCTCTGTTCAACGCTGTGCGTTCAATTTGCTGCTTCACTTAAGCAAGCATCGTTTGTGAATACGGGCGTTAGATTCATACGGGACAAATATTCGACGTCGTTGCTCCTCACCGCATCATCAGCTTAAAATCCTTTTATTTGTGATTTTGTGAATTCCAAGTTTACTGCTAATAATTTCCGTTTGGTTTAAAACTGGCTGAAAGGAGTTGTTGTTTCCGTTTATACTTCTTTGCAAAAAAATCCAAAATTACTTGTAATAATTTCAGGAAATATTTAATTTTTTATGTATCATCTTTCCAGATTCAGCAAACGGCACATTCGTCAACAACAAGAAAATCGAACCTCGCCGCTACGTGGAGTTGCTCGAACGTGACGTGGTCAAGTTTGGCTTCTCCCAGCGTGAATACGTGCTCCTTCACGAGAACAGCAAAGACGACGCCCAGGATGACGATCACCACGACCCACCAGAATTAGGCGCCGCTGTCACGACTACGGAGCAAATAAAGCGGGACAAACGGGTCAAGGAAGAAGTAGCCGAGGACGGCGAGTGACCCGACGGACGGACGCCCCCGTAAGCCCCATATCAGATTTAGTAAGCGCAATACTAGATTTACGGCAACTGTTCAATCCGCGCTAGGATCCCCTCCGCTTTGAGCGATCGCGCTGTAGTGGAATTTTACTAGTTAGTTGTAATTGTGAACTTTATTTAGCTGTTGGGAGATTCAGCGAGACCTGTCTTGTGACTGAACACTGACACTTTGTAGTATTAGTTAATTATAAATTGATCTATTTTTCTTACTGCGATTGTCGATCGATATCTAGGTCTTGGGGTCTTTTTAATTGATCCCAAGTCTTTAGTAACTGCTACTTCCAAAGTGAGAAATTAATACATCCATTTAGTTACGATTATGTATACATACTATAAGTATGGCCTTTATTTTAGTTAAAATGTACCCTAAATAGAATCGAGAAGCATGTTTGTTACTAACACAATTATTATTATGAACGGACATAGATGTGATTTGTGAGCGAGTGTGTACATAAATATTGCTTGCTATATTTAAGTTCAAGTTAAGAAGACATAATAAGTCTGTAAAATTGTCTTCTTTTGGTTCCATTTTACTCAGATACTAAATAAATAAAGTACAGATTCAATATTACTTTTCCTGTAATAAATAGTTTATTAAAATTACTTTGTTTTTCTACCGCAAAACAATTTGCTCATCTGAACTTCAATCTTTATAATCTTATTTATTAATACAATAAATATGTTAAATGAATTTAAACATCTTATTTCTGAGCAAAATAATAGTGAGTGAAAGATATGTACTTATACAATATTACATGTAATTCCTTTGATGTGTTTGTTACACTATGTAACATTTGTGTTTGCTTTTCCTTTATATATCTAATAAGAGTGTTCATCATTTAGCAATAAAAACGTGATGTTACTTATATTCTGCTCTTTTCTTTCTGTTGCCCCAAAATAAAACTTACAAAATATTCGGTGAAAATATTTTTATGTATTATAAATTTATCATAAATGCACTATACTTTTAAACACATACTCATACCAGCAGGCGCGCTAATTTTGCCCCAAACATGCACACTTTATTCCTAAAATTATATACAACTCGACTATTTACAGTTATACAAAAGAAATAAATAATTAAATACATAACCTATACAGACACTTGATCGAAGTTGTGCGTGCCCACTGATGGCTACACTAAAAAATAAATATTTGTGAATTTTTCCAAGTGCTAATTTTTTGAATTTGAAAAACTAACATTGCATCATTAAATATTAAACATGTATTATCCTAGCCCGAAATTGAATCAGGACTACATCAGTCAATAAGGCATGATGGAAAACTAAGTACCGAATCAGTGGGCACGCACACGATCGTCAAACAATGTACAAGAATAAAAAACCTAATATCACAGGTCAAAATGTAGTCTTGAATATGTGGTCCTCGAATTCGGCATCGAATCGTCGCTCCTGCGTCGATCCGGGCCGCGGCGGGTGTCTTAGCGAGACGCACAGTGACGCGCGCTTGGCGATCCCGTTCCGTAGCGGGACGACGGTCGCGGACCTCGTAGTCGAGCGGAGAGAGTGCGTTCGATGCGGCGGCGGTCGTACGAGGCGGTTTGGCGCCACGCCCACAATGCTGTGGCGCGCGAAAGGTGCGTACGCGGTTCGTGGCACCTCGTAGCCGTCGCTGCCGATCGTTCCCGGCGCCGAGTCGCTATCGTACATCAGCTCGAGGTACTTCGGCGTTCGCTCGGGTAATAGCCGCGACGGTTCCATCTGCATTTCGGGTATGTCTTCGTCTGTGGAATATGAATATTATAAAAAATCGATTCGAAATCAAATAATAACTTTTAGCTTTTGTCCGCGACTAGATTTTGATAAATAGTAGCTAAACTATAGTACGTAGGTACGTGCTATTCTGTAAAGGTTTATCAAAATCTGTTCACTTGTTTTCTCGTGAAGGAGTAACGATCTAGATGTTCGTTACCCCTTCATGCATCCTCAAAAATATATTAGTATAGACGTAAGATGATATAACGAACCTAGGAAGGCGTTGTCATTCTCGTCCAGCAGGTAGGTGCGGTTGTCGATGGCGTCTGGCATGCGGCCCATGCAGAATATCGTAACAGATTAGTAACTTATTAAAATGCACAGGTTTATTGTTATAATGATGGGATTGATGAGTCATGCGTGACATTATGAGATCTGGCTGCCACTGAAATGGTTAAGTTTACACTTGGGCATTTATTTTGATGTAGAAATAATAATTTAGGTACACATGCTGATTCAAAGCATTATTTAATAGGAATGATAAAATTAGGTTTAATGGATTCATGGGATTGTAAAATCTCTAGACAAAGTAACATCGCTTCGAAGTGATTGCATAAAAAAGACGAGGTACATTACAAAATTGAATTTACTTCGAATCATTCGATTCAAATTCGAATTCGAATCAAAGATCTTCGAATCAAAGATGAAGTAACATTCGAATCGAATGTTACTTCATCTTTGAGACAATGAAAATGTTATTTCGTCCTTGCATTTAGGTTGCCATCTGCCCAACCCAATGCTCATGTCTGTTTCAACCTGATTGAACGGGGGCAAGAGTATACAACCCGGTTGAGTTAACTGCGCACTGGCAGCCGTGACGTCACATCGACGCTCTGGTACGGACGGGGTGTGGGAGGGAGAGAGTTGCATTCCAACGAGGTACACAGTTAGCGAGGGGATTATGGCAAAACCCTCCACTACAGTGGAGGAGGCTCATAGTCCAGCAGTGGACTGTAAAGGGCTGTTGATGACACAGTTAGCTCGATCGAGTTGTACACGTTTAAAGTCTGTTCGCCGAGAGTTGATAAATATTATGAAATGTCTTGCAATAGCGACTGTCGCTTAATTGAGAATGTTACTAGGTATGCAAAATCACTTGAAACCTATGTTACAGTTAAGCTTTTACATTTACAAATACATTAGTTTTTATTTCATTCAAAAATACCCAGTAGTTATGGTTTTATAGGCATTCAAAGTTCGCTTAAATATTGAGTCCCGCCGACGGTCACGTGACCCCGTGTGACGTACATTCACAGCGTCCGCTCACTAGAAAACGGATATAAACATACTTAAATAATTTTTTTTTTGTAAATACAAACTTATTATACATATTAACACCTAGACCCATCACAGAAATTAAAATTGAACCAAACCCAAACTTGATGCGATTGTGTCGTTTTATTGCGAATTACCTTCCAGCTCCATCATTAGACCCCGATTACTATATAGAATTAAAATACTCATCAATATAAAACGAACGAGCCCAAACTCGATGCATTTAAGTCGTTTTATTATAGAGTTCCTATGGCCACCTTCCAGCTCCATCATCAGATCAGCTCCATGTCATCATAATATTGCATGGTCATCCAAATCACATGTGTTTGCGAAATTTCAGCTTAATCGGTTGCCTGGAAGTGGGTCTTAATTCAGTTTGCAAGATTCCACCCATACAAATATGAGCCAGTCGTTGTAATATGACGTCACGCGCATAAAATGGCGGGCCGGCCGCCGCCCGCACTTTTAAAATTCAATATCTTGGAAACTAATTGACGTATCGAAATAATTCTTTCACGTGTATTTTTTATTTTTAACAGAGAATACAGAAAGCTAAAAAACAAAATTAGTGAACATTCTTCATTTTTTTTTTTTTTTTAAATACATAAATATTATACATAGTCACACCCAGACCCGTCACAGAAATTAAAATTCATCATTTCAACTTCTGCCCGGCCGGGAATCGAACCCGGGACCTCTCGGCATAGTAGTCCGTTCTGAACCACTACACCAAACGGCCGACAGTATGTCGTAGCAAAATTTGTTTTTACAACATGAAAATATAATATCTGAGGATAATTTCTATCAATATTTCGTTACGGAAAGTAATGGAAAGTATGTACTTTCAGCCTTGTGAGTATAATTTTTAAGGTCGTTTTCAATCACTGATTTTGTTAATTTTTATTAAATAAATAGGCTTAAGTTCTATAAACACAAATACATTTTCTAAAAGTCAATACCTTTAACTCTAGAACCCATATTTTTAATCGTGTAAATATTGTCAACTGACAAAACAGTGCCTAAATGAATAAAGCAATATTTTTGTTCCAAGGAAACCTTGTTATCGGACGCCCTACTTTGACCAGTCATATTTTCCTTTCTGTTAGCAATCTGTCCTCAATATTTTGCATTTTCACGACACACATATTCAGTTTGAATAATAGTTAATCAATTTTCGTTTACGGTCAGTTTCCAAAATTTGGTTTTTGTCCGGCCGTGGCAACACTGCAATGTGCGCTCGTCGCTAGGTCGCGACAGCAATATAATTACGCACGAGTGTTAAGGATGCGTAGCTTGAGGTCATTGGACAAAATTCTACGTGCTCACAGACCGGGCTTTAGTACGCAGAACTGACGGCCGATGGGGCAGCAAGGTTCTGGAGTAGAGGCCACGTACCGAAAAGCGCAGCGTAGGACGTCCATCAAAGATAAAAGACCTCATAATGTAGCAAGAAGGCGCTGGATGCAGGCCGCTACCAACCGGGCGATGTGGAATCATTGGGGGAGGCCTATGTTCAGCAGTGGACGTCTTATCGCTAAATGATGATGGAAGTCCTCATTCTATGCTTGAAATTAAATAGCCTTGGTGGTGTTTTCCTTTTATTTTTATACAGGGTGTTAGGTAAATGGTGAAGTCGTAAAATTGATATCATCATTTTAATTATTTTAATTTTCTTACAAATCTGATTTTATAAATTTTATTTTGTATGAACGAACATTAAAAAAATTAAAATGATGATATAAAATTTTTGACTTCACCACACCATTTATATGCATATGTTAACATGGGCTAGTGTCGGCTCATTCATATACCCGTTTACCTAACACCCTGTATTTTAGCACATATAAATGTTAGCTTATCAATTTTGATTGATTTTCACTTAATAATCGCCTTGTAATAGCATTGTAACAATTATTAAACAAACCATATTATTATTGATTCGATATGCCTTTACCAATTTTCTTTTAGTTAAAAGAAAAGCTTGAGAATGGCTGTGAGATATATTTTATGTGAGTATTTCTTTTAATACCTTTTTGAGATCTACTAAAGCCTTAATTACTCTTTTATTATTTTGGATTTACAGATTATTTTCTTTTTTTAATTAGGTACTTTATTTGCCGTACTAAAAGTATTAAACCCCTGAGCTACCGAATTCTAACGCTAGCAACAATTTGTACAAGTACAGCACATTATTTTCATTTTTCTCTATTTAGTTGTAAGTAAATATTTAATTACAGATTCTTTCACAATAGCTTCAATTAGAACTCAAACCATAGATTTCTTTCCGGACGAACGCTCTCACATAGTGTGGGAAGATGCCAAACTTAAGCCATCCAACGACTACATCGCTATATGGAACAAAGAAATGGGACCAAAGTTAAGATTCCCAAAAATCCTATTCCCTGAAGAAAAATTGCCCCAAAAACTCCCAGCTCTGCAGTGGCAAAAACCGGTAAATATCGAAGAAAATAAAGAAACAATATTCCTCAACCAAAACGAAAAAGAAAACGTGGTTACAGAATTTAAAAATACAAATGATGTGCAAGTGAAAAATATTGAAGTTACTCGGCCTCCAAAAGATGAGAAAGAGAAAACTTCTGATGAAGAAAATTTGGTAAAAGACAAAATTTTCCAACTAGCTCAGGACACGGAGAGAGATCTTAGCTCGAAGGTGCAAGCTATAGAAAAAACCCATGAGCTATTCAAGCACAATAGTTATTACAAACTAGGATTTCTAACAAGTTATATCAACACCACCCACCACGCTTTGGTCGAGTTGGTGAAGTACGTAGGCCGAAATAAAGACGACTGGGACGTGCTGAAAGTTTTGAATGCTTATGTACAGGTAAGTGAGAAAAAAACATACAGCAAAGTCAAGTTAACTGCGCACCGGCTAACGTGACGTCCCTGTACGACGCAAGCATATTTGAATATTTGAATTTGGCACTCCGCTGTCAATGTAAGGTTTCCAGACTTCTGGATCAATCACTCGATCTTATGTAGTCTCTGTGTGCTGTATGTTCTAAAATAAATCCGTGGTAATCTTCGTGATCTTTTCCTTCTTACGCTCCAACTCCAACATGGTAGCAGAGCGTATTTCGATCTACGGACCTCTGGGAGGTTACTCCGAATCGCTGTTTACGTAGTGACGAGTCTTTAGATCTCGATGGCATCTGGCTTCGCGTGAGAAGGGTGGCAACATTCGAAACTTGTGATGTTTTTCGGAGTAGACCCTCTGGCGAGGCGAAAGCCGGGTGCGGATGAATGCGAGGGAGTCGCATTCCGGCCAGGTAGCCAGTTAAATTGACGTCCGGGTTGTAGAATGGTCTATTCCACTTTGATCACTTGGCTTTGATGACCCAGGTGATCAAAGTCCACTTCCAGCGACAATTTAGTGTCCTTTGATCACCCACGGATATGAAGCCCTGGGTGATCCAAGTGGACTCCAGTTAAATTATTATTTTAGTGTCCTTTGATTACCTACATACAAATCACACCTCCTCTGAATAGACACGTGATATCCAAATATAGAAAATTTTTTACAGCGTAAAATATTTTATGGCGTTACTTAACTAAACAATGTTTGTCCGTACATTAAGTATAAGAGGAGGTGTGATTTTTATGTAGGTGATCAAAGGACACTAAAATAATAATTTTACTGAAGTCCTCTTTGATCACCCAGGGCATCATATCCTTGGGTGATCAAAGGACACTAAATTGTCGCTGGAAGTGGACTTTGATCACCTGGGTCATCAAAGCCAGGTCATCAAAGTGGAATAGACCTGTAGAATTCAGTGGGATGACCGTCTGGCCTAATGGGTAGCTCACCAGTCTACTATACCAAAGCTTGCGAGTTCGATTCCCACGCAAATGTAAGTAGGATTTTCTGAACAATAGCCTATGTCCGCTACGTTCTGGTTGCTGATGACCAAAATTCATAGAAGTAAATTATGGAAAAACGTAAAATAAACGTTTTAAACTTAATAGTTTC